AATAAGATATCTTTAGGGCAAAATGGAATGGGTTTCGGAACTGGGAGTAGGTACTTAACTGACTTCTTAATAATCTGAAACAGATCTAGGATATAATTTATATAAATGAATTATAGCATATACTATGCGTCTATAAGAGAACAACAACTTTGCCTTCATGGCAAAGGGTGAAAGATGATATTTATTTTAGAACTAAATAGGTAACTAGTTTTAATATTTTGTTTCCTTTTTAAAGATGCTTAAAACGAATAATCTTTTTTTCAACCTAATGTCTAGAATTTTTTTATTTTTACGTTTTAATGTTTACTTATAATGTGTATAATGCAATTTACAATAAAAAGAAAAACTGCCTGATGAAGCAAAGTATAAAATGAATAAATATCTATACTTCATCTTTAAAGCGGTTTTTTTTAACTAACTTTGATTGAGTCAATATTGGTCAATATTCAATAAATTCTTATAAAAACAAAACTTAAAGAATTCAATTGTTTTTACCAATTTTTTAAAATGAAATTACATATTCACAATGTACTACAAAGTAATAATGAAATTCATTTTTCATATGTGAAACTGTTATAATACTATGAAGCAGATGTGTAAAAGAGATTAATTTATTTTTTCGATTTCAGAACTTTGTGCATAAATTATAATTATTATTTCAACAGTGAGACTTTGAAAATAAAAAAGTTAGTTTTCAAAAAGTGGAAATAAATTGTAAATTAAAAATGTCAGTGTCCATATTAATAGTATTGTCATTTTCTAATTTTATGAACACTAAATTGCAAGAATATGCCTCAGACGAAAGCGAAGCTAATATGTTTCTATCTCAACCAATATTATGGTAATTTTCACATCTACTAAAATTTATTTTGTGTTCTTTAACCCTAGTGTTTAAAAGTAGTCTTTCGGTTTGTCCAAAATAAGTGGCATCACATTTGCATTTTAATTTTTAAATTACTTTCTTCCTTTCAAAATTGTTTGGGCACGTAATAAAAAAATTTATTTGCATCAAGTAAGATTTATTTGATCCAATATAATATTACTATCTATTAAATATTCGTATTTGTATCAAATATAATTACTGGAGAAAAATAGTTAATTTCATATTACTTAAAAGGAATGGTAATTTGTATAATCTAATTAATTTAATCCAAGGAAACATAGTTATTATTACAACAGAAGTTAATTTCTTCACATTTTACTAAACCTAAATGTTTCAAATTTATTATATTTTTCAATTATATTGAAAATTTTTAGTTCTTTTTCCTTATCAATTTCTGCACGTAAAGAATTATTAATTGGTATTTTATATTTTATTAAAATATTGAAATAATGTATGATGTAATTATTTGAAATATATGTAAATTGCTATTATAAATAAAACGCTATTTGAATAAAAAGAATATAATAATAAATATAAGAAGACGTAATAAATATGCCCTGAAGGCACATATTTGAAAAATTGAAAAAGTAAAAATTGAATGTTAATTATTGACTTTTAGAATTGCATCGTTTAACCCTAGTCAGTAGTAATTATGTTCATTTATACAAAGGATAGTCCAGAGGTTCACGCCCAACTAAACACAACTAAGGTTTCGTTAGGTATGGACTAACTGGGCTAATAATAATTATAAAAGGATTAAGTTATATCAAAAATAAAAAAAAAAACACCAAATAAACCACATAATCGAATTTGAAAGACTAAAATAAACAAAAGAATTATTTGCTATTAGAATTATTTGTTACAAGAAAGTTGTGAAATATCTTCAAATTTCAGTAAAATAAATGCCATAACACGGCAGCTATCAAAACGAACAGCTTGAAACTCAAGACACATGTTCGGACTATCAGAACTAACATTTATGTTGAATGGTAAAATTATAAAACGTTCAACGCGAAAATAAAAGCGAATTGATGGTTTCTTCTTAACATTTAATGTATATAAGAATGATAATAATTTAATAAATAAACAGTTGATTTCGTAAATTGTTTTTACAGGAACCAAAAGTGGACCTATAGTTTCGGTCCATCAAATCCGCTAGAGAAGTAAAATGTTGTATATTAAATATCATTGCTACTTTAATAGCTTCTAGAGTTCTCATTTTATAATAGTAATATTTTATATTTATTGCGGCTTTTAATTGAGGGTGTCGTTCGCTAATTTAGTGTCGGCCACTGTATCCGTTACCCTAGTCATCGTTTAAAGAATATTATCCGCACTTTGTACATAATATTTCGAGCTGATAATTTTTTAGTCAGGTACTGTTATTATTAACTACTTTAACCATTTAGTTATAGTAATTTAAGTCATTATTTATACATAAATACCGTTCATTTCCCGCAGTTATCGTCTGCATAAGAATTTATTTTCTACGCCTTGATGCTTAATTTTGACAAAACTACACTGTAAAAAATTTATTTTCTTCAATCCGCTTATTACGTAAACCAATCATTTCACTCAATGTCAATAATAATTAACTATTTAAAATTAATTTACATATTATATTCGAGAATTTGAAAAAAATGGACGCGGTAACTGCGACATTGACGGGGAAATAAAATATTGAAGTAAATGCCTATAAGTACATTATTAAAAATCGTAAGACGTAAATCGTAAACTTTACATGAGATAGAAAAGAACGAAAGATATATAGATCCTTTTTTCGCTCATATAAATATTATGATTTATATGTCTTACGATTTCCAGTGTCCGTTGGCTCTATTCCAATGAACAAAATATAATTCTTCATCTTTCCTTCCCGGTAAAAAGCGAAGAATAGAAAAAGATTTATTTTCAAAAAAACTAAAGTTTCCGATTGTGGGTTATGTGTAATCATTTTATTCTTAGTGGTGCCTCGACCAAGTATTCGATAGAAAAAGAACATTTATGTCACTTTGGGTAAGTTTTTCCTATATACGTATTTGATACTCGAGCTCGAAGATTCGTACGATTTTCAGAGCACGCATGGTATACTTCGTGTAAGTTTTTATCAAGTATTTCTTCATTTTCTTCATATTCTTTGATTTTTAATTATCGTTTTTTGCAGTTATTAATTGATATATTAAATTTTTCTTAATACAGTTAATAATGCAGTTCTTCATTCCGAGTTGATTGATTACCAAAAACTGAAATTTCATAAAATTGGCGTCGAAAAGTGATTTAACTTATTTTTTATCAAATTTTAACTGTATAGAAAAATAGACTCTATTGCATATCCTTTTCCAAATCACTTTGTTAAGGGTATTTCTACAAACAAAAAATTTATCGATACGAACAAAATGCACTGTCAAAACAATGTTTATAAACTATGCGTAAAAAGGAAAGTTCTCATTTAGTACTAATTTTGATACTAAATTATTATTTTGGTTTTATTTTAGCACCGAAATCAGATCTAATTTAGCACTTTTTTTTATAGTGTGAAAATTATTTCAAAAGTGCATTTTGTTTGCGTGCCGACAGCCCTAAGCACAATGAAATCTGAAACCTTAAATCGTAAATTTTAAGAATATAAGAAAAAGAAAGACAGACGTATGCATATCCTCTCTCTCTCTCTCGATCTTAAAATTTACGATTCAAGATTTCATTGTGCGTTGGGCTGATGGAAAAAAAGTTGTAGAATCTCCATAAAACAAAGTGTTACAATACACTCGTCTTTTTATCACGTATTTATAATTTTTTATCTATAAAGTATATAGTAAATTGGCAGCACCATATTTTATATTATAGTACAAAATGAGCATGCTTTATTATGTGTTTAAACCCAATCTTAAATAAGTTACATTCACTTAGGTTGAATTAAGTGCGTATATACTCATTAATATAAAAGTTAAATTCTGTTTCGTAATTCAGGTATATAAAAAATTAGTTATGTATACTAAAATCATTTTATCCGACAGCGAAACAAAGTTTGTATTTTTGTAACGAATTAATTTCTTTTGTTTTTTTAAAAGTTTAAATAAAAAAAGTAAATAAATAATAATTTAAATAAAAGTACACTGTAAAAATAGGTGTCTTTTTTGATATCTTAAAATAAGATGTAAGATGGAAAAATGGTATCTTATTAAAATAAGATGTTTTCTAAAATATCTTGTTGATATCTAAGATGTTTTATACGTTTTAGCAGCGATGAAGACATTTCTTTCATCTTAGAAAAGTAAGTTACTTCTGCAGGTTTTTTAAAGTATCTTAAATTGAGATGTTTCTAGCGCAATAATATGTTTAAAGATCTTGAGAATCGTAAGATGCGACAAAAATATATGTTACTAAATACTAAGATGCATAAAGTGTTTTACATATCAGCCCTAACCTCAAACCTTTTTTATCAAAAAATATGCTGAAAATGTGTACAAAGGGTACAAAGATACTTTTAACATCTTAAATTATTTCAAATAACTAAAAAGTGTCTACCAAAACATCTTAGAAATGAGTACCAAAACATCTTCGATTAAGATACACATAATTCTTTTTGCAGTGTGTCAACAAATTGTCAATAAATAATTAAGCGCGATATTTATTATCATAACATAACCTCAAGATAATGGAACTTTAAAAATTGGATTTTTGAATCATACTGTTTAAATGTAAATTTAAAGAACACAAATTCAAATAAAATGCGATATGAAGAAGATAGGTGAGATTTGATAAATAATTTTAACACGCTTTTCAAATATTGTTGACAAATAAGTTGTCCGTTCGGAAACTTTGTGAATTTCAGATAACAATGACGTTAGCGATATTTTTTAAAAGTAAATTTCTCTTTCTACTGGATTTCACTTAATCGCAATATCGCAATTTTTGTCACCTTATTTTTCATTTACGATAGCAAATGAAAAATGTGACAAAAATTGTCTTCGATTTTAGGGAAATTTATTCTTTAAAATATTTATCAATATTTACTCTCTAAAATCGAAGACTTTGGAAACGAAGAAAGTAAATTTCGTTTTATCTGAAGTGAAGAAAAGGAATAAAATCTTTTTATTTAAATTAAAGTATATAGTACCTTGACGGTAGTAATATCGCCCGAAATAGTGTGAAGACGATGAAGGAAGATCAGAAGGATTGCGGTGCGTAGAAGGATCATCGTGTAAATCCCAGGGAGATCGTTTCTCGTAACGCACCAGGATGTAATCCTTTCAGACTGTTAGTGTTTAATCAATGCACACTGAAGACTTTTGTATCTTGCATTCACACTTGCATTGAAAGTAACAACCGACGCGTCGCGTGAGACATTTTTCTCAAGCCCGCCAAAAAAAAACGTGTAAATTTCCTCCTTTTTTTTGGTCAATTGTTTTTGTCCTCATGTGGTGAAGAAAGAGAGGGAAAAAGACAGTATTAATTATAAGGACTGAAGTCCCTTTCGGTTGGGGCAATTGAGGACCACCGGGACCATGAGCAGTGCCGCAAAGACGAGAACGACTTTGACGGGGTACTCCTGTTGAATCCTGGTGGTCATAGAACGTGTCCAGCCGTGGCAACTGCTGCTGGGTAACTGGCACTTGCTGCTGAGAAACAGCCCGTGTCTCAGATATTCTATACACTCCTCTTCCACTTGAGAGATTCAATATGTAAGTGTAAGAGTACGTGTGTACATCTGTTGACTGTTCCTCTCCTTCTTAGCTCCGGGAGAGACCGTTCTCTCCTGCAAACAGTCGCCGCTGGACCAGGCAGCTTCTGTCTCTCTCTTTGACAGAATGAAGAAAAGAAAAAGAGAGAGTGTCTCACTCTCTATCTCTCTTTTTCTCTTTTCTTCATGCTGTCTCTTTAGTCTTTTCTGCTCTCGCCTCCTCTCTTTCACCTTGATCTTCTACCTATTAATGACGATACAGATCGCAAAAACATCAAGGTTAGGCCCTTTCGGAAGGAAGACCATAACAAATCTCCTTGGAGACGCAGGTGTGAAAATGGATCGACTACAGCCGCGTTTGTGTTGATGTTTTCTTTTGTCCTGCTGCCTCCTCCCCATTTTGCCACTCTCAAGTGTTATGGTTACAGATTTTGGTGGCAGAAGATACTTTTCAAGATCTCTTCTTCTTTCCAGATGTTTTCAGGGAAAAAAAAATTTTTTTTTCAATTCACACCCCTGTAATTTTTTGTTCTCTTCATTCAAACTAACTGATAATTTATTACACTGGAAAAAATTGTTTATTATATTTTTACGCTTTTCACCAAAAACGATTTATGCTTTCAAGGTACATGTCATATATGCCTGAATTATGCTCCTAAATAATGACAATTATTCTATAACTATGCTCTTAAAGGTAGTTCTCCGGCTGCTACTCTTCACGGAGAAAAATATAAAGTATAACTTTTACTACTTTTATAGTAAAAAATTTTCGGTAAAACATTTCTGGTAATTTTTACTACTTTTGGAGTAAATTTTGCTACTTTCGAAATAAATTTGACTAATTTTTACAAATATTTACTTCGAACGAAGAAAAATTTACTCCAAAAGTAGTTAAAATTACCAGAAATGCTTTACCGGAAATTTTTTACTATAAAAGTAGTAAAAATTACTTTATATCTTTCCCCGTGTTGAAAAAATTGATTTTTGATAGATTTTCTTGAAATTTTGAGAAAATGTTTCTTTGGGTACCATTTAAATGTGGTAAAAATTTCAAAACCCTTTGCGATGCTAAATTTTGAGTTATTCAAGTTCAAACTTTAAAAAACAATTTATTCAAGAATAGCAGACCGGGAAATAGCTTAAAAAGGTTTTTTATGCTTTTCATTTGGAAAATTTGTTCTTTCACTTAGTATTTATAAAACATGTACTCAATTTTAAAAATAAATTTACAATTAGAAATTTTTTTACACTTATTGTTGCAATATTCCTATTGAAATATTACAAAATTGTACTAAATAAATATTAAATATTGTAATTTTTTTTGTTAAAATTATAGGGGTCGTCCATAAATTACGTAAGGCATTTAGGGGGGAGAGGGGGTCTGATAGTTCTTACGAAAAATAGAAAAAATGGCACTAATGTATGTAAAATATCTTACGAGGGGGACGGGAGGGAGTAAAAATTTTTCAAAAATATGTTTTACGTAATTTATGGAGGCCCTCCTTACAGAATTGACAATTTTTTAAAAGAGGCGAAAAATAATTATTCAATATTTGGCTTAAAAAGTTAAAATAAAAGAAAAATGTTGAATTTTAAGAATTTTCGATTTTCGGTTCCAAATATATTTAAATTTAACATCTTCATTTATACAAATTTTAATTTTCTTGAATAAATAATTAATTGTTATTAATGGTCAAAAAAGGTATTTTAAAATATATTATTTTTAAGGTCATTTGGGGTAAATGTAGACAGTTGATATTTCCGCTTAAATTAAATTTTTGTAAATAAGTATTGCTATAAAACTTAAACATTACACATATAGGTATACATAATATTATACTCATGACAGCGGCTCATATATTTATTTTCTCATTTTTCATTTGTCATTTGACAGTAATGTATTCCAAGTTGTTTTCTAATGTATTGAGAGTTAAGAGTTTAAGCATAACCCTTTAGTATTCTTTTCGTATATTTGCATTAGAAATGATATGTTGTTTTTATTATTTTTAATTTATTTTAGAAGAAAAATTTATGATACACCTGCGTATTAGGGTATAATCATTAAAAATTTTAATTGATTCATTACTTTATTTTTAATTTAATGTATAATTATTTTTTCCCACTCAATTCAAAAATGAATTTATATTTTTAAAAAAGATCATATTTTTGGTAATAATAAAACCCTTTTTTTAAGTTACAAAATTTTATTATTATTTATAATTTTTAACAAATTTTTTTACACTATACTTCAATTAATTTAAAGCAATATTATGGCAAAGTTTAAAGACGGACTTTACGGACCAAAAATGAAAAATACGGCCCATTTACGGACTAATTACTGTTACTGTAATTTCTTCAAAATTATTTTCATCATTTCAATTCAATTATTATTTTCAAAAATTTTTAACTAAAATTCTTCTTTAAATCAATTATTTTTAATGATTTTCGAAAAACTTCTTCGAGAATTTTAAAATCCATTTGTTTACAATTCAATTATACGATTATATTATTATAAAAAAAAATTAAATTTACAGAATTGTTAGTTAAAAGTATTAAAAATTTTAATTTTCAAAGATTTTAATTCAATTATTTATAAAAATTCACGCTATGGTGGTTTTTTAATATTCAATTATTATCTAAACTTTTAACTGAAATTCATTTTTAAATTAATTTTTATTAGAAAATTCTAAGAAAATTCAATTATTTAAATACAAAAATTAAAAATTTATTGAATAATTAAATCTTTCTTTAAATTAAATTCTTACAAAGAATTTTATCAACAAATTTTTAAATAATTAATTTCTTTTGAAAAATTTAAAATAAAGTTTTTAAGAATAATTACATTTTTCGAAGAATTCGATTAAAATTGGATTAAAAATGATTGAAATTCTGCAATGAGTTTTATTATTTATGAAAATAAAATAATTCCTAAAAAGAATTTTATTATTTATGAAAATAATGAAATTATTGCAAACAAATTTATAAAAAATTTGTAAATTATTGAATTCCTGTGAAATTTTTACTACTTTATGAAAATAAATAATATGTTTGCATAGAATTTTATTAAATTTTTTTTAAATAATTGAGTTTTTTTTAGAAAATTTTATTAAAATAGTAAATATTGAAAATTATTGAATTGAGAAAATTTTTAAAAATAATTGAAATTTTGCCGTGAATTTTATCAAAATTTTTTTAAATTATTGAATTGATACGAAGAATTTTATTGTAATTTTTAAAAATAATTAAATTCTTGTAACGAATTTTTAAAAAATTTTCAAAAATAATTAAATTCTTACGAAGAACTTTATTAATATTTTTGGATTAATTGAATTCTAGCGAAGATTTTTATAAAAATCATTTTAAATAATTAATTTTTTTTTTGAGATTTTATGAAAATTGTGTTTAAAAATAATTAAATTAAAGTTTATTATTTATGGGAAAAATTGAATTCTTAAAAAAAATTTTATTACTTATTTACGAAAATAATTGAATCCCTGTAGAAATTTTATGTTATTTATATGAAAATAATTGAATTCTTATTCGGTAATTAAGTTATACACCTTTCATTTTGAATAGTAATTTAAATTTATTGAATTTAATTATCACAAATTCTTAGTTACAAAATTAAATCTACTTTTGTCATTTTATACATGGATAAGTATATGTATGTTAATATTTAGTTTTTTCCTTAATTAATTTTCTCGAAAAAAATAGATTTTCTTTTAAAAGTTACCTAATATTGTAAGGCAAGACTAAAACCCTTGTCCAAAGTAAAAATCTAGTAAGTCGCATTTGCCGTAAAGTAAGCGACTTTCGCCTTAAGGTCATGTTATTCAGTGGTCACGTGCTCCATATACTTTACTATGGGAACACGTGACCACTGAATAACATGACCTTAACGGCAAATGCGACTCAATAGGTTTTTGCTTTGGACAGCAGAAAAATAATATCATTTTCCAAAAAATTAGACTATAAACTATTACCTTACAACTTCCTGTACAATAAATAGTCAGACTTAAATAAGAAATCGTTGAATTTAAAATTGTATATTAAACAATTTTTTAAAATGGAAGAGAAACACAAAAAAAGCTTTAAAAATATAGAAAGTTTTAAAAATTCCAACTTTGCGATTAAGTTGTAGGATCCGTAAAAACTTAATAGGTACTTGAGAAAGAATTTCTTCGAATTAAAATTGTTTAAAAATTCAAAAACTTTATAAATAATTTAAATAATAATTTTATAATAAACATCTTGATCATAAGTATTCTTTTGAAAAAATACAAATATTTCAAGTGCAAATTTCAACAAGTGTAATATTTATAATAATAATAATAATAATTATAATAATATAATTCAATAATAATAATAATAATAATAATAATAATAATAATAGCATTACAAGTAGCACACAGCGCAGAGAGATACAAAATTGTTTAACATACATTGTAAATATCTAATGTTTATATATACAAAAGTAAAGAACTATTTTGAAATCTTGAAATCGAGATTTCTTTTATGGAAGATATTAAGTTGTAACTTCTATTTATAAATTAATTGACAATAACCTAACTTACATATATAAATAATTTGAAATGCTTAGCATTAGGATCTTACAAAAATTGATATTTTGAATCCGCATCGAAAAAAAATAATTAACAATTTGAATACGCTAAAAAACACGATCTTGATAACCACTTTCAGCAACACTTGTGCTGGGTTTCGATGGTCCACCAGTCACAGGATGATGAGGATGTCTTAAATGTCCTTGTCTTCTGGGTGGGGCCAAATATTCGAACATACTTTGCGTATGTTGAGCCAACATTTTACTGAGATCACAAGGCATTGGATCGGTCCAGAAAAAGTCATGATTTAAGGCAGTGTCCGAGTCATATCTCTTACTAGGATCTAATATTAACAATTTGTCAAGCAAATCACATGCGAATGCATCTTTCACATAGGGTTTTAGTCTTTCTTTTACCTGAAAGCATTTATGATTTTTATAGAAATTTGATTAAAATTAGACAAATTATTTATTTTAATAATTCAAAACTATCAGAAAATGTAACAATAAAACAATTTTAAATTAATCAAAGTGACTTACTTTTCTTTTCTGTCCTTTGATTAAATCCATTTTATTGAATAATTCTAAAGCTTCTACACCAGGCCAAACATCAGGTACGATCGAGCCACATAATTGAGATATTAAAGTCAGTTGTTGTTGTTCCGTGTTACCCTGCATAATTGGCGATCTGCAAAAAAAAGTTTAATATTAATTATTCCACTTAATTACAAAACAATTTTTTTTCATAAAAAAAATTGCCGGTAAGAACTATTTTTGCCGGATATAAAAAAACTCTCAAAAATTGTTTTCAAGATTTCAATTAAATTATTTTCTAGAAATTTTAACTAAAATTCTTCTCTAATTCACTTATTTTTAATATTTTTTTGAGTAAGTTCCTTAAAAATTCAATTATTTAAAAAAAAGTTCACATAAAACTAAAATATTTCTAAAATCCACTTATTTATAATAATTTGAAAACTTTACAATTAACAATATATTTAAAAATATGACTAATTTAAAAAAAATTTGGATGAAAATGTTTCAAAAAAATAACTTATTCACAATTTTTAATTAAAGATTTTTAAAATTCAACTTTTCTAAAACTACAATTTGAAAATTTTTGAAATTCAATCTATTAATAATATTTGTAGTATTTTAACATTCTAAAATATAAAAATAGTTACTTATAAATTATTGCAGAAAAACGAATTGATATTAATGCAAAATACGGTCTTTAAAAAAATTATTTTTTAACAAAAACAGAATTATATTTATTTTTATTTACTTTATTTATTATTTAAAAATTAATTAATAATAATTAATTTAAACTTTAATTGTTTCGAAGAATTTTGTGAAAATTAAATTCTTTTGAGAAATTCAATTAAAATTGTATTGAATTCTTGCAAATTTCTCGACGAATTTAATTAAATTTTTTGAAAATAATTGAATTATATTAAAGAATTATATTAAAGTTGAATTTTTCAAAATTTTCTATCTGAATTTATTTAAAAATTAAAGATGATTTTTGAAAATAAAAAATTTTGTAAGTTACATAATTATAATAAATTAAATAGACAGTATTCCTAGTTATTCATATAGGTATTACAATTTATAAAAATTGAAAACGCAACTTTTACATATAAAATTCAATTATTTTTTTAAGTTTTAAATAAAATTATTCGCAAAATAATTTAAAATAAATTTAACTTCAAATCTGTAAAGTTTAATTATTGTTAGAAATAAAAAAAATTTAAAATTAAATTAAATATTTTTCCAATACTTTTGACAAGAAATCCCCGACTTTTCCCTGACCTGCGGCAACCCTGAATATGTATTTTAAATATTTAAAAAAAACGTTTTTATAGAAGAATATTCATTTAAAAATATAAAATAATAAATGTGTCATTAATAAAAAATATTCCAGCAAAAAAACGTTTGCCAAGACTTTACCTAGTCCACATTTCAGCCATTATACAACCAGCACCCCATAAATCTACTGGCGGTCCATAGTTTCGATCCCCCAATAACAATTCTGGCGGTCTGTACCACAAAGTAACAACTCTATTTGTGTAGCGATTCGCTTGACCATTTTTATTTGCACTAAATGCTCGTGCAAGTCCAAAATCGGCGAGTTTCAGAACTCCATTCTTCGTTATTAAAACATTAGCAGCCTTCATATCTCGATGTAAAATCTAAAACAATATTTTCATGTATATTCTTTCAAAATATAAAATAGCGGCTTTCGCATTTACTAATTCATTAAAATGAGTATTTTCAAGACTGAAAAGTAGTAAAAAAATAAGTATCGAAAAATTAAATTTGACAAATCAATAATTTTTGTTTTAATAAATATTTTAATTCAAAACTTTAATAAAAGAAGGTGAATTGATAATAATTTGAAAAAATAAACATAAATTTTTTTATTTCAACTATTAGTGCAAATTCCCCCAAAAAAATAACTTTTAGTGGCACCAATATAAAAAAAAATACCTAAATAGTAGCAAATCGTAAAAAAAGTAGTAAATAATAAATAAAACCTAAAAATAGTGATACAATGTGAAATATAATTTTAAGTAATATAAATTACATACATACTTTGTTACTGTGTATATAATATAGTCCATTTAAAAGTTGTTGCATAACTTTTTTAATTTCTCCCAAACTAAATTTGACGTTGACATTCGAAAGTAAACCAGCGAGATCGTGCTCGCAGAAATCAAAAACCAAATAAAACGTTGAGCGATAGCGATTAAATTGTGTCGCTGAAAAAATTCAAAAAATAACGGTCAATATTTTTGTTGTTGTTGAAATATTAAAATCAATTTTAACTGGAAATTTACCTTTTGTTCTACAGATTTCTATTAAATTGACTACATTTTCGTGTTTGAGTAGTTGCAGTATTCTGATCTCTCTCAATGCAGTAATAGGGAACTATATAAAAAAAAGAAAATTTGCATTATTAATTCATAATTTCATTTACAGATTTAAAGAAATTGGGGCACTTTTCGCAAAATTTCATTTGTTACTCTGTCAGGGATTACAGTGATTTTTCATGTAAATTTACGTAAAAAAAGGGATTATATTTTTCAAAAAGGGAATTCAGTTTAAATAAAGAAGAATTTCTAAATTAAGATAAGAAATTACACAGTTCTGTAGATTTATCTACATATTTTTTTAAACTGCTATTTTAAAAAAAATATTATTGGTCATAATTTCTGTTTTTCCAACTTTGGAATTTTAGGTTATGTAACTGTTTGTAAAAGAATACTCTACGTAAACAATCTTTTAAGAAGTTTAAATAATTGACAATTTAAATAATTAAACATAATATTAAATGATAATTCTTAATTAAAAACTTATGTTGAATAGAAACTTCATAACATAAGAATATCGAAGTTTTGCATAAATTATATTTATCCAATTATATGCATTGTATTGTCCCTTAATTATCTTTCTGACTCTGGGTTTGAAATTATTTTACAAAGAAACAAAACATTTCTCTCAAATGCAGTTAAAGTTGCTTGCAGAAAAGAAGTAGAACATAGAAAATAAATAAGAATATTAAACATGCATTTTAAAATTTGTGTATACTTACGCCTTCTTTTTCGTTCTCCATCAACACTTTCTTCATAGCCACAAATTTTTTATTTGTTTTCTTATCCTTAGCTTTGAATACCTCGCTGAAATAAACAAAACGAACAAACTAACAAAAGTACTTAATAATTAATTAGTTTCCTAATCAAATTTCGATTTACAAATACGAAAAAATATTGAAAAATCACACGTAATACATCAGTTATAGGTGAGTTATAGAAACATGAAATTCAATATAACCTCAAAGTATCTTGTAAATTATACTTTTCTAAATTACACCGTTAATTAATTGATAAACTTACCCAAATGTACCTTGGCCAATTTTGGCAACTTTTTCATATTTACTGGACTCCTCACAAAATGGAAAACTAAATTCTTCCACATATTTTTCTCTTTCCTTTTGATTCATAGTTTTTTACTCGAACGAATAGTCAGTTTGAAGATAATTAAATTTCCACTTCTTGTAGTTACTTTTAATTACAGTTTTCATAGCAAGCAAGAACACATATTAGGTTTAATTATTTTTAAATTATCATTGCAATTTGTTTATTTTAATTCTCAGAAAATCTCCAAGATTTTTTTTGGCAGAGCAAAAAGCAAGCAGGAAGTAGAAATGGTCAACAATGCATTAAAGGTGAGTTCAGAATGCTTATAATATTCAGGGATGGGTTGTCAACATAGATGGAATAGGGAGAGGGGGATGCATACATTTGCCGCAAAATGAAAAGAGCATAATGACTATTATGTCGAATTCACAATTGTAAAATAACTGAATAATTTAGGAATTTCCATCGAATTTTAAATTAAAAAAAAATTTTGTTCTGGAATTATCATGAATGAATAATGGAGCATTTAGGCTGCGGTTACACCTCTGCAGGCAGCCTGCCTGCCTGCAGGTTGTCATGGTAACGTACAAGAGTAAGAGAGTCAGTGACTTCAAACTTCTCCTTTACTCTCGTTGCTCCTGCCTGCGCAGGCAGGCAGCCTGCAGAGGTGTAACCGCAGCCTTACGCTTTCTGTAAAAATGGTCCAGAACGGAAAATTTACATTGGAGTAAGAGAGATAGACTGTGTGTCTGTCTCTCTTACTCCAATGTAAATTCTCCGTTCTGGACAATTTTTACCGAAAGCGTAAATGCTCCATTAAATCAAATAAGTTCGATTCAAATGTTTATTTAATGGAAAATCTAGAAGTGTCTAAGAGTGCAGTCCCATGGTGGTAGATTAGTAGAATAGTGGAACAGTTTTGACCAATCAGATGACTGGATTTTTTAACACTTATTTTGATTGGTCAAATCTATTACACTACTCCACTATTCTACCAGCATGGGACTGCATTCTAAGGGTGGAGTCCCATGGCAGCGTTTTGCGTTGCGTTGTAATAAGAGAGAATGCAGCAAACGTATATTTGCGTCTTTTTCTCTCCCATTACGACGCAACGCAAAACGCTGTCATGGGACTCCACCCTAAAGGCGCTTGCACACTTTCAAAATTTTGGGCGAGCAGCGAATTTTCATGGCCTTGAAACTCATATTACTAAATATGATTGGCTCTACAAAAAGCTGCGTGAAAATGTACTTTGTCAGAGCCAATCATATTTAGTAATGTGCATTTCAAGGCCGTGAAAATTCGCTGCTCGCCTAAAAATTTGGAAGTGTGCAAGCGCCTTAAAGGTACCGTCCCATGACGGTGTAAAAGCGTCGGCGTAAAGTCCTAAGCACAATAGATTCGCGAAAGTCGTTCGCGAACGCAAAGCATGAGTTAGAAAAGGACAGAGATATATTTGTGTCCTTGTCTATCTCATGCGTCTCGTTCGCGAACGACTTTCGCGAACCTATTGTGTACGGAAGCTTCTACGCGCCACCCTGCGGCACTCACTCGCTTTACGAGGCACAAGGCAAATGTCGTTTGAAGCACCCTGCTAGTGAATGCCTTGTACGATGCCTCGGTGTGTGCCTCGTAGGGTGCCTCGATGCGTGCTTTGTGCGACCAGTAGTAGACCAGTGTTTTGAAATTTTAAACGGCTTTAAATGTAAATCAGAATTCTCAAAAAAAAAATTTGACTAGTTCAGGTTAAATTAATAACTAATTGCTGTTAATATTTTTAAATTAAAAAGTGTAAATTTTAGAATAATTACAAATTTTGTTGAATCTTTTTTTGGATTGTAGTGAGGGTGTTGAAATGTATTTTTACTTGAGAGATAGGTTATATAACCTCTAGTTGTCTTAAAAATTTTAAGCAAATATGTACATCTTGAATAATTATTGAATTCAATCCTCATATATAAAAATATATTGAATCGTACTTGCAGCTTGTCATAAATAACTTTTTTGGTAGGTGAAAATGGTGAAAACATAACCTTGACATTTTATACTCAAGTAAAAGAAACATTTCAACACCCTCACTACAATCTAAAACAAGATTCAACAAAATTTGTAATTGAAGGGTGGCATGACAAAAATGGTCAAGCAACAATTTAACGATTTTACAGGAAACGAAAATAACACATTAAAAATTTTTTCTGATCATTAAAGAAAAATCTAAAAAAAACCGTTTGGAAATACTATTTCGCTCAATCAGTAGAAATAAAATTTATGAAGATAAACCTACAACCTACATATTAGTGAGAAAAATAAGTAAAAGTGTACTATTTTGTGGTTACGTCAAATGCGCATATTTTGTTATAAAATTATAATTGTTAAAAAATATACAGTTTAAAGAAAAACTGAAAAATTAGTTTTTTAATATTGAAATGACGAATTGAATGCAAAAAAGTTTGCTTTGAAAAAGTTGTTTGTTTTCAAGAAAATTGTTAATTTAATGTTAACTTTTGAAAGTAAAAAGTATAGAAATTATCAAATGTAAACTACAAACAGGAATATTTAAAAATTAACAGAAGAATAATATTTAAATTATTGAAAATTAGATAAAGAATAAAAATTATTTCTAAATAGACATACAGTTTTTCAGAGAAATTTAATATATATTTAATGATATAAAAAAGAAATAAATATTTTTAACGATATTAATCTATTCATAATAATATTCATTTCTTTTGTTTTTTAACTGAATTGCATTGTAAGTAAAAATATGTAGGCTATTGTCTTATTCTTATTTTTATTAAAAACGAGTTTAAAAAACAATTTACAAGAAAATCCTTTTACAGAACTGTGTAAAAGAATTTACCTGATTTTTTTCTAAAAATATCTCAATTTCGAAAAATTGTTGCTGACTCCCTTTTGTCATGCCACCCTTCAATTATTCTAAAATTTACACTTTTTAATTTAAAAATATTAACAGCAATTAGCTATTAATTTAACCTGAACTAGTCAAATTTTTTTTTTGAGAATTCTGATTTACATTTAAAGCCGTACAAGCATCGTACAAGGCATTCACTAGCAGGGTGCTTCAAACGACATTTGCCTTGTGCCTCGTAAAGCGAGTGAGTGCCGCAGGGTGGCGCGTAGAAGCTTCCGTAATTGTGCGTTGGACTTAAAGCAGAAATCGTGCAATAGAAAGAGATGAGCAGATATCACGTTCTCACTCTCTCACATGGTTTACGCTTTACGCCGACGCTTTCACGCCATCATGGGACGGTACCTTTAGAAGTTCGAATTTCGAAAACTAGAAATAAAATTTGCTTCCTCTTTTACTCTTGCATGTAACCATGACAACCAGCAGCTGTGAAAGTACCTTTAAGGATAAATAAAATATATTATGAATTCACCTTTACCATCCCTGGAGTACGCGGAGTACGCCATTCTATTGACATTTTTCATTTTCAAGGCTTATTTTCATATTTATATAGTTTTTCGAAATTCGAGTTCGATTCCACTTTTTTCCTGGGTGTCTTTTTTTAGAAAAGAAAAAAGAGTAGGAAGCACGAATAATTAGAATAATCAAATAATGAAAATACAGCAAACTAAGGAAAATACCTTCCTCGGCATCGCCGTACATTCGCTTCGATTATTAAATTTAATTCTCTCGTTTTCGAGGACACTTAACTTTCTTCCCAGCTAGATAAATTGATAAGATAAAAAAACCAATTTACGCGGTAGATATCAGAAACAAGACATGAATTCTGGTGGGAAATTTGTCAGTGTCATCATCAACGCCAGGCATTAAACGACAATGCACAGCAATTGACGTCAAAGTTTTTATTTATGTCTCTTTGCCTTCTGTGCCTTTAAGTGTTTGTAGTGGTAGCACTGTTAGTGCATGTTCAAGAAGGGAAAATACATTGTGGTGTCTGGCTGTTCAAGGTAGACAAGAGGCACTTTTTCTACGTTACTGACAAATAATCTCGGACTGATTCGCGTGATAACAGATTCGTTCCGGCAGTGAAAAGTGCGATTGAAATTTTGTGAGTGTATTTGTTTTGTGCCGAGGATACCAGAGTTACTCTAGGTGTCGTCATTGCCTGATCGCAAGCAAGAGACGGCCCAGACTGCCTTCGAAATGCTCAGTTTGCTATATTTAGCGGGCACCCTCGCCTTCGTTAACGCAGGTGAGTTCAATAGTCACGACAAAGCTTATGATTGTCCCTTTAATTATCACTGAAATGCACGATCATCAACATGCAAATAAGTAGTAAGTGTACAAAGTCGTTTGACAGAATTTTGACAGCAACTTTTCACTTTGTCAAAAGAGAAAAAAAAATTCTTGTCAATTTTCTAGTTTCATTATTACTATATATGGCAATTTTTAATTTTTATTTTTATTGAAAAATTAATCGATAAACTACATGATGTTTCGTTAAAAAACAGCTTAAGTCTCCTAACCTCAATTTTTCTTATCTTAACATTGTTCGACCCTTAATCTCATTATTTCTGTTAATGCACAAAAACATTGTTCGAGAATACAAAGCAAATAAGAAAAACATTTAATGTTAAGAATTACATTTATGATTCACAGTTGATGTTTATTAATGTTGTTTATTGTTCAAAATGGACTGTCATCATTGGCTAAATATAAATAATGATAACATGAAAATTATTTAATTATAAAATTTGTATTTTATAATAGAAACTGTAAATATGAATTATTTTAAAGAAAAATATTTTTTTTGTTAAATCTTTTATTTAATAAAGTACAGGTAAATTTATACTTTATATTATAAAGACAAAAAATTAAACTAAGAGAGAAAATATATTTTTTAAAAACTATAAGAAGCGATGGTGATCGGCCAAATTAATTAAAAATGACTTAAATAACTCGATAATTGTATAATTGTGTACAAAGTCGAACAAAGGGTGTTTTCGTGAATTATTGGCAGTACGATCTAAGTATATCACGATTGGTCAATCCAGAAGCATGTTCGTGTTGATTGGTCCATTTTACTCTGCCATTCAAGTTGTAAATCTTGAAAATCCTATTAACATACAAACTTCGAAATTAGTCTTAAATATTTGGTCACTTTCAATGTGTGTTTAAAATAAAATTTTGTTTGTTATGTTACAACCTGATAATAATAATATTAACACGAAAATTAGAAGCTTACAAATTTTTTCGCATTTACTTAAAAAATGGTACGTATTTTCTCATTCTATTTTACGATAACTTTTAATTGTTTTTAATAATTGTTATATTTTTTTTAAATTGAAAAAAAATTGTTTTTATAGATTAAATAACTTTTTTTTTGCATAAAACGTGTTTTATTAGAAATTGAATGCTATTTTTACAAAAAAAAAATTATTCTGAAACACCGACAAGAAACACAAAATCGTAAAAAAACACAAAGTTGAAGAAAAAATATTAAATTTTCTCCTTTTATTGTATAAAAAGATTTCTGGATTCAGTCCGTTATATAACGTAAGTTAGGTCAAATTTGACCAGTTTTTTTTACCTATAGGTCAATCTTGTTAGGCCAAAACTTAGGGAAATTTGACCTATTTTTTGAGAAAGTTTCTTAAAAATTCATTTATTTCAATAAAAGTTCACCTAAAACTAAAATATTTCCTGTTTATAAAAATCTTTAAAAATTTTGCCCGTTTATAAATAAATAAATAAAATCCACTTGTTTATAAAGCAATTTCATGAAGTTTCGAATAATTTGAAAATTTCTGAATATTAAATATTTGTTTAAAAATATATTAAATTTCAAAAACAATGTTTCAAAAAACTAACTTATTCAGAATGTTTATTTACAATTTTTAAAAATTTAACTTTTTAAATTCTCATAAAAAATGAGAAGGTCTTTTTTAAACTTTAATTTGAAACTTTTTGAAATTCAATCGATATTAATAATAATTAATTTAACATTCTAAAATATAAAAATAGTTACTTATAAATTATTGCAGAAAAACGAATGATGATTAATATAAAATACGGTTTTTTAAAAATTTATTTTTTAAGAAAAACAGAATTTTATATTTATTTTAATGTCTAGTTCTATCTAGAATTAAAAAATTAATTTTTAGAAATTTCGTAACACTTGTGTTGTAATTAGTTCAAATATTTACTAATTCAAATTTAGTAAATAAGTTTTGTGATAATATTATTCCAAAAAAAAATTCTAAATTTATATTTCACATTATTTTATTATTCACATTTTTTTTTATTTATTTCATTTTATTTATTTTAAAATTTTTTTATAATTTTAATATATAACACTTTTAATGACATTTTATATTATTTTCTGTAATTTTTGTACCTTTTTTTTTATTTTGAATCAGTTTTGCTTATAATTTTGTTAAAAGTTTTGAAGAAAGAATTAATTGTTTTGAAGAATTTTATGGAAATTTTATTATGAAAATAATTAAATTGCTTTTAGGAATTCAATTAAAAATGTAGTGAAAATAATTGAATCTCGTGCGAAGAATTTTATTCAATTTTTTGAAAATAATTGTTAAATTGTTTTTAAAAATTTTATTAAAGTTTAATTTTTTAAAAATTTTTCATCTAAAATTATTCCAAAATTGTGGTTTTTGAAATTAAAAAAATTTTGTATTTTACATAATTTGCAATAAATTAAATATTCAGTTTTCCTAGTTATACATATAATATTTATAAAAATTATATGCGCAACTTTGATAAAATTCAATTATTTTTTGAATTTTTAAATAAAAATTATTTGCAAAATTATTTAAAATACATTCAATTTCAAATCTATAAAGTTCAATATTATTGTTGGAAATAGAAAGAATTTACAATTAAATTGAATACTTTATTTTTTTTTTTTAAAGAAATTTAAATTAAATTTAATAAAGTGGTTATATTAAGCAACAAGGGGCTAAAAGTGTCGATTTTGAGATAGCAGATGACAGGAAGTAAAGGTCATTCACTTGTTCGACTTGTATGAAAATGCCGTTTATTATGATCTGAATTCAATCGGAACTCATATGGCATTCCGTCGAAAACGAAATTCCAAGGAACACTTTCCTAGTAATCTTTCCACTTGATGGTTAAAACTTATAAATCTTAAATATCATTAAGATACTTTAAAAAGCATCTTATATATGATGGAAGATACAATTTTTTTATCTTACGTCTTATTTTAAGATATCTAAAAAGTCTCCTATTTTTAGTGTTGTTTTTAATATAAGATTTACACGAGTAATATTCGGGAAAAATATTAATTTTTTATAAAAATTTATTCTCTTCAAAAGTCGTCACTTCATGGAAAGTCACCCATATAATAAATATTTTTTAAATATTACACAATGTATGTATACATATGGTTCTAAATATAACATTATGTAAATTATATTTGGTTTCGAATGTATATAAATATGCGCGCCATAGATTCAATTGGCGTTTTTTTCTAAAGTATAAAAGTAGATACTATCCGTTACGGAGGGGAGTCTAGGTCTGTTCCAAAATATATTGATTTTAATAGGGAAATAAAACATTTTCTTAGCGTTTAGCTACTGGCATTTATGAGACATTTTTTCAAATAAGACACTGGTCTAAGAATTAATTACAATAGTATATTTTCTTTGAAGAAACGAGTAAACATACAGGGGCGAGGGAAATTTTTATATAAGACGTTGATCCGTAAAAAATTGTTCCTTTTCTTTAGTTAAAAATCACTGGTAGCACACAATTTACTGTATTATTGCTGAAAACATTGCTTAATTCTGTATTACTCTATAAACTCGACCTTACGGAAAATACGATTGCTAGGTTTTCACTTTGGACAGCAGAATTGATGCCGTACAAAATAAAAAAGTCTATAACTTTAATTCGTTTTTAGACTGAATAAACTGAATTTAGCTTTTAGGATAAATAATTTTATAGAAAATGTCATTTACGGACTTTTTTTACTTATCATGAATCGAAAGCAGCAAAAAGTAGTCTCGTGCACAAAACTAATTTAATTCAAGGAAATTGAAATTAAAATATTTTGCCTTACCTCTTTATGAATCAATTAAAACATAACGAGATATACTTCTAGGCAAATGAATTAATTATGATACAGGAAGTGAGAATTAACTCGTGCTTCAAAGGGGGATTTTTATTATCTCGTATTGATATTTTAGTTGATTTGATATTTTCATGTTTTTCACGTGGTCTAATTGAATAAACTATAGGAGCTTTTTGTGTAGTTTGTATAATTTATATTGAATTGAACTACTTTTCAGTAAAAATGGCGTGAACGAGTAATTTGCTCTTTCTGAGAGAATGACCCTTCTTAGAGTATACAAAGCTATTTATATGCTTCTTGATTAAGTTTTTTAATTCTATGGTATATTCAACTGACACAGCATTTCTCAAGCATTGTAAGTACAATCTAATCACGTGATGACGTACACTTATGACGAGTAATCACATGACAGCACGCGCCTTTATTTTATAAATGAAGGTTTTTCGCTTGATTGATTCGAAAGTAATTTATACTCCCAGTATATTTGTACCCTATAGGCATAGTTTTAAAATTAAATTTCTTGAAATCCTGAAAATTTTGAATTATCTTCCAAAATAGGGTCTTAAATAGAAAACTTAACTTTCAGTTTAACTAATATAAAGAATTTTGACTAAACTGATTAAAAAGTAAACTGATGTAAAAAGAAGTTTTTAGAATGTATCATAGTTTTATTTTTTCTAAACGGTTAATAGAAGATATTTAAAAAGTTGAAACTTGATGTCTCTTTTAGTGTTCTCAGTAAAGTAGTTAAAGTACTTATGGAAAAGTTTAGGCGAAATTACATTTCACAAAGTATGCAGATAGGTTTTGAGTGACTCAATCATTAATTATCATAATCGTTCTCTGACAGATGTCTCATATTCATGTTCTTTCAATAATTAAAAATATTCTGCAGTGTTCAACAACTTTTGTAAAAAAAATCTTCGAATTTTTGCTGAGAATTTTGATATTGAATTTGAATAGTTAAAATCCCTCTGAAATAAAACATCTCGATACACGAGCCTAGATAACATCTTTTACAATAGTTGAATGAAGATAAAAATAATGATTGTGGGTGGGAAGCTCTGCCAGACATCGTAAACTTTTTTTACAGCTGGAAGAGTTTTGTCACTAATATTGTAGACGAATAAATAGAGAAGACGAATGTTAGCATATACATTGTCAAACACATAAAATGTTCCCTGTTAAAAACATTGTATTGATATTTGTTATCATGGTTATTTATATTTTTAATTAAATAATTTAGCATCTATTTATATAGTAGCATCTATAACAGACATAATATATGTTAATAATATAATAAGAAATATAAGAATAATTAATATAATAGTAATATATAATAATATATAATAGCATTATATATAGCATCTAATTTTATAATTACATTTTTATTTTATATACCTAATGAAGCTAAAGTCCAATCGTTACTATATTGTTTTCTAAACTTTATATTAGTTTGTTAACATTTCAACAAGTTCTTCTTTTAAATTATTTTGTCCGAAATAGCATTTTTTTTCTCTGCTTTAATAGCCGATTAACTTATTTTCATTTATTAAATACATAGACAATCTAAGTTACAAAACATTAACTATAATATTAAATAATAAAACTATTATTAATCATAACTTGTATAATGGGACGATAGCGCGATTAAACGCAATTAAATTCTGCAAAAAAAACTTCTACTCAGCAAATTCTACATGAGAAAACTCACATTATATTTAAGTAGGTGACATTAATTCTGCACAAATAAACCCTATATATGCAAAAAACTCAATACATTATGATTAGATAAAATTTAATTTAATTAAATTTTGTTTACTTTATCACTACTAAGTATACTACACAGTAAAATTTTATGCACAATAAACTTCGATACAGAAGAAAATATAATTTTCGATGCTTCAATTTAATTACTAACTCTACTACATTAAACTGACCACATGACTTTTACTCAAATAAATTTAACACAAATTCTACATACAAAAAAATTGTATTATTTTTAATTAAATTATTTACTCTACGTCGTTAAATTAAATACCAGATAACTATAAACAAATAAAAACCTTAAATTAATGTGTATTTAATGAAACAAATAAAAATTGTGCGCGGAGAAACTCAACATAGCTATAATTGAGATAGATGTTCACTTGTTCCAGAAGTAACTGTGTTGAGTTTTATCGTGTAGAAAATAATCAATGGTCGACAAAATTTTGCTACAAGAGTAAACGATGGTTATTATTCAATTATATATATAATCTATAAATTACAGCAAGAGCTTTAATTCCGAAAATTGAAAAATCTTCGAAAGTCATTGTAGCAGTACAACTACATTTGTTGCATTTCTTCAAGATAAGCGAATTTTAAAATACTTTTACTTCTTTTAAGTCGAAAAATCAAAGGATGCATTTGATTCTTGGCATTTGGACTTATCTGATATATTTTTAAAATACACTCATCATATTTATTAAAAGACACGACTTGATGCGAATTTTAATATGTTTACAGTTTAACCAAAAATTTTGAATCAGTTGTACGATTACACAGTTCACGTTTAAATATCTAACCAACTTCAGTCTATTTTTGAATGTCTTTAAAAAATGGATCTAATTAGCGACAAACAAATCCGATTTTGAAACTAAAAAACTGAATAATTCAATTTAAGAAAAATACATATAATAAATAAACTTATCAACTACATTTCAATTTTCATAATTGTTTTTTTTATTTCATTTCTATATATTTTATTATTATTTACTTAGTTATTTATTTATTATATATACTTTAAAAAAGTTGTGACTCTATACTGTGAGAAAACTAATGGTAATAAGTTTCTTTATGGAAAAATGTCGGTAGCAGTATAATTACATTTATGACAAAGAATGGAAAACGTTTTTGATTTCGGAAAAATTCGTGAAATTCTGATAATAAAGTACTGCCTTAGCCTAATAAGATGATAAAAAATATCTTATTTATTCTCTGATAACGATAAAATTCTTTTCTTAATAGGGATATTGTCGTTCAGGTCTTATAATAATTTTAATTTAATCTAAAGATTGACTATAATTGTCAACTAATTAAATATGAGTTTAGTAACTTAATAGGTCTATTAAAAAGTCGAATTTGAGTTGAAATATTTTTCACACATATTTCTTATTGTGAAACTACATATAATAATTAAAACTACTACGTATTACAAAATAAAAATTCGCTCAAATATATTTTACTTTTAAACCGAAAAATGTACCTTCAGTTCGAAAAACATAGGTTAAAAAATATATTTATTTCAACAATTTTTTCAATTAAGTATTACATGCTTTATGAATGACCCCTAAATATAAAATTTATATTTCTTAACTTTCAGAAGGTAAAAAAATAGTAATTTTAGTTATAATTTTAAAAAATATAGGATTAATATACGAACAAGGATTGCGCATTTTTAAAACAAACAAGTTCCGAAAAAAATGACTTATTCTTTTCATTTAGTTAAAGGAGTTGCTGAAAATGATTATTTATTCGTTCAGTTGAGGAATAAGGAAGAATGGTTTAGGTTTCGCCTAGAAATAAAGTAACACTTGAGGTGGTTTTGTATTTTGATGATCGTGCTATTTGATGATTTCATGTGCTATAACTTACAATGTCTATTTTTCTAATTGTATAATTGTTATTATAACTGTTCAAGAGGTAACCTACTTCGGTCCAGAAAGCGTTCGGAATGGTACGTCGTGGACAATTTCTTGCACTGGATTTCAGGGCAAGAGTGATATATATTGGACGAAAAATGGTGTTTTACCAGAAGAACTATCTAAAGGAGATTTCCATATAGAAAAAAGTGATACGTTTACTAACATCAGCACTGACATCGGTTTGGAGATCCACGAGGGTGTCTATAAATGCGCGAGAAGCGCCAACAACACATTTCGATTAATTATTACAACCGGTTTGTAAAATTTCAGATAACTCAGTCTGGGTACTTTTTTTTGGGATTAGGGGTGCATGAATATTCCCCAATTAACAAGTACTTAGTAGTCGAACTGTTATTTAACAGAAAGGCATAAAACAGAATTTAAATTGAACAAAATAATTACATAACTATTCTGTTGAATTTAAATTCTGTAGCAAAATTTATATTCAACACTTCTGGTAGACGATAATTCTGTTAAATCTCAAGTTGTCAATATAATAATTCTGTTGAGTGTCAAATTACGTGACTATTCCGTTAAACGTCAATTCAGTTGTACGCTTTTCTGATAAATGACAATTCGGTTGTTCGTCAATATTGAGGAATATTCAAGCCACTATTTATGTGGTATTATGAAATAAATATGGATCAGCATGGCCCAGGTGTTAGAACCTTTGGTTCTTATTTTGCGAAAGTTGAAATTTTGTAGGTCACCAACCGAAATTCATTTTAGAACCTAAAGAAAATGAGTTTTTTTTACAAAAACAGCCCATTTGATAAATATTAATCCATGCCACCGAAGGGTTAAAGTTTAAATAGGATTTAACATGGGTTTAGTGTACTTCTGCAAGCTTTGTTATAACTTTTGAATTTATTAGCACTTTGAGTATACGCCGAATGCGAATCTGATGTTAAAAATAACAGCTATCTTAAAAATGAAAGTTCAGTCGAAAAGCACTTCTGAAATCTGTTTTATAATTCTACTAGAAAATATTAAAGTCGATATGGAGCATTAAAGTAACTAAAAGAGAATTTATGATAGTTAGGATCTTAGGAATCTGTACTATTAAATCTGGAACTCTTATGTTATTCAAATAATCAGATCGTTTTACGATCAAAGGAGACGTGCTCATAAAGTATACGCCACACAGATAGGAGGGATGAGAGGGTTTCAGAAAATTAAGACATGGGGAGAGAGCTCGTGCGTTTCCAGTTTTCAGGGTGTAAGATATTGATTAAAGGAGGCGCATGGTCATTTCCCGACTGAAAAGTAGTCGAATTGTTACTTAACAGCAAAGCACGCAATACATTTGTCATTCAGCATAAATTACATTCTATAAATTACTATTAAAAATCTGACTCCAACTTTACACCAATATGATTGAACATAACATCAAATGGTTAAAATGATGTTATTTCAATCTCGAAAAGTGTGAATGCTTGCATTTAATTGGTTTAAAGTTTTTAGCGAATCCAATCAAATGGAAGTATTCACATTTTTTGAGATTAAAAGTATAGAATTTTCAATCTTTCGGTTGTTTAGCCGAAATGACATTTCACATAATTTTCATATTTCGAAACACCATTAAACATAATTTTTAATTATTCGAATTATTCTTTATCCTAATATTTAAATATTAGAATTATCCTTTGACATAATTTTCAATACGTCGAAAAATTCTTTGACATAAATTTTCTTAATCCGAATGATTATTATTTCAGAAATTTTATTTTTCATAATTTTCATTTATTCGAATAACCATTTAACATAAAATTTATTTGTTGGATTGAGCCTCTATATTGTCCATGTGATTTAGTATTGGTTAAAATAGCACGCAGCAGAATCAACACAACTTTCTGTATTCACTGATGCATATTATATATATGTATATATACTGTAATTCAGAAGTTAAAAATGATCTTTATTTTGCTCTAATCCTAATTGAGAAGACCTTATTTAATTGATTTTTCTTTAAACAGATATCATATATAAAGTGGTGCCTTATGGAAACGAATTTGTGAAAAATAAGAAAGGCTATACGTTGATTAATCCAGTGCCGTTACAATGTGGAAATTCCACTGCCAAAGACACTGTGGAATGGACAAAGGATGGAAAAGTTATCGATCAAACGCATACGGATATCGAAAACTGGAGGATAAATGAATCACGAGTTCTCGAGCTGCTTCAAAACAATCCTGTTGTCATTGGAAATTACACATGTCAAAACAAAAATCAAAGTTTTTCCCTTCGCTTCAGAGTTGTTCGTAAGTTTTTTTAAAAATTAATTAAAATTATATTTGCATTGTTACGAATATAAAGTCAAATTTGAAGAATTCGAAAATTATATTCGTAATCAGCGATCCCAAAAGCTCCCAACTGAGAAATTTCATGCAGTCTTATATAGATTTTCAAGTTCTTTTATCCGCCATATTGGATTCGCCATTTTGAATTTTAAAAATTAGACTATTTCAATATTCTTGAAAATAGTGGAGTATTTTAAAAATAATTTTTACAGAAAATCTTGAAAGTAATTGAATTTTATAAAGAATTCAATTATTTATATAAAAATAACAAAATTCTTATCAAGATTTCACTTATTTTCAATAAAATTTTAACTGATTTCTTCGAAAATTTCAATTATTTTTAAAAATCTTGTTAAAATTCTCCAAAAAAAAATTCATTAATTTTTAAAAAATAATTGAATTTTTTACAAAAGTTAAATTATTTAAAAAGCTTAATAAAATTCAATTCAAGAATTAATTAATTTAATTATTTTCATAAATAACAAAATTTTCAATTTTAATTGAATTCCAGGGAAAGTTTAATTATTTTTAAACATTTTCTTAACATTCTTTGAAAGAATTCAATAATATCAATAAATAGTAAATTTTTCACAGGAATTCTATAATTTTAAATACAATTTTAATAAAATTCTTCTAAAAAATTTACTTATTTTTTAAAGTTTTGAAAAAAATTCAATTATTTATAGAAAAATAAATTTTTTCGCAGGGATTCAATTATTTAAAATAGTTTTAATAAAATTCTCTTCAAGAATTCAATTATTTTTAGAAATAATTCAATCGTCGATGTACTGAAAATCATTGAATTCTTGTAAAGTATTTATAAAAAAAATTCGAAATTAATTTAATTCATTTCAAGAATTTTATCGACATTTTTTTCAATAATTGAATTCTTTCGAGAAAATGTAATTAAAATTATTGTATCCAGAATAATTTAATTCTTGTCAAGATTTTTTTTAAATTCTTTAAAATAATTTAATTGTTTTTAAGAATTTATTTCAATATTCTTGAAAATAGTAGTTTTTTTTTAAATTTTTACTGAAAATTTTGAAAATAATTGAATTTTATGAAGAATTTCTTTTAAGTTTTTAAAATAATTGTGTTTACTATCAATTGTAATTAACAATTTTCATATTAAAATATATTCAAATTATTCATAGAAAATTAAATTATTTTACACAATTTTATTAGAGTTTTTATAAATAATTATATATTTTTTTTGAAGAATTTCATTAAATTATGTAAAAATAATGTAATTTTTTAAAGTAATATTAATTGAAATTTACAAAGAATTATATATTAAAAACTTTTGAGGACAATTGAATTGTTTAGAAAGAATTTTTTATCAGAATTGTTGAAAATAATTGAATTTCTCCGAAACATTTTATTATTTATGAAAATAATTGAATTTCTTTGGAGAATTTTACTATATTTATGAAAATATTTTCATTCTGTCGAAGAATTTTCTTATTTTTAAAAATAATTGAATTCTTGCGGAGGATTTTACAATTTTTAAAAATAATTGAATTGTTTCGAAGAATTTTATCTGAATTTTTGAAAATAATTGAAGTTTTTGAAGGAATTTTATTAAATATTTTAAAAATAGTGATTTTTTCTTAAAAAGAATTTTATCAAAATTGTTAAAAATAATTTGAATTTATATTAAAATTCTAGAAAAGAATCGAATTTAATTAATATTTTGAAAATAGGTAAATATTTTGAAAAAAAACATGACAATACTTAAATTGAATGTTATTTAGTATATTTTTTCAAACAGTAGTTCATTTAAAGTTGGTTCAAGCTCACCAAGGGCACTATTAAGCAGTATTTGTTGATTTTGAACTATGTTTGCAGCTAACCCCGTTCCAAAATTCGAAAACACCTTCCAAAGTGTTGTGGAGGGTGAAAAACTCACCTTAAATTGCGGTGGAAATCTCTATCCCGGAATAAAAATCGAATGGGAATTCAATGATTACAAATTCAATACATCTGAGGGAAGATATCAACTCTCACGTGACATGGAGAATGGAGTGAGCGGTGGAGTTTTGACCGTGTCAAACATGAAAATGACCGACAGCGGACATGTTGGTTGCAGGGTTTATTACGAAGAAAACGAGAAGTACAATGCTACTGTTTCATCTGAGTTGAAGGTGAAAGACAAGCTTGCTGCTCTTTGGCCCTTCCTCGGCATTTGTGCGGAAGTTGCTGTTCTCTGCGCCATAATCGTCATCTACGAGAGAAAGCGTAACAAGGCTGAACTTGAGGAGTCGGATACGGATCAGAGTCCAGACACGTGAGTATAGTGTTCATTTAATTTAATTTCATTTCAATGTTTTGAACTTTATTTCTCATACAGTTTGAGAAGCAAATTTTATTAATTTAGCTGAAATTATTCCACCATAGTCAAACTATTGAATTGGAAAATTATCATCCTCTTCGAGGTCCACTTCCTCCATCCAATCTCCCAGTCCGACCACCGATAACTCCTGTCAATTCCTTGATGACGATTCAAAATATTCAACTGCAGCAAATTTTGAGAATCTAAGTACCTTATCTAAGTACATTATGTTTAAAAAACAATGAAGTAATTTTTTGATAAATTTAACGAGTCCTTAATTAGAATTTTTAAATATTTTTTAAAATTATCTCAACAAATAATTTTTAAATTTTACTTAGTTTTTGTTCCATCTTCAAGAATATTATTGCTTTAAATTGACAACTTTTAAAAAATTATTAATTGCAGTTAAAAAAATAAAAATAAAAAATATAATTTCGAGAAAATTGAAAAATATAATTAAAAAGGAAGTTTGAAAACATTAAATGGTATGGATTATAAAAATTTAATAATATATTTTATTTTCATTGATACAATTTATAAAATATAAACATTCCAATATTTTATACAAAATTAAAATTGTAACATGTGCCTGAACATTTAATATGACAAATTTAAAAGCAAATATAGTTGAGAAATAATTTAAACATATTTAATAGAACAGGATTGACACAAAAATTTAATTTTGTTTTTTCCCTGCTTTCCAGACAAAATTTTGACTTTTTCCCTGACCCTAAAGAATATTCAGTTCAATTACTATTACTATTTTCTACAATTTTTAACTAAAATTCTTCTTGAAATCAATTATATTTAATAATTTTTGACAAAGTTCTTTGAGAAGTTTCATATCCATTTGTTTACAATTCAATTTTACGTGAAATTTCGATTATTCGGAAATTATTCAATTTCATAATTAGAAAATAAAAACTTTAAATAAATTAAAAAATATTTCAATTAAACTTTTTCAAAAAAAATTAGTTTAAGGGCATTTGAACCTTGATGACGTTACAGATTGTGCAAAGCATGTGTGACGTCATCAAGGTTCAAATGCCCTTAATAGAATTGTTAATTAAAAGTCTGAAAAATTCAAATTTTCGAAGATTCTAACTTGAAACCTTTTCAAAACTAAATTATTTCTATAAATTCAGGCTGTAATCCCTTTTAAAATTGTACGAGAATTCAATTATTTGAATACAAAAATAAATAATTTATTGAATAATTGAATGTTTCTGAAAATTCAATTCTCATCAAGGATTTTTGGCAACAAATCTTTTTCTTTCGACGAATTCTAATGGAATTTTTAAGAATAATGTCATTTTTTGAGAAATTTGATTAAAATTGTATTAAAAATAATTGAATTTCTGCAAATTTGATTATTTATGAAAATAATTGAATTATTTTCAAAAATTTGTAAATAATTCAATTTCAGTGAAATTTTAATTTTTTATGAAAATAATTAAATGTTTGCGTAGAATTTTATTAATTTTTTTTAATAATTGAATTCTTTTGGGAAATTTTATTAAAGTAGTAGATCATTGAATCATAGAAATCATAGAAATCATAGAAATCATTGAATTGAGGAAAGTTTTTAAAAATAATTGAAATTTCGGAGAAGAATTCTATTATTTATAAAGATAATTGAAATTTTGACGAGAATTTTTGTAAAGTTTTGTAAATTTTTGTAAATTTTTGTTGAATTTCTGCGAAGAATTATATTACTTTTGAAAATAATTGAATTCTTGAAAAGAATTTTATTAAAATTTCTTTTTAAATGATTGAATTCTTTTGTGAAATTTTATTGGAAAAGTAGACATTGAAAATAAGGGGCCGTACACATAATACGTCACGCGATTTTTGACCATTTTTGACCCCTCCCTCCCCCTATGTCACACTTCGTCACAAACCTTGAACCCCTCCCTCCCCCTACGTCACGTCACACACGTAAATTTCACTGTAAATTTTATACATTGGACATTATATATTATATACAACACTCTAAATTATTGAATCAGTTAGAAATAACTTATTTAGAAGCAAGAAATCAGTCACTAATTCAAATAGTTATATTTTTTTTCTGACAATTAGTTAAAAATAACTAATGTTTCAATAAAATTTTTTTGGATTGATTCAATTATTAGTCACGTTTAACTACCTACATAGCACCGAAACTTTCCTAACAATTTATTGAAGGCAAGCTTCGAAATATTTAAATGCAATGTTTAGTGAAAATTGTATAAAGATTTAAATCTTTATCCCACTTTTATCTTTATCCCACTTCAATAATTGTTTAGCGCGAAACTTTCCTGAAAATTTAACTTAAATTTTCAGCAAAATTTTTACGAAAGTATAGTCAAAAGTGTAATTAAATGTTCAGGAAAGTTTCAAGCTATATTTTTAAGAAAATTTGACGATAAACATTTATTGGAGTGAGAAATTTAAATCTTTACACAATTTTAAATAAACTAATTGCTAGTAAACTTTTCGAAGTATGCAAGCAAATCTTTAATATACATATATTTAGAAAAGTTTCGGTGTTTTGTGGATAATTTTTCAGTTATTTTTAACTGATTCAGATACAAAAAGACAGTAACTGCTGATTGCCAGTTTAAACCATGATTTTTAACTGATTCAAATTAAGAGAATATATTACTTATCATATTATAAATAATATACCAATAGATGTTAAACAGGTACATATAATAGATATTAAATAGTTTAGAGCATTTTTAACTTGTTTTATTTAGAAAAAGTGCCATTGTCACATATAATTTCTTATAATCTTTGAATTTAAAAGATTGTGACGTAACACATGAGTTCACCCCCCCCCTCCCCATGTCACACTTAGTCACAATTCTCAGACCCCCTCCCTCCCCCTAGCCGCGTGACGTATTATGTGTACAGCCCCTAATTGAATTTTGACAATTTTGTGAAATTAATTAAATTTCTTCGAAGAATTTTATTAAAATTATTTTGAAAAAATGGAATTGTTACAAAGAATTTCATTAAAATTTTTTTAAATAATTTAATTCTTTGAAGAAATTTAACAAAATTTTTCACAAAGATTTAATTCTTTTTAAATATTTTAATAAAATTTTTCGCAATAATTTAATTATTTTTATAAATAATAAACTTCTTCTGATAAATTTAATTATTTTTACAATATTCATCACAAAAATTTTATTTCAATTTTTTTAAATACAATTTTACAGGAATTGCTCAAAAAATGTAATTATTCTAAAAAGTTTAATTTGAATTTCTCAAAAAACTCAATTATTACAAAATATGTTTTTTTTTAAATTCTTTGAAAGAATTCAATTATTTACAAAAATATTAGAATTTTTTACAGGAATTCAATTATTTTCAAATATTATAATAAAATTGTTCGAAATAAATCAATTATTTTAAATAATAAAATTGTTCGAAATAAATCAATTATTTTAAATAATAAAATTGTTCGAAATAAATCAATTATTTTAAATAATAAATTTCTTCTTGGAAATTCAATTATTCAAAAAAATTTTAGTAAAATCATTCGCAGGAATTCAATTATTTTCAAAAAAAATAGAATTCTTTGTAAAATTTACTTACTTTTAAAAACTTTTCGCAATTCAATGATTTTCAATATCTACTATTTTCGTAAAATTTCCAAACAGAATTAAATTATTTTTGTAAAAATCTTGGTAAAAATGCAATTCTTTTCATAAATAATAAAGTAGTTTATGAACGACCACTGACGGGTTAATAGCGTTAATAGTGAAAATAGTATTTTCTTTGATGAGCTAAGAAAAATTTATAAAAAAGATAATTAAAGAAAAATCTAAATATAAATGTAAAATCTTGAAATTAAAATTTTTGAAATTCACAGGAAACCAACACCCAACAAGGACTCTGAGGTTAGGCAAAGAAAATAATCGCCACGTGAGATAGCAGCGACGTAAGAAAGATGCAGAGAGAAGTAAGGTACTTAGCCAAGAAATGTTGTACAATGAAGATCATCAAAACTGCTGAAGGGTTACACGCAATTTTTTTTTACGATTCGTCAGTTGTGAGAAGGTGAACAAGTCTTACTTAAGATCGACGAATATTATATTATATATATACAGAGTCGTTTGAAGACTCTCTAGCTTACGTTTTCTTGGAATTATTCCCGGGAAGCAAAGAGTGATAATGACGAGATAAGCACTAATTAGACATTTTTACGCTTACTTCTCAAATACGTCGCCCGTTCGTGTTGCCTGCTTTGCGTAACACGTACTAAGCAATTAGCAATTTTTAAATTGTACATGTCATTTTTTTTGTTAAAAAAAACAATGTATTATCATTTATTGCCATTACTACTATTAATTCTTATTATTAACTATACAGATACCGTTATATAATGATTTTTGAGTATTATGACTACTATTATGATTGTTAATATTACCGTTACTACTTTTATTGTTAAGATTATTGTTAAGACCGCAAACCATTAGCATTATTAGTGCACGACGATCGTGCCTAGCGGAATGTGTCATTAAAGGCGTTATTCTTTATTTCTTCGGGAGATCGTGAATATTATGCTGCATTTTTAAAAAAAAGAAAATTGTGGAAGAAAAAAGTAACGATAATTACAATTGTCGTCTTCTTTGGCGAAAGAGTTGCTGCTTACCAAAAAAAAATGAGAGTAATCTGCTGAAGCGCTTGTGTGAAAGATAATTTAGGAATTGTTAAATAATAAGGCCCATTGATTATTATTAACCATCGAAGAATTTTAATACTTTGTCAAAATTTATATTCTTCCAATATAAATAATTTATATGTTTTCCAATTTTGGGAAATTTATGGAATTGGATACATTATTTTTAATTTGTTACTTTGCAAAAAGTTCATGAAGAAGGTGCTCAAATTATTTCTTATATTAAGATTTTTTTAAACTGAATTTATCTTTAAGAAAACACTGAATTTTAGCGTATTCCACAATTTTTTTATTCCTTTTTTTTATTCAATTCCTCGAAATGAAAAAAGTACAAGTGAATTCATTTTTTTAATTTTTAATTATCAATTATTAATTACTAATTACATTTATTAAACGAAGTTTTTTTATTTTCTTGAAATTTGAGCAAATGTATCAATTCACAATGTATTTTAATCACAAGTATCGTGTCATGCTTCTAAAGAGCTTCTTTTTTTTTTATAGAAGAATGGGTTCAACTATTAGAAATTGTAAATTAGATAAATTGAGCCGAAAAACTCGATATCTGAACATTAGTGGAAGTTTTTTGTTTGTGTAATAGAATGGAAAGTTCAGTTTGTAGATAGCATCTCACAATATACTCGGTATCTTATCTGGAGATAAATTTACAATCAGTATAGAAATTATATATCTCGGTCTTGAAATAGAGAAACAATTACTCCCTATTGTTATAAGAAAAACCTGCCTTCATACTCGATAAATTCTGAAAGAATCTATTTTCTATCCTGCGGGCGGAAGCGAACGAGCGACGTTAAATTTTGACTTTGACTATTATAAAAATTTCATTCAGTTTAAAATATATTTATTATTTAGTGACATTTTTCTTTGAGGAAAAATTTTGCTAGGATACTTCTGGCAAATGTGGGAAGTGTTGTTGCACTTTCTCTCTCAAATGAGTGCTAGAAATAAAAAAAAAACTATTGAACTGTGTTTCAAATTGAAAAAAAATCTTATAAATATGTATATCTAATGTAATACTATGTGAAATACCGTTGTAATCTGCAATTACATATAAATTCTTAAGCAATTCTACTAAACTAGATATAAATTTGTAAAATTTCACAACCATTCTAGGTTTCTATATTGTCGAATGTGAACTTGTAGCCTTTACGATCTCCCGACTCGAAAACATTAAGAGCCTTTGACATGCTTTTTATGGTCTTTAAAAAGAATAAACGATATTGAAATGTTAATTATTATTCTTTTAATTTTAACCTATTTCTAAAATTTTCTAAAAATATTTTCAACTTCAAAAAAAGTTTATTTCTATTCAAAAGGCAAATTTGATTGTTTGTTTATTTCTCTAAAAAATCACAAGAAAAATTTAGTTGAAATGCTGAAAGATTTTGAAAGTTCAGGCTTCGTTTTATAAATGTATGACACTAAAAGCTACTTTCTTCCTTCTTTTAGAATTTGCACTACTTTAAATTTGTTAATAGTTGAAACAAAAAAATTATTGTCAAAAATTAAAATAAAATTCTCAGTAACATATTAAAAAATTTTAATAAAATTCTTCAAAGAAATTCAATTATTCCAAACAATTTTAATATAATTTATTTATTAAAATTTAATAATTATTTTCAATAAATTAATTAAATTTCTTAAAAGAATTTTATAATTTAAAAAATTTTTAATTAAATTCTTCATATCAATTCAATTATTTTCAAAACATTTTAATAAGATTCTTCGTATAAATTTAATTAATTTTAAAAGTTTGTCGAAATGCAATTATTTCCAAAATCTACTACTATTCAAATAAAAAATTTAACAAAATAATTATTCAATTATTGAAAAAAGATTTGAATTAAATTTGTCGCAAGAATTCAAATTATTTTCATAAATTATAAAATTCTTCGGAAAAATTCAACTACTTTCAATACAATTTGAATAAAATTTCATTCTTGATTGAATGTAATTGTTTTTTACAAATTTGTTGATAGAATTCGTTTATTTTTAAAGATTGTGATAAACTCTTCAGAAGAATTCAATTATTTTCAGTACATTTTATAATTAAATTCTTATTATAAGTACGAAATAAAATTTTTTTCTCGAAATAATTGAATTTCTTTTTACAAATTTTATTTTTTCTATTATTTTTGTCTATTATATTCATAACTATTATTTTCACAGGAATTCAATTATTTAATTTATTTTATTTTATTACAATTATTTTTAATAAATTCTTCAGAAAATGCAATTATTCTTGAAAATTTTGTTAAATAAATTAATTCGAAAGAATTTAATTCCTGAACTTTTTGGAGTATTTTCCATATTCGTTTATAATGGTTTATAAGAATGATATTTTCTTAATATGTTTACAATTTATTGGTGAGACAAAATCAAAACAGTTCATTGTATACAAAGGAGCAAAGCAGACCGTTTTGATATACTCACATTTTTACGTTTATTTTCTTAGCGTTTTTGTGATTCCAAAAGAAATAAGTGAACACAATTCCCTTAGTTTCGTAAAATTAATCAAATTTTGAACATTTTTTTTGTAGTGAAAAGAGTTTTAAACAAAAGTTTCTCACAAGTACTAGTACTTTGGTGATATTTACACAATACTATAAACTATATTTGCATTATTAAAAATAAATATCATGGATTTACAGGTATTTTAATAATTTTCTGTATTATTATAATTTAGGTAATAATAATTATATATTATTACAAAAATCTAAAGTAGGTTTCTTCTTATAAAATTTGTTATATATTTTTTAAAACATTTGTAATAAAGTATTTGAATATAATTCTATTTTTAAATATTTTTGAGGAAGAATTTGATGGACAGTCAAAACAAAAGCAATTACATGTCGTAATTTCGTGTTTGAAAAGAAAAATACAAATTAAATTTTGAATTCGTTTTTGATTTTCAATATTTTAAACAATTAAAAGTTGCTTCAGATAAATAGATGTTTAAAATGAATAAAAATCGAGACTTACATTAACATTAATTTAAAAAAAAAATGAATTGAAAGTTGCATTTTAAAAAAATTTTTTTTCAAAAAAAGTCAAAAAAATTTTTAATATTTTTTTTCTAATTCTGCACATAAAAAGGAATAATTTATGTTCTAAAAAATTTTTTCCTAAAGTAACCGTTTTTGAGTTATAAATAATTGAAAAAAAAATTTTTTTTCAAAAAAAGTCAAAAAAAATTTTTTGAAAAAAAAATTTTTAATATTTTTTTTCTAATTCTGCACATAAAAAGGAATAATTTATGTTCTTAAAAATTTTTTCCTAAAGTAACCGTTTTTGAGTTATTAACAATTGAAAAAAATGGCTATTTTTTTAAACAAAAAATCATATTTTTCTTAAAAATTATCGTATAAAATTTTTAAAAAATGCATTTTAAAGGTGATAAAACTAGCTTTCAGAAAATATATGTGGGATTAAAATGCGACCATTTCCTATCAAACTGTATCACTTTAAAAAAAACAAAAAAAAACGAAAAATTTTATGTTGCAATAACATTTTTTAAACATTAACAAATTAATTTTTTTAATTTTCGTTTTATACAGTGTTAAAGCTCAGGAAAAGAGCTTTAAAAAGAGACCTTTTTGAGCTTTTTATCTTTAATAATAAACAAAATACAAAACTTTTTGTAAAGCCTTCAATCGCTGTAGGGTGGGCAAAAGTTATTGAGCGGGAGTGTATATGTAAAACATATACAAAGATCTGAAAATGAAGTTTCGGTTTTAAAACATAAAAATTGTAAAGTATAAGATATTTATTTTTCTAATTTTTTAATTGTTCAATATAGTAATAGTTTTACTATTATATTTCTAACTACCTCTGCTCTATATATTTGAAATATACAACATTAACCGCAAACAATAATTTTTGAAATTTCATACAATTTTTTGTACTTGATTCATAGATTTAATTGAAAATTATTTAGAAAATAACTAGAATGCTGTGCAGATAACGCAAATCTGTTAATTACGGATGAAGTAGTTATTTTAAATCGACTTTAGATGTTAAGAATTCAAAATAGCGGATACAAAAGGCTCAAATAGATTAACAGAATATGATGATGATTAATAATAAAACAATATTATTTTTAACATTTAAACTCGCGCTCTAGTGAAGAATTCACCTTAATAAAATCCTGAAAAGTTAATATTCATAATATATATTAATTATTGTTTATAAAATGGGACAACGTTTCTCAACTGATCCAACATCAAAAATGAAGGTCAACCCTTTTTTTTAAAATAATTTTGTTTTAATTTTAATAATTTTTAAATCATTTTCCAGAATGGTCCGGGATATGTAATCGAAAACAATATCCTCAAAGCTGAAAAGCTTCCTCCACTGGCACCTGACGTTCGTCTTAATGAGATAATATTGGAAAATTTAAGGAACAACCCAGATTTTATTGGACAGGTGATGAAACTTTAATTTCATTTAATCTCTCATTTAATGCCAAAACTTTTATTTTGAGCCGTTTTTTATATTATTGACTAAGTTACGTACCTTCTTATACAGGTGTTGACTATACACTTACTGAAAGACAAATGCAAGATAAGTATTTAAGTCTTGTTAAACTTCAGAACAATACACTTTTATATTGAAGTTTTCCTATAGAAAAGAAATTGTCGGAAATTGTTTATTATTAGTTCTTCAGATATAGAACCTTTTTGAAGAATCGTATAAAGTGATCAAAACTTATGGAAATAGAAAAGTCTGTCATACTTATTGTTACTATTTCTTATTTAATTAAACTCTCGTACTTTAGTAAGAAATTTATTGTATTAACATTTTGCTAATGTTAATTATAAATTATTTGCATTTGCTTTTCAATAAGATTGAAATATGAACGGGAAGCAACGCTATTACCTCTTAGAATAATCAATTTAAAACTGCCAATAATATTTACAATATAAGATAATGACTATGTGCGTAAACTACTGCTTATACTATACATTTTAAATTGGATAATTCAATGAATTGTTATGAAAAACAATTAGGCCAAACACGATTCACGAATAACTTAAAAACACAGGTTGATACTTCACTGAAATTATAAAAAAAATATATATATTAAATATTTTAATTTATATAATAATATTGACATGAATTTTTTCAGATCGATGGAAAAACAGGAGAAAAATGGACATATAAGAAATTGACTGATGCCAGTGTGGGTTGTGCTTTATGGCTTAAAAAGCAAGGAATAAAAGCAGGTGATATAGTAACAATTTGCTCACATAATCATATTAAAACTTGGGCCCCATTCTGTGGAATCTTCTTCATCGGCGCCAACCTTAATTCTTGGTACCACGATTGGCCAGCTGGTAAACTTTAAACTTTAATAAACAATTCATTTTAAGTTATATAACATTCAAACATGCACAATACAGTCAGATCCCGAAACTGTAACATTGCCTGAAATTTATTGGTATTAGTCATGTATAAAATAACACCTGCATTTGATCAACCGAATATGAATATAAATACAAACACGAATGTTTTATTTTAACAACATTAAAGGAATTAACATTAAACTTATTTTTAGAAACTGCACAATATTTCGTGAATCTTACAAAACCAAAAGTTATATTTGCTGATGAACAAGCGGCAAAAATGCTTAAAGAGCTGACTAAACAAGAGAATGTCAATTCGAGAATTGTTGTGTTTGGCAAAGTTCCTGGACTTGAATCCTTTGACGACATCATTAAGGAATGCAGTGCCGAAGAGATTGAGAACTTTGAATGCTACCCAGTAAAACACGATGACAATGCCTTAATACTATTCTCTTCGGGAAGCAGCGGTTTGCCTAAAGGTGTACAACATACATATCGTTCAGTACACTACAATATGTATACATTTAATAAGAGATTTGAAATCAAGAAAGGTAGCATCACAATGCATATATCAACATTTTATTGGATATCTGGCAATTTGTGCACCCTGCGCAGTCTAATGAATAATCTCCCTGCAGTTATCATAAACAATGCCACGTCTGAAGAAATTTGTAAAGCAACACAAAAATATAAGGTTCTTATTTAATAGCATTTCAAGCAGCACGTAAAGAAGGCGAACCTGAGAGCAGTAAAATTGTCTTGGGGTTAATGAAAGGTCTATAAAAGATGAAGAAATTACACTATTCATAATTATACTATTTGCAAGTTCACTTTTATTACTTGAATGTCATGGTATTACATTAAACCTCTCAATAATATTATGCGAAATGAGTGCTTACTAGCAATCATTTTGCGTAAAAATGTTTTGTGCCTTGATATTCAGGTAATATTACGCGCTGTTTGGAATAAATCCAAATATAAAAACACATTTTCTGGTGACGGTATTTCGATTTGGCTCATATTTTACAGGTGGAGGATACATGTCTAACCAAAAAATTACAAGTCGTTTTGCAATCAGTCAACAAGTTATGATTAAAGTGACATTTTTTAAAATTGATATTAAATCATCCAATTTTGCTTTGAATAAGGAAATTTATGCTTTGAAGTAAAGTATTAGAGAAATACTAAATAATTAAAAAGTTTCTCAAGAAATCATATGTCATTTGGCTCATTAAATGCAAAAAGATTGAAATGATGTTATTTTAATTTTAAAAAGTGTGAATGCTTTTATTTGATTGGATTCACTAAAAACTTGAAACCAATGACATACAAAAGGATTCACACTTTTCGAGATTGAAACATGATTTGAATCTTTTTGGTGTAAAGTTGGAGTCAGATTTTTAACAGTGTAATCATCATCCTTACATAGATAACCGTTTCTTCCAAAAATATTTCGAAAATCATTATCTGATGTTTTTTTAAAATTTCTGAGCTTCTCCCTTTCTTTTGTTCTCACTAAATGTTTGGAACTTTAAGTGTGACTTGTATAATTAGTTGATTAATTAATAATACCATTACAAAGAATTCACAACTATACATATTAGCTTTTCTCTACATTGTCAACAGCATTCTATTAATTTTTTTAGTATGTGAGTATTAGAGAAAACATTTTAAAATCTTTTCTTACTTAGGTTCAGTGGTTATTTTTGGCAACTGGTCTTATTAGCGATATATACAAATTAGGTTTATTTGAAAAATACGACTTATCGTCTGTAGAGGAAATAGCAACAGGAGGTTCAAAAGTCCATCCTGAAATAACGAAAAAACTTAACAGCCTTTTAAAGAATGGTGAAATAATTCAAGGATACGGTATGTCAACATTTTACATTTAACAAAAATTATTTAGTTTATTAAAGTAAGCCTAAGTTGAGAAATTAAAAATCTACAAATGAATTTAATTCCAGGCCTAACTGAACTGGGAACAATTGCCACTTTGCAAAGAAAGGGCCATAATAATCATGATTCCTGTGGAGTACTAGGTTATGATATAGAGTTAAAAATAGTTGACGTAAATACCAACCAAACACTAGGTCCAAATGAAAAGGGTGAAATTTATCTTAAGCAAGACCATTCGATGAAACATTATTTAAATAACCCAAAAGCCACAGAAGAAGCCATTGATAAAGATGGTGATTAAGCTAAAAATTGTTATAATTTGTCAAAGTGTTGAACTTCTGATATGATGCGGAAACATCTCCAACAACCAGATTTTCGATCCTTTTGTCAAACTTTTTTTTTGGTTCAGGCACAGTGTGTACGGGTGAACATGACTTCCTAATCGAAAAATATGTTTGATACAGGTTGGCTCCACACTGGAGACTTGGGATACTTCGACAAAGAAGGAAATGTTTACATTGTTGATAGATTAAAAGAAGTAATCAAGTACAGGGGCCATCATATTTCTCCGATAGAAATCGAAAGTATTCTTCTCAAACATCCAAAAGTATTAGAAGTTGCAGTCGTACCTGTTCCTCATACAGGTACTGATGAGGAATATCCACTTGCATTTATTTCAACATTAAATAATTTTAAGGTACCAATTTGTCTTTTTGTTGTTTTAGGGGTAATTTTTCAGTTGTCAAAATATTTTTGCAAAATATGTTATTTAAACTTTTGAGTCAAATTTTCTTCAGCATTTGTTCAAAAACATGTTCTGACATTTAAAATGATATCTCACAAACCGAATGACGTTTCTGAACTTTTTTGGTTTTAATTAAATTAAACATGAGACTTGAAGGATGACACCTGTATAAAATTTCCAAATTGCATATTATTTTACATAGAATATTATTATATTTTGTGTTCTTAGTTTATGCATTACTTTTTATATTACAGGTATCTGAAGAGGAACTTTTCAAAATGACATCCATTCTTGGTGATATTAAAAGACTGAGAGGAGGAATAAAATTCTTGGACTCACTACCAAAAACACCATCTGGAAAAGTTAACAGACCAAAACTAAAGCAAATGGCTAAAGTTTATAGTAGTTAATAAAAAAATGAAAAACTAGTCAAATGTAAAATAATTAGATCTGAATATTGTAGACTTTTTATATAGTAACGGTGAAAATTCGTTACCAAACACGTGTTATTATATTATTAATTTTATTTAGAAGACGTTATTAGACATTACCAATTTAAAAATAAAGATTTTATAATTTTAATTTGGCATATCAATTATAATTAATAATTTTTGACAAAGTCCTTTGAGAATAAGTTTAAAATCCATTAGTTTACAATTCAATTTTACGTGAAATTTCAATTATTCGTAAATTCTTCAATTAAATAATTAGAAAATAAATTTAAAAATATTTTAATTAAACTTTTTCAAAACAAATTTGTTCAACAGAATTTAACAGAATTGTCTAAAAAATTCAAATTTTCAAAGATTTTAACTTGAAACGTTTTCAAAATTAAATTATTTCTAAAATTTCATGCTATAAGCCCTTTTAAAATTGTACGAGAATTCAATTATTTAAACAAATAAATAAATAATTTATTAAATAATTGAATGTTTCAGAAAATTTAATTCTCATAAAGAATTTTATCAACAAATCTTTTTCTTTCGACGAATTCTAATAGAATTTTTAAGAATAATTTCATTTTTTCAGAAATTTGATTAAAATTGTATTAAAAATAATTGAATCCCTGCAAATTTGATTACTCATGAAAATAATTAAATTATTTTAAAAAGTTTGTAAATAATTGAATTCCACTAAAATTTTAATTTTTTATAAATAAGTAAACGTTCGCGTAGAATTTTATTAATTTTTTTTTTAAATAATTGAATTCTTTTGGAAAATTTTATTAAAATAGTAGATATAGTAAATCATTTAAATGAGGAAAGTTTTTGAAAATAATTGAAATTTTCACGAGAATTTTTGAAAATTTTTATTGAATTTCTGGGAAGAATTATTATATTACTTTTGAAAATAATTGAATTCTTGAGACGAATTTTATTAAAATTTCTTTTTAAATAATTGAATTCTTTTTCTGAAATTTTATTGAAAAAGTAGGTATATTGAAAATGATTGACTTTTGACAATTTTTTGAAATTAATTAAATTTCTTCGAAGAATGTTATTAAGATTATATTGAAAAAAATGGAACTGTTACAAAGATTTTTATAAAATTCTTTGCAAGAATTCAATTATTTTCAGTACATTTTATAATTAAATTCTTTATAAGTACGAAATAAAATTTTTTTCTCGAAATAATTGAATTTCTTTTTACAAATTTTATTTTTTCTATTATTTTTGTCTATTATATTCATAACTATTATTTTCACAGGAATTCAATTATTTAATTTATTTTATTTAATTACAATTATTTTTAATAGAATTTTTAATAAATTCTTCAGAAAATGCAATTATTCTTGAAAATTTTGTTAATAAAATGCTTCGAAAGAATTTAATAACAACGTTAAAAAATGTTTGATAAAGTTCTTTATAAGAATTAAATTTTAAGAAATATTCAATTATTAATTTTTGTATTTAAATAATTGAATTTTCAAATAAAATGTTTAGTTTTGAAGAATTTTATTTAAAAATTTTACAAAAAAAAAATGATTTAATTTTGGAAGAATTACATTATTGTAATTTTTAGAAATAGTTTGGAGTATTTTACATATTCGTTTATAATAATTTATAAGAATGATATTTCCTTAGCGTTATGTTTACAATTTATTGGTGAGACAAAATCAAAACAGCACACTGTATCCAAAGAAGCAAAACAGACCGTTTTTGATATACTCACACTTACGTTTATTTTCTTAGCGTTTTTGTGATTCCAGAAAGGATAAGTGAATACAATTCCCTTATTTTCATAAAATTAATCAAATTTTAAACATTTTTATTGTAGTGAAAAGAGTTTTAAACAAAAGTTTCTCACAAGTACTAGTGCTTTGGCATTAATCAATATGAAAAGCGGGGTGATATTTACAATACTATAAACTATATTTGCATTATTAAAAATAAATATCATGGATTTACAGGTATTTTAATAATTTTCTGTATTATTATAATTTAATAATGATTATATAATTACAAAAATCTAAAGTAGGTTTCTTCTTATAAAATTTGTTATATATTTTTTAAAACATTGGTAATAAAGTATTTGAATATAATTCTATTTTTAAATATTTTTGAGGAAGAATTTGATGGACAGTCAAAACAAAAGCAATTACATGTCGTAATTTCGTGTTTGAAAAGAAAAATACAAATTAAATTTTGAATTCGTTTTTGATTTTCAATATTTTAAACAATTAAAAGTTGCTTCAGATAAATAGATGTTTAAAATGAATAAAAATCGAGACTTACATTAACATTAATTTAAAAAAAAAATGAATTGAAAGTTGCATTTTAATAAAAAATACAAACTTTTGTCAATCGCGGATTTTTCCTTTAAAAACATCCATAATTCTAAACACGTTTAAAATATATTTTTACTGATATATCGTTGAAAATTTTTATTCTATTTTTTGTGGCTTTTAAATATATTATTTTTAATTAACAATTCTAAAATCTTTTTTCAGAAAGATCCAGGATATGTAATCGAAAACAATGTCCTCAAAGGGGAAAACCTACCTCCACTAGCATCTGACTTTCGTTTTAACGAAATAATATTGGAAAATTTAAAAAACAATCCAGATTTTGTTGGACAAGTAATGAAACTTTAATTTCATTTCATACAAAAATATTAAAAGATTTTCTGAAAGTTTAAGTATATTAAACCTAGAATGTCGCCTTAACGGACGTACTCTCTTTTTTTAGATCGATGGAAAAACAGGAGAAACTTGGACATACAAGAAATTAACAGATGCCAGTGTAGGTTGTGCTTTATGGCTTAAGAAGCAAGGAATAAAAGCAGGTGATATAGTAACAATTTGCTCACATAATAATATTAAAACTTGGGCCCCATTATGTGGAATCTTCTTCATCGGAGCCAACTTCAATCCTTGGTACCACGATTGGTCAGCTGGTAAACTTTAAATTTCAGTAAAACAATTCATTTTAATTTATAATTATTAGCCAGTGATGCATTTTACTTCCTCATTTCATACAGGCTGAAAATTTCAATAGAACTTAGTAAGTCTACTTAGTAAACCTATCTATCTTATATTCAAATATTAGACTTACTTTGCAAAGAACCGAAAAATATGCAGTTCCGTAGATTTACCCATATTTATAAAAATGCACCTAATGTCTTTACAAAATACACAAATATGAAATAACATATTTTTATAAAATATGATTTTTAGAAACTGCCAAACATTTCGTGAATCTCACGAAGCCAAAAGTCATATTCGCTGATGAGCAAGCAGCAAAGTTGCTCAAAGATGTGACCAAACAAGAGAATGTCAATTCGAGAATTGTTGTGTTTGGCAAAGTTCCTGGACTTGAATCCTTTGACGACATCATTAAGGAATGCAGTGCCGAAGAGATTGAGAGCTTTCAGTGTTATCCGATAAAAGACGATGATAATGCAGTAATAATGTTGTCTTCGGGAAGTAGTGGTTTGCCTAAAGGTATACAGCATTCGTATCGTTCTGTACAATACAATATGTGTAGACTTAATAGTAGTCCGGAAGATGGAAAGCAATGCACCATGATGCACATAGCATCGTTATATTGGACATCTTGCATTTCCCGTGCCCTGCACAGTCTACTGAATACGTTTCCTGCAGTCATCATGAACAATCCGTCGTCTGAAGAAATTTGCAAAACAGTCAAAAAATATAAGGTTTTCTATTGAAAAGCATTCCTTTATTCTAAACAATAACCAAAGTTTCTATATATTTTACTATACAATCATTTTTTTTTAGATTCAGCGATTATGCTTGGGAACCTTTGCTATTAACGATATGTACAAGTCGGGTTTGTTGGAAAAATACGATTTATCATCTGTAAAAGAAATAGTAACAGGAGGTACAAAACTGTATCCTGAAGTAATTGAGAAAGTTAATAGTCTTTTGAAGAATGGTGAAATACTGCAAGGATATGGTACGTTAACATTTACCTTTAGCTACATGTGACCGAAACAGTTAAAAAGAACCTTAAGTTTGGATTACACATTTGGTTTAAAAAAAGTATAAAATATAAAAAAATTGATCGGAATTGTTAAAACTCCCCTGCTAAAAATTCTAGGTTTAACCGAACTAGGAACAATTGCTGCTATGCAAAGAAGAGGTCACAATAATTATGATTCCTGTGGCACAATATGTTACGATACAGAGATAAAAATAGTTGACGTAAATACCAACCAAATACTAGGTCCAAATGGAAAGGGTGAAATTTATGTAAAACAAGATAATATGATGAAACACTATTTCAATGATCCAAAAGCTACGGAAGAAGTTATTGATAAAGATGGTAATTATGATAGAAATTTAAAAAGTTTCTTCTCACTATAAATAGAAAAATATGTTTAATATACAGGTTGGCTACACACTGGAGACTTGGGATATTTCGACAAAGAAGGAAATGTTTACATTGTGGACAGATTGAAAGAAGTAATCAAGTACAGGGGCCACCATATTTCTCCGGTAGAAGTCGAAAGTATTCTTTATAAACATCCAAAAGTATTAGAAGCTGCAGTGGTACCAATTCCTCACGAAACAGATAATGAACATCCAATTGCATTTATTTCAACGTTAAACAATTTTAAGGTATTACTTAATAATTACAAAGATTAATATTTTTTTGTTTAAAACCAACATAATACAGTAAATCGTGTGAGGGGTGTTAAAATGACACCAAAATGGATTAAAACAAATCTTCATCAGTTTAATTGCAACCTATAGGATTAAATTAACACCCCAAGCACCACGGAATATAACCTTAAAATGAAAAGAATATTACATTTGATACATTTCATATTGGGAATATTCCAGGGATCTTAGAGTAATATTAAAATGTTAGTTAGTAAGTTAGTTAGCTAGTAAGTTAGTAAGGTAGTTAGTTAGTTAATTAGTAATTAAGTTTTTAAGTTAGTAAGTTAGTTAGTTCGTAACTAAGTTAATTAGTTAGTTAGTTTAGATAGACTTGGTTTAGATTTGAAATAAAATTTCAGTCATAGTAAAAAATGACACAAAATTGAATTATTTAAATCCCTTTTGGTATGTCAATAATCTGCAGTTTTTTAATACCTTACAATTTACTAGTGACATTTTTGAAGAATAAGTGGTAGCTGATAACTGGATGTAAGTTAACCCCTTATTACAATAAATCTAGTATACATTACAGATATTAGAAGAGGAACTTTTAAACATGACATCAATTCTTGGCGATACTAAAAAACTGCGAGGTGGAATAAAGTTTTTGGACGCACTACCAAAGACACCATCTGGAAAGATTAATCGATATAAACTGAAGGAACTGGCAGAAGTTTATAGTAATTTATAAAAACTAAAAACTTAATGTTATTTCAAAATTTTTTGTTAAATATAATGATTAATGAAAACATGAAATGAAAAAATAAAGATGAAAGTATTTAAGATTTTAATCTGATAGATTTAATTGTTAATATTAATGTTAATTAAATTTTAATTTAATGTTAATGTCAATTTCTCTAATTATAATTTGCTCTAAATATAAAGATTGCATAACTATTCAATCATCAAAGTTTATCTATTTATAATAGTCTGCAACTATTTAGATATTGAAACCAAGGAGGCGTCCATAAATGTTGTAGGGCCCTTTATCTTAAAAATTAAACATAATTATAAAAGACCTAAGTCTTTATTAATAAAAATTGTAATGAATGTCAAAAATGGTTTAGAAACACTGAATTAAAAAGTTAAAAATAAAAAAAAAATTTTAAAAATAAAAAAAATTTTTAAAAATTAAAAAAAAATTTTTTACTGGAATATTTTTCATTTAAGTAAACATTTTCAGTGTTTGCTTGTCATTCTGTAACATATGAGATTATTTCTAATCACATACACAGAGGAAAATATAAAGTAAATTTTACTACTTTTATAGTAAAAAATTTCCGGTAAAGCATTTCTAGTAGTTTTTACTACTTTAAAAAAGTAAAATTTAATTGCTTAAAATACTAGGATAAAATATATGTAAAACATATACAAAGATCTGAAAATGAAATTTCGTTTTAAAATATAAGAATTGTAAAGTATATTTATTTTTTCTAATTTTTTAATTGTTCAATATAGTAATAGTTATACTATTATATTTCTAACTACCTCTGCTCTATTTTGAAATATACAATATTAAGCGCAAAAAATAATTTTTGAAATTTCATACAATTTTTTGTACTCGATTCATAGACTTAATTGAAAATTATTTAGAAAATAACTAGAATGCTGTGCAGATAACGCAAATCTGTTAATTACGGATGAAGTAGTTATTTTAAATTGACTTTAGATGTTAAGAATTCAAAATAGCGGATACAAAAGGCTCAAATAGATTAACAGAATATGATGATGATTAATAATAAAACAATATTATTTTTAACATTTAAACTCGCGCTCTAGTGAAGATTTCACCTTTATAAAATCCAGAAAAGTGAATATTCATAATATATATTAATTATTGTTTATAAAATGTGACAATATTTCTCAACTGATCCAACATCAAAAATGAAGGTCAACCCCTTTTTTAAAAATAATATTGTTTTAATTTTAATACTTTTGAAATCATTTTCCAGAATGGTCCGGGATATATAATTGAAAACAATATCCTCAAAGCTGAAAAGCTACCTCCACTGGCACCTGACGTTCGTCTTAATGAAATAATATTGGAAAATTTAAGGAACAACCCAGATTTTATTGGACAGGTGATGAAACTTTAATTTCATTTAATCTCTCATTAAAAATCTCTCTAAAATAACACAAATAGTAAAAAATTTCTTTAAATTTTTAAATACCTGTGAAGTAAACTTAATTTATTTTGTAAATCTTTATTATTGTTACTGTTTCTTATTATTTAATTGAACTCTCGTACTTTAGTAAGAAGTTTATTGTATTAACATTGAACTAATGTTAATTATAAATTATTTGCATTTGCTTTTCAATAAGATTGAAATATGAACGGGAAGCAACGCTATTACCTCTTAGAATAATCAATTTAAAACTGCCAATAATATTTACAATATAAGATAATGACTATGTGCGTAACCTACTGCTTATACTTTAGATTTTAAATTCGATAATTCTATGAATTGTTATGAAAAACAATTAGGCCAAACACGATACACGAATAACTTAAAAATACAGGTTGACACTTTACTGAAATTATAAATAAAAAAAATAAATTTAATATTTTTTTAATTTAATATTTTTTAATATTATTTAATATATATTAACATTAATTTTTTCAGATCGATGGAGAAACAGGAGAAACATGGACATATAAGAAATTAACTGATGCCAGTGTAGGTTGTTCTTTATGGCTTCAAAAGCAAGGAATAAAAGCAGGTGATATAGTAACAATTTGCTCACATAATCATATTAAAACTTGGGCCCCATTCTGTGGAATCTTCTTCATCGGCGCCAACCTTAATCCTTGGTACCACGATTGGCCAGCTGGTAAACTTTAAATTTTAGTAAACATTTCATCTTAAGTTATACGACATTCAAAACAAAACAGTCAGATCCCGAAACTGTAATATTGCCTGAAATTTATTGGTATTAGTCATGTATAAAATAACACCTGCATTTGATCAACCGAATATGAATATAAATACAAACACGAAGTTTTATTTTAACAACATTAAAGGAATTAACATTAAACTTATTTTTAGAAACTGCCAAATATTTCATGAATCTTACAAAACCAAAAGTTATATTTGCTGATGAAAAAGCAGCAAAGTTGCTCAAAGAGGTGACTAAACAAGAGAATGTTAATTCGAGAATTGTTGTATTTGGCAAAGTTCCTGGACTTGAATCCTTTGACGACATCATTAAGGAATGCAGTGCCGAAGAGATTGAGAACTTTGAATGCTACCCAGTAAAACACGATGACAATGCCTTAATACTATTTTCTTCGGGAAGCACCGGTTTGCCTAAAGGTGTACAACATACATATCGTTCTTTACACTACAATATGTATACATTTAATAAGAGATTTGAAAACAAGGAAGGTAGCATCACAATGCATGCATCAACATTCTATTGGATATCTTGCACTTTATGCACCCTGCGCAGTCTAATGAATAATCTCCCTGCAGTTATCATAAACAATGCCACGACTGAAGAAATTTGTAAAACAACACAAAAATATAAGGTTCTTATTTAATATCATTTCAAGCAGCACGTAAAGAAGGCGAACCTGAGAGCAGTAAAATTGTCTTGGGGTTAATGAAAGGTCTATAAGAGATTAAGAAATTACACTATTCATAATTATACTATTTACAGGTTCACTTTTATTACCTGAATGTCATGGCATTACATGAAACCTTTTAATAATATTACGCGAAATGAGTGCTTACTAGCAATCATTTTGCGTAAAAAAGTTTTGTGCCTTGATATTCAGGTAATATTACGCGCTGTTTGGAATAAATCTAAATATAAAAACACATTTTCTGGTGACGGTATTTCGATTTGGCTCATATTTTACAGGTGGAGGATACATGTCTAACCGAAAAATTACAAGTCATTTTGCAATCAGTCAACAAGTTATGACTAAAGTGACATTTTTTTAAATTGATATTAAATCATCCAATTTCGCTTTGAATAAGGTAATTTATGCTTTGAAGAAAAGTATTAGAGAAATACTAAATAATTAAAAAGTTTCTCAAGAAATCATATGCCATTTGGCTCATTAAAAGCAAAAAGATTGAAATGATGTTATTTTAATTTTAAAAAGTGTGAATGCTTTTATTTGATTGGATTCACTAAAAACTTGAAACCAATGAAATGCAAGCATTCACACATTGCGAGATTAAAACAACATGATTTCAATCTTTTTGGTGTAAAGTTGGAGTCAGATTTTTAACAGTGTAATCATCATCCTTACATAGATAACCGTTTCTTCCAAAAATATTTCGAAACTCATTATCTGATGTTTTTGAATATTTTTGAGCTTCTCCCTTCCTTCTGTTCTCACTAAATGTTTGGAACTTTAAGAGTGACTTGTATAATTAGTTGATTAATTAATAATACCATTACAAAGAATTCACAACTATAAATATTTCCTTTTCAACATGTAAAAGATGATTTCGCGCATTTGGGGAATATTCAAGCACCTCTAAGAAATGCTTTGCTTTTAATAGTGTTCCCTTTTCAATTCACATAAAAGAAAGGACATTAAAATTAATTCTAAATCTAAAGTACATTCTCAGTGGGCAAAAACCCATCATTGTTTTAAAAATTTTCCAAAAACGTTTTTAGAACGTTTCATGTCTGCAAAATAACGTCCCAAAAACGTTATATATGTTTCTAAAACGTTTTAAAATCAATAAACGTTTTTGGAACATTATTTGGCAGACATGAAACGTTCTAAAAACGTTTTTGGAGCGTTTTTAAAACAATGATGGTTTTTTGCCCACTGGGTTGTCAACAGCATTCTATTAAATTTTTTAGTATGTGAGTATTAGAGAAAACCTTTTTTAAATCTTTTCTTACTTAGGTTCAGTGGTTATTTTTGGCAACTGGTTTTATTAACGATATATACAAATTAGGTTTATTTGAAAAATACGACTTATCGTCTGTAGAGGAAATAGCAACAGGAGGTTCAAAAGTCCATCCTGAAATAACGAAAAAACTTAACAGCCTTTTAAAGAATGGTGAAATAATTCAAGGATACGGTATGTCAACATTTACATTTAAAAAAAATTATTTTTAGTTCATAAATGTAAGCCTAAGTTGAGAAATTAAAAATCTACAAATGAATTTAATTCCAGGCCTAACTGAACTGGGAACAATTGCCACTTTGCAAAGAAAGGGCCATAATAATCATGATTCCTGTGGAGTACTAGGTTATGATATAGAGTTAAAAATAGTTGACGTAAATACCAACCAAACACTAGGTCCAAATGAAAAGGGTGAAATTTATCTTAAGCAAGACCATTCGATGAAACATTATTTAAATAACCCAAAAGCCACAGAAGAAGCTATTGATAAAGATGGTGATTAAGCTAAAAATTGTTATAATTTGTCAAAGTGTTGAACTTCTGATATGATGCGGAAACATCTCCAACAACCAGATTTTGGATCCTTTTGTCAAACTTTCTTTTTGGATCAGGTACAGTGTGTACGGATGAACATGACTTCCTAATCGAAAAATATGTTTGATACAGGTTGGCTACATACTGGAGACTTGGGATACTTCGACAACGAAGGAAATGTTTACATTGTTGATAAATTAAAAGAAGTAATCAAGTACAGGGGCTACAATATTTCTCCGTTAGAAATCGAAATTATTCTTCTCAAACATCCAAAAGTATTAGAAGTTGCAGTCGTACCTGTTCCTCATACAACTGATGAGGAACATCCACTTGCATATATTTCAACATTAAATAATTTTAAGGTACTAATTTGCCATTTTGTTGTTTTAGGGGTAGTTTATCAGTTGTGAAAATATTTTTTTGTCCTACCTGCACGGAAAGTATGTCATTTCGGGCACTTAGAGCGGGCGCAAAGTAACTCAATACCACCCAGGGGTAGGGGAAGCGGGCGCAAAATATTTTGCGCCCGCTTCCTCTACCTCCGAACGGGCGTAAAATTTTTTGCGCCCGCTTCCCCTACTTTCGAGCAGGCGGAAGAGTATTTTGCGCCCGCATGTTAATTATTTTTATTTTATTGTCTATTTTATTTTGTCTAGAAAAATGTGCAATTTTTTTTCGATTTTCTCTTAAAAAAATTATGACACATTTGATTTTGTTCACATTTCGGTTATAAAAATTGGCAATTACTATATTTCCAGAATACATTGTTTTCTTATTTCTATATTAAAACTTGTATCATTATAGACTTCAAAGAGTTAACATTTATATAGAGTTTAATTTTTAACTAATATGAGCGTTTAATCGTTCGTGCCCTCAATGACATACTGTCCATGCAGTTAGGACAAAAAATTATGTTAGCATCATGGGCGCAAAGGTGATTACGACTCTGGCGAAATTTCGGGACCTCGGGGACACTTTAAATTGTGTCCCCTCGGTCCCTTCATTTCTCCACCCAGTGGGCAAAAAACCATCATTGTTCCAAAAACGTTCCATTGCTTTTAAAACGTTTTAGAACCATATAACGTTTTTGGGACGTTATTTAGCAGACATGAAACGTTCTAAAAACGTTTTTGGAACGTTTTCAAAACAATGATGGTTTTTTGCCCACTGGGTATCGTCGCAATCACCTATTTTGCGCCCTTGATACGAAAATAACTATTATTGCAAGATATTGTTATTTAAACTTTTGAGTCAAATCTTCTTCAGCAATTTTTATTTCAAAATCTATAATAGTTAGAAAAAAGTGTTCAATATATGAAAATTGTAGGGACAGTATTGAATTTCAATAATATTTTATTGGAAAATAAATAAAATTCGGGCATTTTCAGTCAGGAAACGTACAAAATTGTCTAATTCAATGCATTTGTTTAGAAACATGTTCTGACATTTATAATGATATCTCACAAACCGAATGACGTTTCTGAACTTTTTTGGTTTTAATTAAATTAAACATGAGACTTGAAGGATGACACCTGTATAAAATTTCCAAATTGCATATTATTTTACATAGAATATTATTATATTTTGTGTTCTTAGTTTATGCATTACTTTTTATATTACAGGTATCTGAAGAGGAACTTTTCAAAATGACATCCATTCTTGGTGATATTAAAAGACTGAGAGGTGGAATAAAATTTTTGGATGCACTACCAAAAACACCATCAGGGAAAGTTGACAGACCAAAACTAAAGCAAATGGCTAAAGTTTATAGTAGTTAATAAAAAAATGAAAAACTAGTCAAATGCGAAATCATTAGATCTGAATATTGTAGACTTTTTATATTGCAATGGTGAAAATTCGTTACCAAACACATTTTATTATATTATTAATTTTATTTAGAAGTCGTTATTAGGCATTACCAATTTAAAAATAAAGATTTTATAACTTTAATTTGGCATATTTAAATTTATTACTTTTGCTTTCTTATTTAGCCCAAATTGATCCAATTCACAATTAAATTTAACTGTCAAGATAGACACATTAAGTTAATTAATGATTAAAGTCATTTTAACCGCCCACGATTGGTCGGTTAAGGATTTAATCATTGATTAACTTTTACTGGAAAGATTAATCGATATAAACTGAAGGAACTGGCAGAAGTTTATAGTAATTTATAAAAACTAAAAACTTAATGTTATTTCAAAATTTTTTTTGTTAAATATAATGATTAATGAAAACATGAAATGAAAAAATAAAGATGAAAGATTTTCAGATTTTAATCTGATAGATTTAATTGTTAATATTAATGTTAAATAAATTTTAATTTAATGTTAATGTTAATTTCTCTAATTATTATTTGCTCTAAATATAAAGATTGCATAACTATTCAATCATCAAAGTTTATCTTTATAATAGTCTGCAACTATTTAGATATTGAAACCAAGGAGGCGTCCATAAATGTTGTAGGGCCCTTTATCTTAAAAATTAAACATAATTATAAAAGACCTATGTCTTTATTAATAAAAATTGTAATGAATGTCAAAAATGGTTTAGAAACACTGAATTAAAAAGTTAAGAATAAAAAAAAATTTTAAAAAATTTTTTTACTGGAATATTTTTCATTTAAGTAAAATATGATTTAAATTATGAAAAAATAGCATTTTGAATGCATTCAATTATGTAATACATTTTCAGTGTTTGCTTGTCATTCTGTAACATATGAGATTATTTCTAATCACATAGGAATATACAGCATGAGAGTGCACTTATCTTTAAGTAAAAATTAATTGCTTAAAATACTAGTATAAAATATATGTAAAACATATACAAAGATCTGAAAATAAAGTTTAGGTTTTAAAATAAAAAAGTTGTAAAGTATAAGATATTTGTTTTTTCTAATTTTTTAATTGTTCAATATAGTAATAGTTTTATTATTATATTTCTAACTACCTCTGCTCTACATATTTGAAATATACAATAACCGCAAAAAATAATTTTTGAAATTTCATACAATTTTTTGTACTCGATTCATAGATTTAATTGAAAATTATTTAGAAAAGGTATATAACTAGACTGCTGTGTAGATATCACAAATCTGTTAATTACGGATGAAGTAGTTATTTTAAATTGACTTTAGAAGTTAAGGATTCAAAATAGCGGATACAAAACGCTGAAATAGATTAACAGAATATGATGATGATTAATAATAAAACAATATTATTTTTAACATTTAAATAAAAATATGATTTGAACTTCTAATATTTTAGTGATTAACCGCCTAAGTTAGTGAACTCAATGCATAAAAACGAAAGGTGGGGTAATATCACTACTATAAATTGTCATTACAGAAGGAAATCTGCAGTGTTTCAGAGCAGACTTGTACAGTGAAAATACTAGTGGATATTAAAAATAAGTGACATGGATTTAAAGGTATCTATTTTAATATTTTTGATTTTTTAGAAATATATAATTATACCTAATAATATTTTTTACAAAAATTCTAAAGCAAGATTCTTCTTTTCATATATAAAATTATTAAATTATTTTTAAATATTTGTAACAAGTATTTAAATAAATCTATATTTTTATAAGTCAAGGTAAATAAAACGAAAACATTCGGATAATGTTTAAAATATATTATTTACTCCAATGTTTCGAAATCTAAATGATTTCCTCTTCAGGGAGTTAGATAAATAGAGACCCGTACTTTATGCAAGTCGCATAATCGCATAATGTTCTCAAACTGAGCATAACTTCTGTATTTTGTGAATTATTAAGAATTCATACAAAATAAATGTGATTTGTGATCGCATCCAATCGCATAATTATACTTTCAGTGCATAATTTTTTTTCATTGCATAATTTAACACGATTTGCATAATTATCGCATAATTGTGAATTTGTTGTATAAAAATACTATAAAGTATCTTCTTTATGATTTTAATAAATTTTTAAACGTTGTTACTTCCCGGTCAATGCAGAGACTATGATAAGTTTATATTTTTGAGACGATTTAAACCAATGTCCCTAGACTGATCTCGTTATTTTACTTGTTTCTATAAAGAAAATTTGACATTTTAAAAAGATTAAAAGTTTTTAATATAATAATCAGGGACCGCTACGAAAGTTTAGTTTCGTTTTAGTTTCGAGGTTGATACAAAACTAAATTAACAAACTGAGTTTAGTTTTGTGTCGACTCGAAACTAAATAATTAATAAATTAAATTTAGTTTCGTGTCGACTCGAAACTAAATTAATAAATTAAATTTAGTTTCGTGACGCAAAACTAAACTAAAAAAATTAAATTTATTTCAGTACAGATCGAAAACAAGTGTCTAAGAAACTCAATTATTTAGTGTCAATTAAAAAATCGCAGCAAAAAACAAAATACTTCAATAGAAAATAAAGTGGAAAAGTGAATCTATAACTTTCATGAATATTAAATATTGAAATATTTCGTTTTTTTAGTAATTTTTTTACTAACACTAAATATTTAAGTTTTAAATTTTGTTTCGTTTCAAAATCGGTCAAATTTACTTGGAGCAACTACAATTTTCATTATATTAGTGAATTTTTTATTAATTTCAGTTAAAACTTTCGCTATTCTAGAGAAACTTATCGCTGTTCCAAATGAAATTTTCTTAACTAAGAATGTGACATTTTCCAAAATACACGATTGATGCTAAAATTAAACTTTTATTATTGTTCATTTAATTGTTTTTAGGTTAAAAAATTATTTATTAACTATATTAAAACCATTTAAAAATTATTATATACAAATAAAACCTAACCATGCGTCATTGCATAATTTTATTTCCATCGCACAATTTTTGCATAATATTTTAGGTTTTTCATTGCATAATTTCAAAATTTTCATTGACACAAAATAGTCTCTCTACAGATAAATTAAGTCAAATAAACGAAATTCTCGGGGTAAATGTGAACAGTTTATTATTTATTAACTAAATTGACAAAAGTCAAAGTCAATTTTTGTTATAGCATTAATAAAAGTATAATTATAAATTTTTGTTGGAATTTTTAGTTTATTTTTATGCAAATACGAGTAAAAATACTAGAACAGTGAAATAAATTTTTTATGTATTAAGAGATAACTGAAACGAAATTATGACATTGGACTATAACTTTTGTTTCGATTGTTTGAGGGTTTCTTCCTTAATAATTATTTTGAATACCCTATTCAATTTTATTCAGAAAACCAGAATAATTCCAAACATGAAACTTAATTTGCCTATAAAATGTATTGTGTTCTGCACCACTTGTTGAAATAAATATATGTTTAAAATAATTGCATATCATTTCAAGGTTATCACAAGTAATTATGTGTAACTAAAAATCGGTTTATGGCTTGAAATAAATATAAAATTTGAATACTATTATAGTATAACACACACATAACATTGATTCAAAGATAAAATTTAACTAAACTGCAGAATACTGTGACTCGCGCTCTAGTAAAGATTTCACCCTTAATAAAATCCTGAAAAGTTAATATTCATAATATATATTAATTATTGTTTATAAAATGGGACAACATTTCTCAACTGATCCAACATCAAAAAAGAAGGTCAACCCCTTTTTTAAAAATAATTTTGTTTTAATTTTAATAATTTTTAAATAATTTTCCAGAATGGTCCGGGATATGTAATCGAAAACAATATCCTCAAAGCTGAAAAGCTACCTCCACTGGCACCAGACGTTCGCCTTAATGAAGTAATATTGGAAAACTTAAGGAACAACCCAGATTTTATTGGACAAGTAATGAAACTTTAATTTCATTTAATCTTATTTAATACAAAAAATTTTGTTTTTAGCCGTTTTTTATATTATTATTATTATTATTATTATTATTATTTTGATTTACAGTTCCTTTTCAAGATTATACAATATAATTTTAAGTAAATAGTGACAAATGTTTGAAAAAATTTTTTTAAAAAGAGATATATTTGGGAAATCTATAATTAATTAATAATATATATAATTTTGACATTCAAAGATGTTTATGTACTCTTATATCGGCCTCTAAAAAAATACAAATAGTAAAAAATTTCTTAAAATTTTAAATACCTATGAAGTAAACTTAATTTATTTTGTAAATCATCTATATATTTATCTTTTGTGTTGACTAACAACTTGTATTTTGTTATAGTCATTGAACTAATAATCAACTAAAAGCAATCGAAACTGCTGAGTCATGCTTCTTCTGCTTTTTCATACTTGCGTAAATGATCGTTAATATTTTGACTTCTACATGATAAAAATTAAATTGCAGCAGATATACATATTTCATATCACACGCTTATTCCCATTCATATAACTTATACACTTATTGAAAGACAAATCCAAGATAAGTACTTAAGTCTTATTAAATTTCAGGGCAATACACTTTTATATTGAAGTTTCCCAATAGAAAAGAAATTGATTATTATTAGTTCAGAAATAGAATACCTTTTTGAAGAATCGTATAAAGTGATCAAAACTTATCGAAATAGAAAAGTCTGTCATACTTATTGTTACTATTTCTTATTTAATTGAACTCTCGTACTTTAGTAAGAAGTTTATTGTATTAACATTGAACTAATGTTAATTATAAATTATTTGCATTTGCTTTTCAATAAGATTGAAATATGAACGGGAAGCAACGCTATTACCTCTTAGAATAATCAATTTAAAACTGCCAATAATATTTACAATATAAGATAATGACTATGTGCGTAACCTACTGCTTATACTTTGGATTTTAAATTGCATAATTCGATGACCAATTTTAGTTGATTCTTATTTTTTAAACACAGTTTTCTTGATATTAAGATGGATCATATTGATGTCAAAACTTTGGATCAAATTTTTATTTGATCCACATTTTTGGTATCAGTTCGTTGCAATTTGATACTTTTAAGTTAACAATGAAGACACACACCAAAATTAACTGTAATATATCTTTTTTTAATTTTCATTAATTTATCAAAACATTTATAAACTCTTCAAAACTAATCAGCAATAGTTTAGACAATTTACACTTTTTAATCTCTCTTAATTTTTTTAGATCGATGGAAAAACAGGAGAAACGTGGACATATAAGAAACTAACAGATGCCAGTGTAGGTTGTGCTTTATGGCTTAAAAAGCAAGGAATAAAAGCAGGTGATATAGTAACAATTTGCTCACATAATCATATTAAAACTTGGGCCCCATTCTGTGGAATCTTCTTCATCGGCGCCAACCTTAATCCTTGGTACCACGATTGGTCAGCTGGTAAACTTTAAATTTTAGTAAACAATTCATCTTAAGTTATATAACATTCAAACATGCACAATACAGACAGATCCCGAAACTGTAACATTGCCTGAAATTTATTGGTATTAGTCATGTTTAAAATAACACCTCCATTAATTTGATCAACCGAATATGAATATAAATACAAATACTAAAGATTACAGACACGAATGTTTTATTTTAACAACATTAAAGGCATTAACATTAAACTTATTTTTAGAAACAGCCAAATATTTCGTGAATCTCACGAAACCAAAAGTTATTTTTGCTGATGAACAAGCGGCAAAGATGCTTAAAGAGCTGACTAAACAAGAGAATGTCAATTCGAGAATTGTTGTGTTTGGCAAAGTTCCTGGACTTGAATCCTTTGACGATATCATTAAGGAATGCAGTGCCGAAGAGATTGAGAACTTTGAATGCTACCCAGTAAAACACGATGACAATGCCTTAATACTATTCTCTTCGGGAAGCACCGGTTTGCCTAAAGGTGTACAACATACATATCGTTCTGTACACTACAATATGTATAAATTTAATCGGAGATTTGAAGACAAGAAAGCCAGCATCACAATGCATACATCATCATTGTATTGGATATCTGGCTCTTTCTGCACCCTGCGCAGTCTAATGAATAATTTCCCTGCAGTTATCATGAACAATGCCACGTCTGAAGAAATTTGTAAAGCAACACAAAAATATAAGGTTCTTATTTAATAGCATTTCAAGCAGCACGTAAAGAAGGCGAACCTGAGAGCAGTAAAATTGTCTTGGGGTTAATGAAAGGTCTATAAGAGATGAAGAAATTACACTATTCATAATTATACTATTTGCAGGTTCACTTTTATTACTTGAATGTCATGGCATTACATGAAACCTCTCAATAATATTACACGAAATGAGTGCTTACTAGCAATCATTTTGCGTAAAAAAGTTTTGTGCCTTGATATTCAGGTAATATTACGCGCTGTTTGGAATAAATCCAAATATAAAAACACATTTTCTGGTGACGGTATTTCGATTTGGCTCATATTTTACAGGTGGAGGATACATGTCTAACCAAAAAATTACAAGTCATTTTGCAATCAGTCAACAAGTTATGACTAAAGTGACATTTTTTAAAATTGATATTAAATCATCTAATTTCGCTTTGAATAAGGTAATTTATGGTTTGAAGAAAAGTATTACAGAAATACTAAATAATTAAAAAGTTTCTCAAAAAATCATATGTCATTTGACTCATTAAAAGCATCAGTTACAGATGATTTGTTTATTAATGTTATGAATTTTTTTAAGAACTATAATCATCATCCTTATATATAGATAACCGTTTCTTCCAAAAATATTTCGAAAATCTAATGATTTTCGAAATATTTTTGGATATTTTTTGATGTTTTTGAATATTGTTGAGCTTCTCCCTTTTTTCTGTTCTCAATAAATGTTTGGAACTTTAAGTGTGACTTGTATAATTAGTTGATTAATTAATAATACCATTACAAAGAATTAACAACTATAAATATTAGCTTTTCTCTACATTGTCAACAGCATTCTATTAATTTTTTTAATGTATGACTATTAGAAAAAACATTTTAAAATCTTTTCTTATTTAGGTTGAGTGGTTATTTTTGGGAACCGGTCTTATTAACGATATATACAAATTAGGTTTATTTGAAAAATACGACTTATCGACTGTAGAGGAAATAGCAACAGGAGGTTCAAAAGTCCATGCTGAAATAACGAAAAAACTTAACAGCCTTTTGAAGAATGGTGAAATAATTCAAGGATACGGTATATCAACATTTTACATTTAACAAAAATTATTTAGTTCATTAGAGTAAGCGCTTAAGTTGAGAGATTAAAAATCTAAAAATGAAATTTAATTCCAGGCCTAACTGAACTGGGAACAATTGCCACTTTGCAAAGAAAGGGCCATAATAATCATGATTCCTGTGGAGTACTAGGTTATGATATAGAGTTAAAAATAGTTGACGTAAATACCAACCAAACACTAGGTCCAAATGAAAAGGGTGAAATTTATCTTAAGCAAGACCATTCGATGAAACATTATTTTAATAACCCAAAAGCCACAGAGGAAGCTATTGATAAAGATGGTGATTATGCTAAAAATTGTTATAATTTGTCAAAGTGTTGAACCTCTGATATGATGCGGAAATATCTCCAACAACCAGATTTTGGATCCATTTTTGTCAAACTTTTTTTTTGGTTCAGGCACAGTGTGTTCGGGTGAACATGACTTCCTAATCGAAAAATATGTTTGATACAGGTTGGCTCCACACTGGAGACTTGGGATACTTCGACAAAGAAGGAAATGTTTACATTGTTGATAGATTAAAAGAAGTTATCAAGTACAGGGGCCACCATATTTCTCCGATAGAAATCGAAAGTATTCTTCTCAAACATCCAAAAGTATTAGAAGTTGCAGTCGTACCTGTTCCTCATACAACTGATGATGAACATCCACTTGCATATATTTCAACATTAAATAATTTTAAGGTACCAATTTGCCATTTTGTTGTCTTAGGGGTAATTTATCAGTTGTGAAAATATTTTTGCAAGATATTGTTATTTAAACTTTTGAGTCAAATTTTCTTCAGCAATTTTTATTTCGAAATCTATCATAGTTAGAAAAAAGTGTTAAATATTTTCTGACATTTGTATTTACAAAAAAATCGTGATTTAAAGATTAGATATCATTTTGTGTTCTTAGTTTATGCATTACTTTTTATATTACAGGTATCTGAAGAGGAACTTTTAAAAATGACATCCATTCTTGGTGATACTAAGAGACTGAGAGGAGGAATAAAATTCTTGGACTCACTACCAAAAACACCATCTGGAAAAGTTAACAGACCAAAACTAAAGCAAATGGCTAAAGTTTATAGTAGTTAATAAAAAAAATGAAAAACTAGTCAAATATAAAATAATTAGATCTGAATATTCTAGACTTTTTATATAGCAACTGTGAAAATTCGTTACCAAACACATGTTATTATATTATTATTAATTTTATTTAGATGACGTTATTGGACATAACCAATTTAAAAATAAAGATTTTATAACTTTAATTTGGCATATTTAAATTTATTACTTTTGCTTTCTTATTTAGCCCAAATTGATCCAATTCACAATTAACTTTAACTGTCAAGATATACACACCGCGCAAGCGTTATTTAGACAAGGAAAGAAGAGGGGGCAAGACAAACTACTTGTCTCCTTTTACCCATTTAATTAGCTTCGCATGAAAATTAGGTATATGTATTAGCGCGCTTTATTCTTATTTCTCTATGTATTTAAGAAAACATTACTATTGTTAAATAAAGAATATCCGCATGCAAAGAAACATTGAATTCCAAGTGTAAGCAAATATTTCCTGAATGTGTCGGTATTAACGTTCAAAATTACAAAAAAGTGAAAATTTTTAAATTTTAAGATAAAAGTTTCTATATTTTCAGACTAAAAATTAGAATATTGTTTAGATTATATATTGAAATATATAGCTAAAATAATAATTAGTTTCTATTCATAAACTTCAATAAAAAGTTTCACATATTATTTTATAATAATATAAATCAGTTGAAGTGAATATGGAATATAAAATAAACCTTCTTTAATAAATATCAAACGATGTTTGTATATTTTGTAAAGTAATTATTTGGATTTTAATAAATTTTTTCTACTATCAGTATATGACTTTTTTCCATGTATCTCGTCGACTTGAAAACAGCTTATTAGAAACTGATTTTATATACGAAAAGTCAACAAAACACATATGTTATTTTATAATCTTGTAAAATTTTTCTACTAAAGTAAAACAATACATTATAAGAATTTTTTTTCTAGCTGTTACGTTCAAAATCTTGAGAAAAAAACACGAAGAACATTAAATTACAATAAATTTCAATGGAAAGCGAAGCCACCAATTACCCTCTTTTATTAGAAAAAGTAAAAAAAAACTGTAATATTTTATAAATATTCCACTTATAAAATTTTTTTTGTATTTCTGTCATAAAAAATTAATTAAAAACTCCGGTTCAAAAAAATTTTTGGAAAATTTTTTAAGAGGATAATAAATAAATAAATATGTATTCCTGATAAGGCACACACATTGAATTCTAAAATTCCGTTTAAACTTATGCATATGAAGACAAACATTTTTAGAAATCTAACTATTGTTAGTATATAAAAAATTAATTGAATTTTCTATATCTTTTTTCTAGAAAAATTGTGAAATTACAATTTTTTTTTATTCCATGGAGTATTGCTATTTTTTGAAATATATAACGACACTAGATTGTCATTTTTTATTTATTTCAATAATTACCATTCGTCGTTAATCATTAATAATATACCTATCGTGCAAATTTGTATATAATTATAAATTAATAATTCCTAGTAGACAATAGACACTGATTAAAAGGCTCATTTAGTTCTGTCCTTTACAATATGAAAAGAATAAAGTTTTATATTTACAAGTAAATTCGCATCTATAAATAATTATATATTTTGAGCAGTATATTGCGGTTTTTGTATTTTTAATATATAACAAGGTATATCTCAAGGATTATGACAACCAATTCTTTAAATTATAGTTTAACATTTCAAATAACAGCATTTTATGCCGATTTCTATAGTTTCATTTGAGAATATTATTTTTTTTTTAAATCTCGAAATGAGTATTTCATATTAATAAAAATATACTATACATATAAGAATAATTGCAAAAATTGATATTATACATTTCATATGATCTTCATAATCAAATTGAAATGATAATAAATAATCTTTTTTTTACGTGACAAAATTTCTCATGTTCTCAAAAATGAAGATTGATCGGGCTGATATTTTTACGAAAATTTGGTTTTTACCATTCACGAGAATTTTAACCACTATTGTAAATTCAAAAATTTGTAATTAGATGCTCCTCAAAATGTGTTTTCAAAAAAAAATTTCAAAATTTCACATGAAATGACCCATATGAACATCAATGCATATGGGACATTCCATGTGAAATTTTCATTACAAAATTTTTTTTTTTTTGAAACCATTTTTTTTAATCCTTATGAAAAATAAGAAAACACGTTTTTTTTTATTTCGTTATTGGATGAAAATTGTGGAAGTTAAGATTTTTTTAAATTCAACTTCTTTAAAGGCCGAAGACTTTTAATACGCGTTTTTCTCTCATCCTTCTAGGAGATAAAAAAATGTACTATATGAAGTTTATTTAGTTTTTCTTAAAGCTTTTAAATATTAAATAAAAAATAATGTATTTACATCGAAAGTATTTAAAAAATTGAAACTAATTAAAAAATGTGACTTTTCTCAAAATTCAATTTTTTCTATATTTTTGATGTAAATACGTTATTTTTTTATTAAATATATAAAAACTTTAAGAAAAAACGAATGAATTTCATATAGTACATTTTTTTATCTTCTAGAAGTATTAGAAAAAAAGCATTTGAAAAGTCCTCGGCCTTTGAAGAAGTTGAATTTAAAAAAATCATAACTTCCACAATTTTCATCCTATAACGAAATAAAAAAATACATGTTTTCTTATTTTTCATAAAGGATTTTAAAAAATAATTTCAAATAAAAAAAATGTTTAATGAAAATTTCACATGGAATGCTCATATGCATTGATGCCCATATGGGTCATTCCATGTGAAATTTTGAAATTTTTTTTTTCAAAACCCGTTTTGAGGAGCGTCTGATTACAAATTTTTGAATTTTAAATAGCTGCAATTAGATTTGAATTAAGTGACCCCAAAAACTCCAGAGAATAAATTTTTATAACTATTTGGAAATTTCTTGTATTAAATCCGACATTATGAATTATGAACGTTTGGCATCTAATTTGTCATAAGATTTTAAATAATTTTTCAAAAACTGAACGAAAAATCTGACAGATCGTGAAAATAAATATTAGTTCAATGTTATAATTTCAATTTTAAAAGAAAGACAAATTAAAGTTGAAATTCGGTTTTGTTGAAGGGTAAAGAGTTTAGAACATTTTAAACAATTAAAATTTCCATTTGCATAAAAATCACATTTTTTTCCTAGGGATTATTTGTTAAATTTTAGCTTATGTTACATAATTCGTCTCTTATTGACAGAAAATTGTAATTTTTATTCAAGAACAATATTGGTATTTGTTTAAAGTATTGTAAATTAAATTCTTTACTCTTTCCCCAGAGCGGATTTTTAATTCTTCTTTTTCAAACAAAATACGAAATTATAAACTTTTGCACCAATTGTTTGTTGGATTCTTCTTCAAAAATTTGCCGTTAAAATTAAAAAATCACCAAATTACCAAAAGACGAGTTTTTTTTATTCAATATTCAAAAAACCAGCGTTCGATCAATCTTTACTTTTAAGTTTGCATTTTTGGAATGATTTTGTCCCATTTTTGTAAGAATAAAAAATTTTGGTACCCTCCAACGCAAACAGTATTTTATAAAAATGAATCCTCGGAATATACCCTGCGTTAGAAAACAAATGTTACTGATAGAAAGAACATTTTACATTATTGGACTACAAAAGTCAAGATAGTAAAATAGATAATAGTTTTCAAAAGTCTTACAGAGTGTCGCATTACAATGTTTTTATTCTGGTGGAAATAAGGAAATTCATATGAGACGATTAAGTACGAAATAATGTTGTCATTTTCACCTAAGTTGCAGTGAAAAGCGCAATATTACACCTACTGTTATTAATACATATTTTAACAGTAAGTATTTCTTTTTTTTTAGGACTCATTGCGATGACATTCTCAATTTTCCCCGCACGCATTGTTCAATACTCATTAAAAATGAGAATGTAAAAACGAGGAATGCATCTAATCGATAAGTAAGTGAGATGCTTCAGCATCTGCATTTTGTAAGTTTTTTTAGTTGACTCACAAAATTAATTAACACTAAGGCCTCAAATTGTTCTTCATTCTCTGGATATTTGACACTAAAAGCGGTTAACTATTATCACTATTATTTACATTCATTATCGCAATACGAATGTTACAAGTTGATTATATGAAACTACAGCCATTATTTCTTAATATATAAGTCTAAATTGTAAAGCTAGTACGGACGAGAGTGTTTTTATTTTCTTCTTGCGATTTTGTCTTACGAGGAACCGAAATAATTATAAAAAGTCAAAAGCAAAGCTTCAATTTTTGACTTATTTCGTTATAAAAAAGTCGGTACTGCTCATTCTTCTTTCTTTCATTTGAATATTTTACTTTGAAGTCAAAAAATTCGTGGATAATGTTCATTGTCAAATCTAGTCAGTAATTGTTATCTGCGCAAAACCAATCAATGCCTTGTCATCTGGCACTTCATTTGGAGCATAACCGGAATTCTAAAAGGGTAATTAATTTATTAAATTTTAACTAATTATAGCCATGGCCAGAAGTAGCAATTTAAGTTTAAGGAACTGCTTTACTTTGAAGGTATATATTTTTATTGTAGGTTTAAAGATCTGTAGGGACAGGAACTTTATTTTTTGTAACCAAAATTATTCTTTTTAATGCTTTTGCAAATTGCAATGATTATTGACAAAAACTACTTTTTAACGTCAATGTCAACACTAGATCAGATTTTTAAAATTTTGCCTTTATGCTCAAGCATTAAGTTCCTATCTCTAATGATCTGCTTGAGTTGGTAAACATTTTATACTTTTTGTTTACTCACCAAAGGAAATGTTACTGTTCGAACTTCTCCAGAAGTGTTTATTAATTTCTGAAGATTAGCTGCTATAACGACAATATCTTTCCTATCAACTAAGCCTGCTCCCACTAATTCTGCAGCAATTCCTTCCGCTGAGTCAACTCCCACGGCAAATTCGAACCTTATATCATTAAGTTCTCGTTTTTGGTTTCTAATAAATAGATTTCTAATTAATTCAATATTTATTCGTAATCAGCGCAGTGGCGGATCCAGGGGGGGTCATGAGGGTCATGACCCCCCCCCTGGGGCGAAAAATTTACATAAAAAAAAAGGTCAGCTAATTATGGTCGTTGCTCGCCGAATCTATAAATGACCCCCCCCCCCCCTGGAGTAACTTCTGGATCCGCCACTGAATCAGCGGACCCCAAAAACCCCCGAGTACTAATTTTCATGAGCCTAGTTGAATTTTCAAATTTTTTCGTCCGCCATTTTTAATTTTGAAAAACTAACATTAGATTTGTAATCACCGACCCAAAGCCTCCAAAAAAAACCCTTGAGTAGTAATTTTCATGAACTTTGCTAGAAGTAATTTAACAATTTCCAATCCTTAGCAAAAACATTTTTTTTATATTGTTATAATTATAAGATTGTTGTAAATTTTTTGCACTATAAAAAGTTGTATAAAGTAATATAAATTTGTGGATCATTGGCGTTTAGAACTCAAAAATTGATTAATTTTCGACAAAGTTATGAATGTTCAAACACAAAAGTGGTTTCAATCGAAACCGTTGGGCACCGTTGGGCCTTAGAGGGTTAAAGGTTAATTCACACTCTTCGTCTTTTTCAAGTATATTAATAAAAATAAATTGATCTTACCGTAGTCTAAGAACTAAATTGATGGGAGCGTTTTGTTCAGCTGCTTGTATAGTCAGATGACTTTGAGCAGTTTTAACTTGTCCATAGTAATCCTCAGGATCCGGAACTTCCTCGTCACTGCTTACATTTTCTATATTATTTACTGGCAACGGTTCCTTACCATCCTCGCCACTAGAACCTCCACTGTCTTCCTCCGACGACCAAACCCATTCTCCAGTCACAGTTCTGTGCAATCGACCCGAAGTACCAGGCTGCCTTTTTGAAGCCTACCAAAGTAATTATCTAAATAAATGTCCTCAAACACTACCAGATGAAATTTTATAGCTGAACTAATAGTTGAAACCTATTCCTTATTATAAAATACACGATAAAAAAAACTATTGAAAAATAAAATATTAAAAATATATGGAAAAATTCATCAAAGATGTATTACCTTCTGAACTCGAGTCTCAAGACTAGGGCCAATAGCAACAAGTGTCTGTTGCAAATATTTCTTGTCTTTTGCCTTTTTGAAAAATGGGTGCTTTAGAAGTTCCGTTGCCGTTGGTCTGAAAAATAATTGGATTAAAAATTTTTTTTTAAATTCAAGACACATCTCAGTTATTCAGCAGCCCAGTTTGGTTAGATTGTTTATTAGAAAAATAATGACCTTTTTGTTGGGTCCTTTTGCAGACAATCCACTATCATTTTTCGAAAAGTTTTTCCATATGCTTTGTACTGATCTTTATCATCAGCTGCAGTGTCTAAAGTAGGTGGATCATTCTGCAAAGTTAGCATAAGGACTTTCATTGGCGGGTATTTATGATAAGGAGCAGTTCCACTTGCCATTTCAATAGCAGTTATACCTAGCGACCAAATATCTGCCTTGAAATCATAGCCATGATCCTGTAAAACAATTGTTGTTAAATTGCAAATTCAGAATCTACATAAAGTTTATGTTTCATTTCATTGCCTGTATGTGTTGTGTGAGTGATAAAATTTAATATTTCGAAATTTACATTCTCATAGGATAGCTTCAATTTTTATAATCTTTAACATTTCATTCAATTTTTGACAAAAGGAGATAGAACTTTACTGTTTGTGAATTGAACAAATTGTTGATAAAAGCAAGAGTATGGAAAATTTTAATAATGGTGTTGTTTAATTTTCTTAGCAGGAAAAATTGTAAAAATTGCAGGCTAAGAAATTGGAGTGTAACTTTCCTCTCTCACCTGCTCCATGACCTCGGGTGCCATCCAACAAGGTGTTCCAACAAATGTATGTCGAACTTTTTGTCGACTGAGATCTCTGCCGGTTGCTAGCCAAGCGCTTACTCCAAAATCTGCTATTTGCACCGTACCATCCTCACCAAGAAGAATGTTCCCTGCTTTAATGTCCCTAAAAATTTAATTCCGTTTCAGTAACTAATAAACCGACAATGTGAACAAAATTATTACAAAAAATCTGGAACTTATGAATTAAACCACAAAAATGTGAAATCATTATGTTTCGTCGCAGAACTAAATATTATATTTTATAGAATTGTTACGTCACCGTAACCTATTTTTAATAATAATATGTAGAATAATAATTAATAATAATAATCATGATAATTAATAATAATAATAATAGTTAATCCTAATAATAGTAATAATCATAATAAAAGTTAATAACAAAAATTGTTATTTACATATTATAATAAATAATAACTATAAATATTAATAAGAAACAATAATAATCAATAATAAATTGTAATAATAAATATTAGCAAATAATAACAAAATGTAATAAATAGTTAAATATAACAATCTTAACAACAAACTTTAAGAAATAATAATAAACAATAATAAATTGTAATAATATATATTAAATAATAGAATTGTAATAATAAATATCAACAACAACAGAATTGTAATAATAAATAATAACAAATTTAAATAATTATAATTAACTAATAACAAAGTTAAACAATTATAATTATAAATAACAAATTGTAACAAATTATAAACAATTAATAACAAAATTATAAAATAACATGAGTAATAGGGAATGTACACGTGCGATCTAATAGTGAGTCACCACAAGTGTTCCAGTAACAAAGGGGTTTCTAAAATGCATGGAAACTCGTACAATTCGTAAAATACATGAAAACTTGGACGATTCCTAAAATACATGGAAACACGGACAATTTCTAAAATATACAGGCAAATTTGGGTATAAGAAGAGCCAGACCATCAACAGCAGTTCAGTCTAAGAAAAGCAGTCTAAGAAAGCAGTCTAGAAAAGTATTCAAGAAAATGTAGTCGTCAATACTATAAGTCTCAAATTGAGAAGTGGTGCTCTGCACAAGTCAGTCTAAAAATTTCATCTATTACAGAATGAAGAAGAAACAGAAAAGAGTACTGTAGAATTTTACCTGTGAATTTGTCCATTGCTGTGAAAATATTCAAGTCCTTTGAGAACTTCTCGAAGTACCGTAGCTATTGTAGCTTCATCAAAAACACCATGTTTGCAATTCGATGTTCGTGTTTTATGTTTGATGATGTCGAGTAAAGAACCTCCTTCGAGAAGGCGCAGAACCAACCAGAGTTCTTCTTTTACTACGAAAGATGTGTAGTATGTGACTACATTCTCGTGATTGCAGGAAGACATAGCTTGAATTTCTTTCTGTAAATTTCAGGATTACACATTTAACATTTAATTATCAAATTAGTTTTTGAATGAGAGTTCGGAAAATTTGAAAATGCGCATTTAGTAATTTACTTACTAATAACTCGTCCATACTTGTGTTCCATTTTTCCAAATTTATTCTCTTGATTGCACATTTTTCTTGGCGAGGAATACAAAATGCAGCATGCACGACAGCAGTAGCTCCAACACCTTGGAACATTTCATTAGGTATAAATTAAAAGTTAATATACAATACATTGCATATAAGGGAAATAGTCCAGATGGGCGTGGTAACTCAAACCGAATTGAATAAGATTTATTAAAAATATAGTACAATGTTAGGTATCAAAATTCTATTCTAAAATGATAATAAGAACGTTATGGTCGTTTTTAAAAAAAACCAATGGAAAACCGTTTAGGAGATGTGATACCTTAACGGGACTTTCTGGATCAAAATTTAAAAAAAAACACATTGTTAAACTCTTATTTTAAAAAATTAAGTATGGTTTTTGCAAAAATTCCTTTTAAAAAACCCCTTAAGAGGATATCAAAGTCAATTCGATTTTGCCATTGAAAACTCTGTGTAAAAAATAGCATCGACTTTGACACCCCCTTAAGGGATAGAAAATTTTTAAATTTGAAATTTATAAGTCAAAAGGAAGAAAATAATAACAACCCGAGTATACTCTTCTAAACATTTTTGTTAATAAGTTTCGCTTAAATTAACATTAAGTCATCTGTCAAGTTACAAACTGTTTCTTAGAGATAAAGAAAGGTAAATAAATCAATTAAAACTCTTAATATTATTTATTTGACAATAAATATTACATTTCAATTATTAAAAAATGAATTACTGCAAGATTAAGTGTTTTTTCGGTAGTAATATTATTAGTTAATGATTATTGTTCAATCTTTTTTAGTTGAATCTTTTTTATATTTAATATTGGTTTGTTGAACTATTTGTTATATTTAGGTTATTATTATGTTAAATTGTAAATAGTATATTTATCATAGACAATATTAACCGTTTTTAATTTTCATTAATTGATTTTTCACAATTACTTAAAATTAAACAGTAAATTAGTAATAGAACCTATATTAATATTAATTATTATTTTAAAATTTTATTAATTACAATACATATTTTAATTATTAATAAATTAAATTATTCGTTTTGTTAAATTATAAAATGTGCTTCTTAATTTCACTGCTGTATTACATTCACATTACCTATTTAGATAAATTACTTTATTGCCGCGATTGTTTCTAAATGAAACAACAAATTTCAGGAGAATAAATAAACGAATACATTAGGATAATTAGTTTTAAATAAAGAATTGCTTAAACGTTTCGAAATCTTAATGATTTTCTAATTAGTAAGTCTATGAAAAATATTACAATAATTTTGAAAGGAAATTTTTGTTAAAAAAATAGTTACGGAGTGTATTTTATATAAATAATTAGGTAAAAAAAACTTGTCCTAATTTATATTCGTTTAATTATTTTCCTAAAATTGAAATAATAATCAACTAGAAAATTAGATTGATTTAATATTTTAAAAAAATGAACTTGAATTATTAAAAAAATTCGAAACTTAGAAACACTATTATTTTCACAATATTTAATTTTTTGTTTTATATTTTGGGGAAAAATATTAATATTCAAATTTACCGCGAAGATTATTAGGTTTATTATATTAAGAGAGAAACGTCATGTCGGTCTTTTGCAGTAAAACAAATAATAACCTTGGGTATAGCTGAGTCGAACCGAACAACAAAAAACTATTAAAGGTCATTAAACTTTTAAACTGCAACCTTCTATAGTATTAACTGCACAATTGTTTCTTTCATTCCATTGTTACGTTGGAGCACGAAAACAATCAACACTTTTCCGACTCGTTGTTTTCGCAGAAGTCAAAGGAGGCGAAATGTAAAACAGTCCCTTTATTTTGATGAATTTTTCTAATTCCCTGCTGCAAATGACACTAATTCTTCTGCTCCAACCGGCCTTGACCGCACTTTGCAGAGATGGTTAGGTTAGTCACGTTAGACGTACCGGTTTGAAAAGCTGGAAAACATAACGCACGTGTCGTCCTTTGTTGTGACACTTTGATGCATAATCACATCAGCAGTAATCATGAAATTTGGTCAATGTATCATGATTTTATGTAATGACGACAACCTCGATTCTCGATAGAATAGGGAAAACGTCATATACGACGAGCAGGACCGAAGTAAAAAGGATGGCATAGCATAGGGCCGGTGAGCAACTCATTATGTGGCCAATAAACCAAGTTGGCAAAAGACACTTTACGTAAGACAGTCCAGTCGCGATAATGCAATGTCGACAAAGACAAATGTACTTACCAATTACTTCTTTTAATTCGTAATCATCTTTGGTATTAGGCCAGCCTTGTACGACGGTGGTGGAGCTCCCTGACGCCATTTTGTTGCTCAGTGCCGTGCCAAGGCGAAAATGTGTGCTGGAGTTTCGTGAACCCCGTGAGAAAATTTAAGTAGGAGAAAAAATGTCTGACAGCGACTCATTCGACTCATTTGAAGCAGGGCTGCAATCCCACTGAGTAGGTGCAATTTAAAACGCTTCTCCAAATTGTTTTCACCTTAAGGGCATTTGAACCATTATGACGTCATAGGTTCTGCAAAGCATGTGTTTTAAGGCTGTGACGTCATCATGGTTCAAATGCCCTTAATTAAAGTTTTTAAACGTTACTGGCAATGTAAACGGATAGGTGACGAATCATTGTTATACAGTATAGTAGAATTTTTTTATTTTTTCATAAGAAAATATGTCAAATTTAGGTTATTTATATCGCTTTAAAATTAAAATTATATGTAAAAATATAAATTAAAAATTAAAAGAGTAACGGATAAAGGAGAATTGACTTTTGTTTTACGCTTTAATGTTTTGTTCTTCGTCAGCAAATGTGAAATACTTGTAAGTGAAAAAGATGAACAGTCGTTTCCATTCCTGTCATTCTTTTAATTTTCGATTTACTCCAATATAAGATGGGATCTTAAGCAGAGAGTATCTTAAGGTCATGTTATTCAGTGGTCACATGTTCCCATAGTAAAATATAGCACGTGACCACATGACTTGAAATGAGTTCTACAATAGGCGCCAATGCTTGACATTGGCAAGTGCCAATCCCCTCACATAATATTTTCTAAATATTTCAGTCTATAAAGTTCTTAAAATGTTGCTTGCCGCTTAAAAATACACCCCTTCAAAATTCAAAATGGCGCATCCAATATGGCGGACAAAAAAAATTAAGTCATCTAGATTCGCTTAAAACTCATTACTCTTTAGTTTTCGCGCATAAAATAAGTGAACGATGATAAATTCTATAATTCCTAGTCATCTATCATCAACCTAAAACCAGATTTATAAATTTCGACCTCACAATTACCCAAAAAATGATTTTTGAATTATTGAAATTGGATCGATTTTTAGAAAGTCATCAGCCATTTTTAATTTTAAAAATTTAACACCGGATTCGTAATCAGAGTTGTAGAACCGGCCCTTAAAATTTTGAAAATCAAATGGAACCACATTGGAGTAAGTGAGACAGATACACCGCCTGTCTCGTTCGCGATGCATGAGATAGAAAAGGACACAAATATATCTGTGTCGTAATCGCAACTGTAAAGGTACTTTCACATCTGGTACATTGTGAACGCCTTTAATTTTAACATTTTTGGGGGAGTGACGTAACGATTTTACTACATGGTGGGAGGTAAAAGTAGGGAAAAGATGAAATTAAAGACATCAGGAAAATTTAAATATCTTGTTTTTAACATTGCTATGAAATTAAAGTCATTTAATTCATAAATTTTTAAATTGTATGGACAATTTTTTTCTTCTTTCAATGATATCAGCCTGTCTCTCTTGCACTTATGATTTTCTGTTTGGTTTCCTATACTACTTTACACTTTAGGTTCACATGCGGATTGCACATTGCACCCTTCGATGGTTTCAGTGTAACTGCAAAAATAATGAAAGTTTTTCTATAATTAGAAAAAAATGAATAATGATATTGAGAAAAGTGAAAATTTATTATCTACTGTTAAAGTAGATAAACTAACAGGAGTTTGTGCCATTAAAAGAGAGTAAGCACTATTTAAAATATTAATTCTTGAAATACTTTTGTAACCTGCAAATTTATTTATTTTTCTTTTTAATTTTATGTATTTTGTATTAAAAAAAATAAATTTAAAGTTTAAATAAACTATTTATTATACAGTTATAGCGTATAATGTTTAAGTAACATAGACAAATGTACTTATCAAAAAATAAAAAATTGCAAAAAATGTAAGGTTAGAATGTATACTATTACAACTGCATGGATCACTGGATTCACTTTTTAATTAACTTTTAAAATTTTGTCATATTTCACCTAGTTTGATAGTTTTTTCCTTTTTCACCATTTTTCATGATTCAATTAATTTTTAGGTACAATATATTTTAACGACTATTAAAATTACAATGTCGAATACATAAAAAAGCTCTAAAATTTTTTTATTTTGTTGAACTTTCAATGAATTTTAATTTAAATTACTTAAAATATATGTTTATTTCAATTTACCAAAAAGTTGTTTATTAATTTAAAATTTACTTAGTTAAAATTTCAATGAATTTTAATTTAAATTACTTAAAATACATCTTGCTTAAAATTGTAATCAAAATTAATTAAATTTTTAAAGAGTTTTTCAATAATTTTTGATTTTTTACCAAAGGGTGCGGAGACTATTAAATGAGTAAAGTATTTTTGAAGAACTTAAAAATATTGAAGCTAAATGCCACAAAAGAAAAGAAAAAATGTTGAATTGTAAAAAATTCGGTTTTTCGAATTTTTGATAATTTTGAAAAATTTTAAATTTTTTACCAAAGGTTGAAGACTTTTAAATAAAGTATTTTTGAAGAGCCCAAAAAATATTGAAGCTAAATGCCACAAAAGAAAAGAAAAAATGTTGAATTTTAAGAAATTCGGTTTTTCGAATTTTTGATAATTTTGAAAAATTTTAAATTTTTTACCAAAGGTTGAAGACTTTTAAATAAAGTATTTTTGAAGAGCCCAAAAAATATTGAAGCTAAATGCCACAAAAGAAAAGAAAAAATGTTAAATTTTAAGAATTTCGGTTTTTCGAATTTTTGATAATTTTGAAAAATTTTTAATTTTTAACCAAAGGGTGAAGACTTTTAAATAAGTAAAGTATTTTTAAAGAACCCAAAATTATTGAAGCTAAATGATACAAAAGAAAAGAAAAAATGTTGAATTTCAAGAAATCCGGTTTTTCGAATTTTTGATATTTTTTAATAATTTCAAATTTTTTACCAAAGGGACTTGACTATTAAATAAAGTATTTTTGAAGAGCCCAAAAATATTGAAGCTAAATGCCACAAAAGAAAAGAAAAAATGTTGAATTGTAAAAAATTCGGTTTTTCGATTTTTTGATAATTTTGAAAAATTTTAAATTTTTTACTTAAGGTTGAAGACTTTTAAATAAGTAAAGTATTTTCCAAGAGCACAAAAATAATGAAGCTAAATGCCATAAAAGAAAGGAAAAAATGTTGAATTTTAGGAAATTCGGTTTTTCGAATTTTTTATAATTTTTGTCAATTTTAGATTTTTTACCAAAAAGTGGAGATTATTGAAAAAGTAAAGTATTTTTCGAGAGCCTAAAAATATTGAAGCTAAATGCCATAAAAGAAAAGAAAAAATGTTGAATTTTAAGAAAATCGGTTTTTCAAATTTTTGATAATTTTGAAAAATTTTAAATTTTTTACTAAAAGGTGGAAACTTTTAAATAAGTAAAGTATTTTTAAAGAGCACAAAAATATTGAAGCTAAATTCTATAAAACAGAAGAAAAAATGTTGAATTTTAAGAAATTCGGGTTTTCAAATTTTTGATAATTTTGAAAAATTTTAAATTTTTTACCAAAGGGTCTAGACTATTAAATAAGTAAAGTGTTTTTGAAGAGCCCAAAAATAATAAAGATAATGCCATAAAAGAAAAGAAAAAATGTTGAATTTTAAAATAATAAAAATTTTAAATAATAAATTTTTGACAAAAAAATGTTCTTTAGAAGTTTTTAATTATAATTCTTTTAGCACTATTGGAAAATGATTCACATGAAGTATTATGATTTTTAAATTTATTCTCAACATATTGACTATAAATCAAATGTGTGCTTGTAATTTAAAAATCTTTACAGTTACGACTTTCAATCCCGCAGATTCGTAAATTGGCCATATTCTTTTTTTCTAAAAGCAAAAAATCTGTTAGTTTAATTTTTTTGTTAGAGCTATTTAATAACATTGTAAAATAAAAATTGATATTTTTTGTACAGATTTATTGTTGAAGATCACGTCAGGCAGTTAAGTAAAGAATGCTTAACAGTAGATGACAAACAGAAGATTGAAACAAAAGTTAATAATGAAGAAGCACAAGATGAACCTCCGAATAAGAGAATGCGAGAAGATGATAGAAAGGATAAATTGAAAGGCCAAAATAAAGCGAGACCTCCACCTTTCAAACCACTTAAGGAAAACAATTTATGCCCTTACATTATGGATCAAGGTGTCGATGAACCAGTGAAAAAGTGTACAAATCAAAAATGTGCTTTCATGCACGACCGAGTTGAATATATGAAAATAAAACCAGTCGATGTTAGCGAGGAATGCCATATTTTTAGTATAATGGGAAAATGTCCACGAGGTCTTTCTTGTAGAATGGGTTCGCAACATTTAACGGCAGACGGTTTGAATATAGTAGATAAAAATAAATATGAAGCATATCAGAAAAAGTCGCCAAGTGTAAGAAATCAAATAACTAAAGATCTTCAAGAGAAACTAAGAAAGTACAAGTACAATTTTTCCAAGGCAGAAAAGATCATAAAACTGAATAATCCTATTAAAAAGAATGCGGAGAATAAACAGTCGTCCGAAAATGAACCGTTAGTTAACAATTTAAATAGCAACGTCGATGGTGGTGTTGATTTAAAAACGAAGGATTCAGAAACTGGAAATGTAGATAATAAAAAGTGTCAAGCAATTGGTCCTGCTCTGGATACAGACATCATTAAACTGTTGCCTAATGAAAAGAAAAAAATCGATTGGCGGAATAAAATTTTGCTCAGTCCTCTGACAACTGTGGGAAATTTACCTTTTCGGAGAATTTGCAAAGAATATGGAGCAGACATAACTTGTGGAGAGATGGCACTTGCACCGAGAATATTAAAAGGAGCTCAGGAAGAATGGGCCTTAATTAAAAGGCACGAATCTGAAGATATTTTTGGAGTTCAAATTTGTGGAAATAATCCTGGTGTTCTAACGAGATGCGCTCAACTTTTAAATCAAGAATCGGACATTGATTTTATTGATCTCAATCTTGGATGTCCAATTGATTTAATTTATAAACAAGGATCAGGATGTGGGATGCTTAATAGAGCGAATATTTTGGAAACTGTTGTTAAATCTGCTTCACAAATTTTGAATATTCCCTTTACTATTAAAACTCGAACTGGAATTTACTTGGATAAACCCATTGCTCATAATTTAATGCCAAAATTTAGAGATTGGGGTGTTGCAATGATTAATGTAAGTAATACCTTTAATTAAACTCTAATAAATTAAATTAAACTCTATAATAAAATTTGAATTTTCTTTTTAGATTCATGGAAGATCAAGGGAACAAAGGTACACAAAACTAGCCGATTGGTCTTATATTGAAAAATGTGCTCAGGCTGCGAATCCTGTTCCAGTTTACGGAGCTGGAGATATTCTATCGTTTTATGACATAAACAGACTAAGAAATACTTATTCTACTATTGCAGGAGTGAGTATTGGTCGCGGTGCCTTAATTAAGCCATGGATATTTCAAGAAATTAAGGAAGAGAAATTAATAGATATCTCTAGCGCAGAAAGATTTGATATTTTAAAAAAATATGCTAAATATGGTCTTGAACATTGGGGTTCGGACACTCGAGGAGTAGAAACCACGAGAAGATTTATGCTTGAATGGATTTCCTTTTTGCATCGGTAATGAATTTATTTATTTATACACAAAAAGCTTCTTCAGGGTTGCCACAAAAATTTTATTTGTTTCTGATTGACAAAATTTTTACTTCTTTTCTGATCTCTTTAAAAAAATTCAAAATACATTTTATTACATTTTATAAAAATTCAATTAATTTCATAAATCTAATAGTATTTTCTAAATTCAAATGTCTTTAAAAAGGGAATTAAAATTTTCGGTATCAGAAGTTTAAATATTTTTTACAGATGATTTTTTACAATATCATGACTTCAAACACAACTTTCATTAATTAGTTTTAAACGATTGGTGACGTCACCTTTCAAGCCTTAAATTGAATATTTGATTTACGAAATAATTTTGAAGAGAATCTATCACAATTAAAAATTAAATGATACAATTTAAGAATTTATATATAAATTATAAAGAAACTGTATATGAGCCACCAGATAATTTATATAATCACGCACATAATTTTGATAGACATTTTAATTGGCCTCTATAACATCCACAAATTAACTTCAAAAAAAAATTTGTTTTAATCACTTTTAATTAAGTTTCTATGAGAAATTACTTTAAAAAATTTTTGCTGAATTTAATATTAATTGTGGATATCAATTGAGGGTCCAACCAATTGTGGTTGTCCCCTAAGTTGAACAATTTTTTTTCAATTTCAGTTTTTTGAAAGCATATTTCGATATAGAAAATATTGTTTATAAAAATTAATTTTAATTATTGCAGGTATATTCCAGTCGGAATTCTAGAACATCCTCCTCAGAAAATGAATGAACGACCTCCGTTTTATAGAGGCAGAGATGAAATGGAAACTCTAATGGCGAGTTCAAACTGTGCAGATTGGATTAAAATATCGTGAGTTTCTTCATTACTTTGTATCTTTTCGAAGTTACTATTTTCAAAAAATGACAAGTTTTAGTTTTTCCTTCAACCCAATTCATTTTCTTTATAGTAATAAAATTGTTCTTTTCAGTGAACTAATACTTGGAAGAGTACCTGATGGATTTCACTTTCTACCAAAGCATAAGGCAAATTCGTGGAAGTAAAAACAAAGTTATTGATGAACAAAAAGATTTCTATTCAATTCAAACTTAATGTTACTTTCAATTTAAATAAACTTTATGTAAATTATGCAAAATAAAAGTTGTGATATGGTTAAAAATTTATAATTAACACTAGTTGAATTTTAATTTTATTGAATGCGTAGGTACGAAAAATTTCCTACAAAGAAATTATTACAACTCAAATATTCAGTAAAATGAAGTTTTAAATGAAAAAAAGTAATTGAGAGAATTTTTAAGAATATCATTTTTTATTAAATTGAAATTACTATAAAGAGAAATATTATTTGTACGAAATGTTTAGAAGAATAGAAGTTTAAGAAAAAATTTTATATGACAAAAAATATTTCATACGTGAAATTGTTATTCTGAAATTTCATTTAACAGAATTTTTGATTGTTCAAAAATCCATTTGAGAGAAAGTTAGAATAACTATTCAGTAGAATATCTGTTTAGACAAATTTTAAATAGAACAGAAGAATATTAGAAAAAATGTTCTTTCAGTCGAATTTTTATTTGATTAAATTTCCATTCAATTAGTTTTCTACATTTCAAGCATACAAACCCTTTTTACAAAATTTACCAACGTACAACGGGTAATTATCTTCTAAGCTACCTAAATCCAAAAGATTGTTTAAATCCGTAAAGAAATGCGATTGATAATTAATAAAATTGAAAATTAATGTAATGACAGACTGCACTATGCGTTACATTACAGCCAGTCGTCAATAGAGGGCAGAAGCATGCAGGCGAGCACAATGGCTCAGCTGTCTTAGCTTCAATGAAAAAATTTAATCAACTTTGACACCGCCTTAATACAATTATGTATTCAGGAGCCCATTCACACAGCTGGCCCATTAGCTCAGATGGTTAGAGCGTCGTGCTAATAACGCGAAGGTCGCGGGTTCGATCCCCCCATGGGCCAATTTTTTTCTCTTTTAACAATTCTTGTTCACAAAATGTTTAAACAAATTAAATATTCTTTGTACAAATAATTATTTTTTATTATTTCAAACGATTTAACTTACACACTGACTTTTCAATTTTTATTGATTTTGATAAATTTCAGTTCAGGAGACTATTGTGTCGACACAAATCAAGAAAAAAAATTTGTTGTAGAAGTCGCTTTATGCATACTATACTGTATAAGCCTGTGTGTAAATACCTTTAATGTCAGCGTTGCGATATGTAAGGGTGCGTTCACACGATTTTTAGAAAAACATTAAGGTTGAGTCCACAATAGCACACTTGAACGGGACGTAACGAAACAAAACAATGCTAAATGTTTCGTAACGGTAACGTTTACGTCCTGTTCAAGATTGTTATTGTAAACTCAACCTAAATGATCCATTATACATACTAACCGGTGTGTAAACACCTTTAATTTAGGTGCAGATCCACAACCTTGTTTTCATTGCTTTATGCTCTTTATGTGACATCTTTTTATAAGAAATGAAAAAATTATTAATTTTACAATTAACTATCATATTACACAATAAAGAATAGTTTATTCTATCAGTAGAATAAATTATTAGATTTATATACTAAATGGTTATTAGTTTTAGCGCTAAGCAGTTATTTTGTGAAAAAGAGTTTACTCGTATAGGGGATGGAAAACATTGGCAAAAAATGTTTTTTTTTGAGAATCAAGTGCTTTTTCGTAAAATAAGTAACCTCAATTACTTTAATAAAATGAACAATCGAATATTTCACTGAATATCTTGAAGTCAATAAATTTCTACAATGGAAGATAAAATAGCCTTTGTTCACTTGTCGGTGGAACTGAAGGTTTTAAATATCACTTATGCCTTGAATTCAACAATTGAAGATCTTTGCATTAAGGTAAATAAACATACTTGAGTTTTATACTTAAAATTACATAGTTTTATTCGTTATAGGTTTTAGTAGAACTTTAATTGAAGGTTTTAAGAATATAAATTTACAGCTTTCAAATTGAATTACAATGCAAATAAAAACATTCGGTTGGTGAATTTTATAAGTTGATAAAAATATTTGGGTGATTTTTCTAAAAGTGATACTTTTGAAGTTCGAATTTTTAATTGATTTTTTTTTTAATTTTGTTTTCTTCTATGTAAACTACTTTATTTCAGTACTAAAGAGTAATAATTTAAGTGTTGCAAAATGAATTGTTAAAAATATGTATTAAAGTTATTTTTCTTTGAAAAAGATTGATTTTGTTGCTCCATTTTATTATTTTTATTTGATTCGCAAGATTTGTTGACTTTTAATGTTTTGTTTAGTAAAAAGTATAGACTTGGGGAATTTAAAAATTTGACTAAAATAAAAGGAATAATTTTTATTCATCAATTTTTCACAGGTCTGCAGACAACTGGGAATAGGACCAATAGCAAGAAACCTGTTTTCTTTGCGAAATTTTAAAAAGAAGTATTGGTACCCACCAGGCCATTTGCTCGATGGCAAGGAAGATAAATTCGAGTTTCGCATAAGATTCAAACCTTCTTCTTTGAACAGATTAAGAAGAATTGATTCCAAAGCGTACGAATATTTTTTTCAGCAAGTAAGACTCGATGTTATGGAGAATAGTGTATCGGAAATTGTGTATGAAAAACACAAATCAGAACTTATTGGGCTTGGTGTCTGTGATATGTATAGGTATGAATATATTTTTCACTTTATAATATTTTATATTTAATTATATTATTTTATTTATTATATAATTATTATAATATATTATTTATAATATTTAATATTTATAATAATACTAAGTGACTATGTGTTTAAAGGAAAAATTATTTCTTTTTTTCAGAGTAATGCTCGAAAAGAAAACATCTCGTGAAAATGTTCAATCGGATTATAAAAAGTATATTCCAAAGGAGTGCATTAAAAGGCATTCGTTTTTTATTAAGAAACCAATACAAAATTCTCTGGCACGATTGTCGGGCTATGATGCACCCTACGTGAAGGAACAGTATTTAGTGCAATTCGAGTCCATGGCTCCCAATTATCCCTGTGAAGATCACAAAGCACTCTTGCAAAAGGGAACGGATAATACTTTGTCGCGGGTAACACTAAGAGTCACGTCTGAAAAAATAAATTATTGCGAAGTGGACGATAAGTGGATTACACTTTGCACTATCGAAGACCTTTGCACCGTGTCCATGAGGTATTTGCAATCTACAATATAATATAGTTCAATTATTATTAACATTAAATAAAAAAAAGTATGATTTCTTACACTTAATTATTAAAATTATTAAAATATCATCTTTCAATTCTTCAAAAACTTGATTATTTTTTAATATTTTCTGAAAATTCTTTTAAAAATTAAGTTATTTTAAAAATTTTACTAAATTTGAAATATTTGAAATATTAAGATTTAAAATGTTAAATTTGAATCTATTATGTAATTTTACTTAAAAATTGATAAAACTATTTTTTTCAGTCCTGATTGTACAGTGGAAATAGCGAGGAGAGTTGGAATACCTTTGTATTTAAAATTTAGTTCAAATGCATTACTATTGTCTTTCGTTTCTGCTCTCGATGGTTACTATAGGTTAACAATTACTTGGACTTTTAATTTGTGTCGTGAAGTTATAACACCAAGTTTAGCCGCTCTATCCAAAATGAAATGCCACGGTCCTGTAGGGTGAGTACATTTTAAATATTTTTACTATTTTATATTTTTAATAACCGATTTTGCAAGGGAAGAGAGTTTTTTTTCATATTTAAATTTTGTAAAACTACTTAATTGCTGATTTGATTTAATATTTCCCTATGTTACATATTATCATTCAAAAACCTATACAAAATAAAATAAATTTGTTTTTAATTTTCTGGACCTCAGGGGAGAATTCTCGTATGCAAAGCTAAAAGAGAAGCGAGGCAATCGTTCCGGAACGTACATTTTACGAGAGAGCGAGACAATGTACAATGTTATTTATCTCGATGCTTGCGGGAGAGATGGGAAACCAAGGACTCACAGAATAAATCAAATAGGTCCCAATGATTTTATTTTATCGGGAACTATTCAAAAGTTCACATCCCTTGCTCACTTGAGGAAAACATATCGAGACCCTGAAGGACAACTCTACCTCGGTGAATGTATACCAGCTTCAGAAAATGGTAAATCAAATCAACTCTACAGATATTTAAATATAAATTAGTCTTTGTCAGTAAATAAGAATAAAAAAATCTTAATCCACTCCTGCTTTTTTTGTAGACAAATCTCAACTGCTACTTTGTGCTAAAGAAAGATTAGAATTAGATGTGATTGCGGATCAGGAATTCATATCAGATTTATTAAATGCAAGACCTGCTGTAATTCTACACTCAGAATTACAGGTTTACAAAGCACAACCTCTCCCCGAAAATAAAGATAATTCGGAGAATAATGCAGTGTCTGGATTTTTCTCTCCCACTGCTGTTTATAAAGCTTTGTGGCGAATCGAAAAAGGCAAGAAGGTGGAGGTAGCCATCAAACTGCTGAAGCAGGAAGAACTTTTTAAAGATTTTATACGACTTACCACTCAGTGGAGTCAATTGAAATGCAAAGAATTTGTCAGGTGAGATTTACATGCGACAAATATCATAAAAGACTAAATGAACTTTGTAAAATTTAAAAACGAATTGAATCCGCTAGTATATTAAATAGTAATGACGTATTCTTTTTATCAGAGCTTTCGGTTTAACATTTGAACCTGCACAAGGAATGGTTCTAGAGTTAGTAAACTTTGGCCCATTGGACGTGTATTTGCAACGAGAGAGTCAAACTGTAAAAACTGTTGATTTAATTGAAGCCGCTACTAGTCTTGCGAATGCTGTTTTTCACCTAGTAAGTAACCTTTTCTTTTTGAAAACTTTTTGAAAAAGAAACGAATAAAAGCATGTACTTATTGTTAATTTTAAAATTAGTTTTGTTTTTTCACAATTTTTTATGTTTTACAGTAATGAATTAACACATCTTTTTTTGTTATTGTAGGAAGAAAAAGAAATCATTCATGGTAACTTGAGATGTCGGAAACTTCTTGTTTATCAACATACTGACAAAAATTTTATAGTTAAACTCAGTGATCCGGGATTATTTAGATATGGACCATCAGAGTAAGAGAAATTTGTCTATGAAATTATAAATATTCCAGGCTTTGCACTCATCTACTAAAACCTACTATTTACTACTATTTTACGTTAGATTTTTAGATTAAATTAGATTTAGATTTTTAGATATTTCAGATTTTAGATTTCAGCCCCTAAAAGTTAATATTTCTATTTTTTTTTTTGTTGAGAATTTAAACTAATTTAAATTCGCTATGAAATCAAAAAACCTTTCTCAAAAATTATAATCAAATTCTTTAAAGAGATTCAATTACTTTCAAAATAATATTTCAAATTCAATTATTTTCAATATCTAGTATTTTCATAACATTTCGCAAAAGAATTCAATTATTTTTAAAAAATGGATAAAATTCATCAAAAATTCAATTATTTTCATAATTAATCAAATTTCTACAGGAATTCAATTAATTTAGAATAGCATTTTCAAAAAAATCAATTATTTAACAACATTTTTCATACAATTTTTCACAATAATTAAAATACTTTTTCTGATAATAACATTTTTCATGGAAATTCAATTTAAAAAAAAATGTTTGATAACATTCTAAGAATTCAATTATTTTAGTAAATAATAAAATCTATTGAAGGATTTCAATTATTTTTATTACTATTTTAAATTAATTAATCGAAAAATTTAATTATTTTCACAAAGATAGTTTTCCACAAGATTTCAATTATTAGCAAAATTTTCATAATATTTATTATATTTCGAAAAAATAAATTATTAAAAACAATGTTTATAACATTCTTATGAAAAATTTAATTATTTTCAAAAATAACAAAATTTTCACAGAAATTCAATTATTTTTGAAAATTTTAATAAATTTTTTAGCAACTATTCAATTATTTTCATAAATTATAAAGTAAATCGAAGAATTTCAATTATTTTTAATACAATTTTAATCGAATTTCTCGAAAAAATGTAATTCAATTATTATCAATTATTATAAATACAATTTTAATTAACTTTTTTTGAAACAATTCAATTATTCTTTTACATTTTAATTAAATTCTTCACAAGAATTCAATTATTTACATGAAGAATTAAATTATGTCAATTAATATCAAAATTATTCCCGAAAATTCAATATTTTTGAGGCATTTTAATAAAATTCTTTGCAAAATTCAATTATTTTTATAGATATAACAATATTCATCACAAAAATTCAATTATTTTTAAAAGTAATAAATTTTTTCTTGGAAATTCAATTATTTTGAAAAATTCTAATAAAATTGTTCGCAAGAATTCAATTATTTTTATAAATAATAAAATGCTTTTTAGAAATTCAAAAATTCATAAAATTTCCAGAGAGAATTCAATTATTTAAAAAAAATTTCATAAAAATCTTCCTAAGAATTAAATTATTTTCATGAATAATAAAAATTTTTGAGGAATTGAATTCTTTAAATTATAATTTACATTTAATTAGTCAATGAAATCAATTATTTAAAAACTGTTATAAAATTCTTCGCAAAAATTAAATTATTTAATTATAAATATTTTAACATTTTTATGAATAATAAAATTCATTGCAGGAATTAAATTTATTAGCAGGATAAGAAATAAATATTTTTGATGAAAATTAGGTAAAAGTCAGGAAAATAAAAAATATGGAATGGAATTTTTGTCAGTTTTATGAAGTGTCTAAAACGATGTTTTTTGGTCGTCAAGTTTAATTTTTCGATAGTTACTTTTTTTTAGCTTGAAAGCTACTCTTTGCTATTTTTTTAAAATTAATTATCGAGTGCGAAGTCTGATATTCGTTGTATAAATAATAAATTCGTAGTAATAATAATAAAATATTGTAGTAATTAACTGAAATAATAATACTTTTAGCATTCACTGGTTACCATTGGAGTGCTACCATCATCCGGATTTAGCGAAACGTAGCACAGAGGCAGATATTTGGGCCGTGGGTACTGTAATTTGGGAAATCTTTTCTCGAGGTGGGACTCTGCCTATGAAGCCCAATTTGGACTCTATTAAAAAGGTTTGTCATTTGACACATGCCACCAGGGCACTTGCCGGACCTAGGAAAATCATCTTAGGTTTAGCAGATTATTTGCTTATTTAATAAATACTCTTAATACCTTGCAGTATTACGCGAGTGGAAAACGTTTGCCAATACCCAAAAATTGTTCGGTGGACATTTATCAAGTGATGCTCGAGTGTTGGGAGGAGGACAAAGACACACGAAAGAAAGCGCAAGCTATTGTTCGAGATCTTCGGCATATCAACTTGGCTATTTACAGTTCTAGAAGAAATCACGTCTACGCAACGGCACTTCCGAAACTACTGAAGAACACCGTTCATGATGGAGACGAAGGTCTCGAAGTGGACTCATCGGATTGTGAATCCCGAGCCAGTAGTCTGTTTACCGATCACACGAGTTTACATTGGGATGACACGGATGACCGTAAGTATATTTATTAATCCAATGCCAATTATAGACCCGCGGGTGATTTCTATTAATTATAATATTATTATATAGTAATAATTTTGCTGGTAGTGATAAAATAATTCTGATTTAGATGGATCAGGACACTTTATGGATCCAACAGCAACCGCAGAGGACTTTACAGCTTTTCTTGACTTACTGGCAGAATCGGGAATCGGCGACAGTTCGAGTGTAAATGATTTTTCGGAAGAAAACGGTTTTCTCGGTCAAATGCAGGGTATTTTTGAGTTAACGTCAGATTGCAATGTTATCCTCCAGGGGAAAATAGGCCAAGGATTTTATGGAGAAGTCTATCGAGGTACTTTGGAGAAGGAAAATTCCAAAGACTCCGAACCGCAGAGAGTTGCAGTGAAGAAACTCAAAATGCGATCTGTGGAAGCTGATTTACGCGACTTTGAGAGGGAAATATCTATAATGAAGGTAATCTTTCGTTTTTCTCTTATTATTATTTTATTTTCTCTTATTATATTATTTTTAAAACTTGATATATTGACTTCTGTTTTTTGTAGACTTTAAAACATCCAAATGTGGTGGAAATTCTTGGTGTCATTTCTGAACCTGACGTTTGTTTGGTGATGGAATTTTTGAAACATGGATCGCTGCAAAGTTACTTGGCTATTAATCATGAAGTTCTGAAGGAGAAAAAGTTGCTGCACTTTGCGCTCGATATTTCTACGGGGATGGAATATCTTGGACAGAAGAGTATTGTGCATCGGGATTTAGCCGCGAGGAATATTCTCGTGGCTGATGAGGATCGAGTGAAGATTAGTGATTTCGGCCTGGCGCAAGTGATGGGGAAGAATGATTATTACATTCTACAGACTGACAGGGACTTGCCGATTAAATGGTAAAATTCCAAGCATTTCAATTATTTTCATAAATAATAAAACTCATCGAAGAATTTCAATTATTTTTAATTACTCTTTGAAATTAATTAATCGAAAAATTCAATTATTTTCACAAATAAAGTTTTCTACAAGGATTCAATTATTTAAAATAAAATTGTTATAATATTGATTATTAAACAATTAATTAAGAAACAATTAATTATTTAAAGCAATGTTTACAATATTCTGTGAAAGAATTCAATTATTTTCAAAAATAACAAAATTTTTCACAGAAATTCAATTCTTTTTAAACATTTTAATAACATTTTTTCGCAATAATTCAATTCTTTACATAAATAATTCTTCGAAATAATTCAATTATTAATGATAAATAACAAAATTATTTGATACACACACAAGCATTTAATTATTGTTCCAAAAAAAAAAAAATTTCACAGGCATTCAATTATTTAAAGTAGAAATTGCATAAATTTTTTCGAAAAAATCAAATATTTTAAAATTTGGCATTAAATTCTTCACAGTAATTCAATTATTTTCATAAATTTTAAAATTCCTTTCAGGAATTCAATTATTTTCATAAATTATCATAAAATTCTTAGTAACTTTTCAATTATTTTCATAAATCATAAAATTCATCGCAGGATTTCAATTATTTTTAATAAAATTTTACAGGAATTGCTCAAAAAATGTAATTATGTATTTTCAAAAATTTAATCTCATTCCTCGAAAAAATCAATTATTTAAAAACAATGTTTTTTTTTAATTTTGGAAGAATGTAATTATTTACAAAAATATTAGAATTTTTCAGAGAAATTAAATTATTTTCAAATATTTTAAAAAATTGTTCGAAAGAAATCAATTATTTTAAATACAAATTTAGTTTAATTTTTTTTCGAAATAATTAATAAATTAATTAAAATTCTTCCTCAGAATTCAATTCTTCACATAAATAATTGTTCGAAATAATTGAATTATGTTGATAAATAACAAAATTATTCCCGGAAATTCAATTATTATTTTGAGGCATTTTAATAAAATTCTTTGTAAAATTCAATTATTTTCATAAATAACAATATTCATTACAAGAATTCAATTTATTATAGCAGGATAAGAAAAAAGTAAATATTTTTAATGAAAATTAGGAAAATAAAGTATAGAATGGAATTTTTGTCAGTTTTGTGAAAACGAGTTCTTTTAGTCGTGAAGTTTAATTTTTCGATAGTTACTTTTTTTTAGTTTGAAAGCTACTTTTTGCTACTATTTAAAATGAATTATCGAGTACGAAATCTGTTAATTTGTTATAATTTAATTTTTATTTTCTAGGTATGCGCCAGAAAGCTTGAGAGATGGAAAGTTTTCGCCAAGATCCGACGTTTGGTCCTTTGGTGTAACGCTGTTTGAGATGTTTAGTTTCGGCGAAGATCCAAAGCTCCCCGACGAATCAATTGGTAAAAATAAACGTGATGGGTGTAAAAATAGCGAAGAGGAAGGTAGCGCTGAACTTCTCGCAGCCCTCGAAAAAGGAATGCGACTGCCGTGTCCTCCGAAATGTCCGGCCGAAATTTACGCGAGATTAATGAATCCCTGTTGGGCTTGGGACAGTCATAACAGACCTGACTTTCTCACATTGTGCAATGAAATAAAAGACTTGATTATTTTTTTTTAATTACTTAACTTTTGTGCCATACTTATAATTGTACAGCCTTTTTTTCATTTCTTGAGTTTGTCTTTTATTCAACTCTCGGCTACATTTTCTTTAAACTCCACACAATGTTACATGAAAAATGAAAATTCGTCAAGAGACTTTTTTTTATATCGAAAGCTCGTAAGTGATAAATTAAGAATCTAAAAAATTAATTTTTAGTCCCAATTGTATTTTGTGTGGAGTCTTGTAAATATCAATTTTCAATTCTTCTCTACTCGCATTAATTTAACATTTAAATTTCAAATTTACCTTGGTTTGTAAAATTACAGTGTTGCTGTATGAAAATTTGAAATTGAAATGCAATTTTTAAATTATTAAATTTAATGAATTAAGTGCCTGAAAAACGAGTAGAAGAGGGATGATAATAATAATAGAGAGAGAGAGTGTAAAGATAAAATTTTTTCTTTACTTAAAGTCTTTAATAATACATTTTTAATTATTTGTACAAAAAATGTAAGTAAAATGTACGAAAACGTTTTGTATTATGTACCGTAAATATAGCGTGACGCCATTTATGAACGCTTCTATTGTATATGTAAAAATATGTATAAATTATATGTATAAATTAAATATATATTTCACATTTCATACTTTACTAGCATACATATTATCTTATGTACCTATAAAATTTACAAATTTAAAAACCTAATTTATCTTTTCTCTAAAGATATGCTTATTTGCATGGAATGTTCTTCTTTCTGATTGAGACTTTGGCGAAAGAGCTGTGCGTGCTGCCATGCTAATTCTCCGTTTCCATCGGATAAAATTGCCTTGACATTAACGCGGACAGCTTTTTTTAAATCAATTTCAAAATTTTCACTTCTATTAATGGCAATTTTTTCAATTTCACTTCCTTCGGTGAAAAATTTCTTTATCTCCCATTTGACATTACCGCCATGGAAGGCTCCAATCAGGGCGTTTAATTTTAATTTACTCATTACTAAATTTTCGTCGCTCAATTCAAACGTCCAACTTAGAAAGCCAACTTCATTTTCAGGCGAGCGCGCTAGGTAGACCATTTTCCAGTCTAATTCTTCTTTTCGAAAAATCCCACCCTCGCTCTCGTCGATGCCTTCCTGCCATCCGATTTTCGTTTCTATTTTTTTATCATTTTGGATCGAAACCTCGTAGATGTCTTTGACTATAAAATATCGTAATTCGTAGTGTTCTGTTCCCTTGGGAATCAACCATTTTTGACTTTTTTTACTTGTTACCTGAAATCAAATATAGTATACAAATATTATTTAACGTTTCGATAAATAGAATCAGGGAACTCCGGAAAAAGTCAGGGAATTTTAATAAAAATACTGGAAAAAAATTAAATTTTAGAACTTTTTTGAAAAAATTTTAATAATTCAAATTCTTTTGAAATTAGTTAATTTTTTTAATATATAATTAATTAATTAACAATAATTGATTTATAAAAGAATTTTAGTTAAAAACACTACGAAAAATAATTAAATTTTGGAAAAATGACAATTGCAATTTTTTGAAAAAGTTACAAATTAAAATTTTTGAAAATAAACATTTTTTAATTATTTTCAGGAATTTTAATAAAATTCTTCGCAAAAGTCAATTTATTTTATAAATAATATAATATTGATGAGAAGAATTCAATTATTTTCAGAAGTATTAAAATTCTTCTCAGAAATTCAATATTGTTCAAGAATATACAAAAATTCTCGTCAAAATTTCAATTATTATTATAAATAATAGAATTCTTCTCTAAAAGTCAATTATTTTCAAAACATTTAATAAAATTCTTGACAAAATTTCAATTATTTTCAAAAATTTTCCTCAATTCAAGTATTTTCAATATCTACTACTTTTATAAAATTTACCAGAAGAATTAAATTATTTTAAAAAAAATTTCGATAAAATTCTACGCTAATATTCAATTATTGTTATAAATAATAAAAATTTCATAAATATTCAATTATTTAAAATTGAATTTGCACAACATTTTTCGAAAAAATCAATTATGAAACAAATTTTTATAAAATTATTTATAAGAATTTAATTATTTTCACAAATAATAAAATTTTTTTCCAGAATTCAATTATTTAAAAATTTTAATAAAATTCTTCGCTATTCAATTATTTTTAATACAATTTTAAATACAGTCCTTGAAAAATGAAATTATTCTTAAAAATTGTATTGAAATACGTTGAAAGAATTCAGTTTTACAAAACGTTTAATAATTCAAGAAAATAATTAATTTTTGTATTCAAATTATTGAATTCTCGTAGAATTTTTGAATAAAAATTCATTTAAGAATGAATTTCAGTTAAAGTTTCGTGTAATAATTATTGAATATAAGAAGCATCGTAGTGTGAATTTTTAGGAAATAATTTAATTTTGAAAAGTTTTCATATTCAAATCTTTGAACATCTGAATTTCTCACACTATTAATTGACATTATGTATAGAAATAATTTTTAAAAATTTGAATTTGCGAATAATTGAAATTTCGTAAAATTGAATTGTAAATAAATGGATTTGAAAATTCAAAGAAGTTACAATAACAAAATTCTTATAAATTATTTAAATTATTGAATGTTAAAAGGTTTAAATTTGAAATTTTTGAAAATCAATAATTCCTGATGGAAAAATAAAATTGATTGAATATTTATTTAAAAAAGAAGTTATTGATGTTTTCGAATATTTCAAGAAATTTGCAAATACCAAATGTATAAAGAACAATTTTTTTTTAATATCTAATTATTTTTTGTGTAAAGCAGAATATTTTTCAGGAAAAAGTCAAAATTCTGTCTGAAAATGAGAGATAAATTAAAATAAATTTTGTTGGCCACTGATTATTAAAATTAAAAATATTAATTAAAATGATGTCTTACTTGAGTTTCACCTCGAGCTAATCTCCAAGCTAAAGATCCCGAGCTACGTCCTTCGTATACAAAATTTTCATTTCTCTCTATTTTTTTACATCCTGCTGGAGCCGGTAGCATGTCGACTAATTCCAAAAGTCTTCGCTTCGTCACATATTCTTTTCTAACCGAACTTTGAGAATGTAACCGTTGCTTAGTGAGTTCTAATATAAAAGCCACGAGACTGTTTTCAGAACAAAGATTCCTCTTTTTTCTCACTGCTTCTGGATTTCTTGTGTAGCGCCAAGTCACGTCTTGAATTTCATCTTTCGAGTACGCTATCACGTATGACAATTTTTTATTCCAACCTTTCTCGTAAATTAGAGGTTGGTCCATGACATTTTCACAAGGATCTGCGTGAATCCATCGTTTTTGTGCCAGTGACCAAACCTAGTAAAATAGGAATTTAAAAAAAGTAAATAAACAAAAAAAATTAATAAGACAGTGTATTTGAAACACAATTGACAAATATGTTGTAAACAATTTTTTTTTATTACCTCACTCCAAACGTGATCAGTTTTGTCGACTACGAGTCTCGTATCGTAACCGAGCGATCGACACATGAGTGTAAACACATGAGCCCATTCGCCGCAACGCCCTTGACGGGTCTTTAGTAAAAATCTTGGATCTGTATATCGAGGAAATTCTACTTCATTTCCACAATTACCGCACCTAAAATTCCAAAAGTCTATTGCTTTCTAGTTTTCTTGTTTACCATCAAAAGATTTAAATTAGTCACGAAAAAAAAATTTTTTTAAATATTCTTTTTAAATACCTGTGTATTTCTATTCTTGATATACCAGGACTTTTGGCGGGTTCAACCCTGGCGAATGAACATTCATTTGAGCAAAGATTACAAGGCGGACTATTTACCCACGTAAAAAATTCATATTTAAACCAGTAAAGTAATTCTGTTAAAAGCAAGTCTTCCATTGTAAAATTTTCTTCTTCACTTTCTGTATCACTGCATTTATCTTCCATATTTCTTGTTTTAATTTCCCTATGAATGAAAACAATCATTAAAAAATTTTTTTTGTTGAAAAAATATTATTCAAAGAAATGGAAATAATTACAACAGATTTAATTTCTTAAACTAATTCTGTCGATTACCTCTGAATAAATCTCATCCTTTCCGTTGCTTTTAATTGCAATTTTTCAAGAGGTATAAGTAGTTTAGCATCAGTCAGTAATTTTTTATTTTCCAGATTTAAAGCATCATGAAAATGCCTTTCAATTTCATTGAAAAATTGTATTTGATTTGAATTTGATGATTCTTGTCTTATAATGGATTCCTCCTTATTCTGACAAATTGCTTCTTGTGAAGGATTTTCTTTTTGTGAAGTTTCAATTAAACGCTTCATATCTTCAAGTAATGAAAGCGATGCATCTTTCGGTAAAGAAAAACCGTCATCAGTCTATTAATTTTAAATAATTAAAACAAACATAAATTTTTATTCACATAAAATATTAATTTATTTTTTTAAATTTGTCAATAAAAAAAAATTTAAAATAAAATATATTAAATATTAATATAAAATAAATAATTAAAATCGTGAATTTCTAAAAGGACTGAACTCATGATTCAATTTACCAAAGGAATTTAAAAAAAATATGTGGATAGAAGAACTTGCTTGTTCTTTTTTATAACCAAAAATTAATTAATTAATAATTAATGTTCTATTTAAAATGTATGAATTAAAATAGTGAATTTTGTGAACTTCAGGGTTAAAAAAAGGGAAAAGATAAGAGAATCTGAGAAGAAAAAATTGGTCATTGTTGAAATTTAGAAAATAAACGAATTTGCATATTACTTAATAAAAAGAAAGCATTTGCATAGTTCCTAACAGTAGAAAAGAAAATTAAATTTATTTTTTAATTACAAATCTTATGTTTGTCTACGTGGACAATTTTCTTCCTCCCCTCCCCGATAATAACTGTTCACGTGGTAAATGTAGCCGGAAAATATTGAATTCTCCAAGTTCATATATTATTCATTATTGCAAACTGAATATTGTAAAAGTGCAAATTGAAATCCTATTAGAAATGAATTTCTTAAGAATAAAAACAAAAATAGTAGCACTGGATTTTTTTCTTAAATAAAGAAAAGTCTTTCTGAAAACTACAGTTCCTTTCGAAAAATATAAAAATCATCTAATTAACTTATTACCTCAATGAATCCAGCTTCAAATAAACATTCAATTGCCCCTGAAGCTGGTAAAAGTTTACTCATTACAATAGGATTGGTTAAACGAACTTTACGATATTTTTCTATTGTAGGATGTTTTAGAATATTTTCACACAACTTTGTTAATACAAAACAGGCTTCACGTTGCACACTTTTTTCATTACTTTCCAATAGTTCTATACAATGTTTAAAATTACCAGCCATTTTTTAACAATAAATATATTTAAATTTTAGTTTAATAATAAAAAATTGTGTTCTCCTATTAACGGTTATCTCAATATGTTTGTTATTTTTTTATGACTTTAGAAGTAACCAACTGTCAGAACTGAAATATTTATTATTTTTTTTTAATGACTTGTGACACAGCGGATATATGTACAGACAACAGCCAAGTGTCATCTGTTATCAATTTGTTATTATCCATGAATAATGAAAAGGGTTAGACTATCTCTTCTGAGGTCTCTGCTCTGTAAAGAGAGATCCCCAGTAGTTGAGCGCAAAATGTTTCTATCATCGGTCGTTTAAATTCTGGTGGCGTTAGGGTGCATTCACACATTGACACATCTGTATACAACTCAAGAAGTCTTCTTGATACAACTATACAACCGAATATTCTTGGTAGTATATTTTGAGGGTTATTACATATTTATTTTGAAAAGTCGACATTTGCAAAACAATTTGGTATGTATGTTAAAAATTATTCCCATTTAGAAAAGAAGTGTAATATTGTTAACTAAAAAGATTGTGCAAGAAAATTATATTTTAATATTCAGGGCAGACATTCTTCTATTTACGCAAAAATTCGAATAGTACCGAATGTAAACAGAGATTTATTTTGTCTTTTTATCTAAATTAATAAATAATAAGCACAATAATAAATATGCAGTCAATATAAATACATAATGAACTGCTATAAGTATAGACTTTCTACCAAAATTACTTTCGTCACTGTTTTTCAAAATTGTATTGAAATCGCCACATTTTTTAACCTCGAAATAAGTTGTAGTTTCCAGAGCGGATGTCGTGGAAAAATTATTTTAGTTTTGTTAAGTTAAACAGAAACTTTTAATTAAGAAGAAATACAAACATTACTTTAAAATGATTTGCTTTTCAGGTACTTTTCTTCCAAACACGCCATAATTGATAACTATGACATAAGATCACGCGGAAAAATAAATATTTGTATTAAATAACAATGCGTAAATTGTGTCAAATAAAATTATGATTGTCAAAAAATTTTGTAATGTGGAAATTCGTAATTATCTTGCATTGGAAACTTTTGAAAAAAAATTGTTTTTGCACACACTTTTGAATTGAAATCACCTTGCCCTGAATACTGAAATATTTTATACCGCTAAGTGTTCCCTCTAAATCTGAATCAGTGAAATTCTACTTGATATCAGTGAAATTTAACTAAAAATTAGTTAAAAATTACTGAAATATCATACGTTATCTTCAAAGCTGAAAAAATTCGTGAAATCTTAGTTTCTTTTTTCTTTTTTCTATAATATGAAAAAGTATAAAAATTAAAAATTGGTGAAATTTGTTTGAAACTTGTTATTCGATGTTAAATTTCAAAAATTCAGAAAGTCCATTTTTTAAACATCAAAAGCAGGGTACCTCCTTAATTCAAGAGAAAATATTCAAATATTTTTGTTTTTTTATTTGTTCCAGAAAATTGAATCGGCGGAAGAATATTCTTTTGATCGAAATTGTAATTCAACAATTTTTCTGTTCAATTTTGTTTTTATTACGTATTGTAATTTTTTATCGGTGAGTGAAAAACACACGAAATGCAGTGGGAAAATTATATCGACAATGATGATACTGACGATTATGACTCGGAGGAAGATTATCTTAGTGATGATGATAGTGACAAAGATGAGGATGAATTTTTTCGTTTTTATAGACTATTAAAATACTTGAGTACTTTGAGGAATGAAGATATTAAGTCAGAAGAAAATGAAGAAAACAAAGTATTCTTGTTTGACGAAGTAGCAGAAGTTCTCCTAAAGATTCTTGATTTTCTGATAAAAAAAGGTGCGGATAATAATGTCAATGATGTTAACGTTGAAGTGGCTGAATTTCTGGCCAAGATGGATGTAGATGAAAGAAAGGCAGCTCTTAAAGTTGCGATTCAAAAGGGAAAATTAGAAATGGTTAAATTATTCATGTCGAATGGATTCGACAAGCTTGATGTTGAACATTATAGTTGTGAAACACCCTTAGGTGTCGCAGTAGTCCATCGACAGTTGGACATTTTGAAATATTTGCTTGAAAGTGGATTAAAGATAAAAGAAGATCTCATCAATTTATGTACACATGATAAACATATAGATATTTTGAAATTTTTATTAGATTTCGGCATAAAACAAGATTGTGTTGAAGATTCTTTACTTGATTTATCATTTTCAAAAGACAAATTGAAACTTTGGAGGTACGTATTAACCTGTAATTCGAAAATTGATGCTGTTTTAACGTCCAAGGAAACTGAATTTCATTCCGCTGTGCGTGCTAATCAAATTGAAAGTGTAAAAGAAATCCTGAACAAGGTAAATCCTCTACCTCGAGAATTGGGACAGTTTGCAGTCTACATTGCCGTTGAAAATGGAAACGAGGAAATGCTGAAAACTCTCCTAGAAGCAGGTTGTTCGGTCGAGAGTTGTTTTAATGACAAATTAACTCCTCTTCATGTTGCAGCCACATTCGAACATACGCGTTTGGTGGAAATTCTTCTGAAATACGGTGCGAATGTTAATTCAGAAACAACAGGACACTTCGTTCCATTGGATTTTGCAGTAGCTACGAGACATTTAAATATGATTAAATTGCTCTTAGCTTCTGGTGCGAATCCCATTAAAGATCAGCAAAATTATTCATTACTGAAGTATCTACTAAGAGACAATAAAAAAGAATCAATTACACCTTCAATGTTTGAAAATATTTTAAAAATAACAGAGTTGTTATTAGATGTCATTGCTCTCAAACATGAAAACAAATACCATATTCATAGATTATTGATCAATGCCTCCAATTTAAGAATTTCTCAAATTTCTGACAAAAACGACCAAATTTCGATCAGTGACATTGAAGAGGAGAAAAAGGGTGTATTTCGTCCTGAAATTGTGAGATGCTTGCTGAATTATTTAACGGGAAATATACTTGAAGTTGTTCTGAATTTACAATTAAATTTGAATAACAATTCAAGTATGATTGACATTTGTATCGAATACTACAATTCTAAAGTTTTACAAGCAGGTCCTTTTTACTTGGTAAAGAATTGGAGTTGTTTTTTTGTAATTAATCAAATAGAGAACGACAGTCAACTTTTCACCATGGCACTATCCCTAAACTATAGTGATTCTGTTTCTAAAAGAACCAGGAAAGAAACTGAACTTTTTAAATTGATAATTGCACGTCTAGAATTGCTACCATCTGGTTCCCAGAAACTAGTTGATCATTTCCATTTCAGAAAAGATATATTAATTATTAAAAAATTTCAAAATAAATGTCGACAACAGATAATAATTATGCAAGAAACCAAAGTTATCGATGACTTAAATGTGACTTTTCACGATATTCTAGTAAAGTCTACTGATGAAATTGCGAACTACGTGAGAAATGAGAAGTTATTAAATACCATTGAATTGTCGTACGGCAAATTTCCTGTGTATGCGAAATTTTTAACATTGCGCATTGAGCAAGCAAAGCGTAAAATTGATTTAATTGACATGTCTATGAATTGTTTGTTAAATTACATTAAAAGAAATTATAAAATTCAAATCTCAGTTTTTGATTTAGGAGAAATTTTAAAATTTCTTTCAATGAGTGATCTTCGAAAATTATCAACAGTATTTTCTAAATTATATTAACGCTATAAAAAGGAGTGATTATTAATCAACGATGAAAGATTATGTAAAATTTCAAAAATCTCGCAACTCAGAGTTTATAAATTTTTTTCTTTCAATTGGACTAAAATGTTAAACAAAATGTTTTTTTGTTATCGATTTCTTGCATTGACTGCAACAATAATTGTACTTTCCATATTATACTCTTTTGTACTTTATATTATATTTTTGTACCTACTACTGTATTATAATTGAAACATTAAATTATTTTTTTAGAATTAAAATTTTGAGAATATTTTTTTCTTAAAGTAATTCGGGAAATTTTTTTAAAGGAATTTAAAAAATTGGATGAGAAATTTAGGAAAAAGAGCAGATTTATTGTCGGCCGCAAATCGACTTTAAGGCGCAAAAAGAGCCGATTAAAGATACAATTGTATCTTTAAATAATAATTATTATCTATACCAATCAACATTAATTAATGACAATATAATTATTACTGTTCTCTTTTCTCTCCTCCTTTCACTTTACTCTTTTGTATATACTCAGTCTTCATTTTTCATTTCTACTTTCTATTTCTTTTTATTTATTATTATAAAAATGTGTCCACAAGAGTTTTTCTTAAAATATTCTCTATTAGGATTAAAAACAAGACATTAATAAAAAAATACACACATATTGTTAAATATTATCACACACAACAAAAAAAACTATTGATCTTGGTACGAGACAAGGACAACTTGCAATACCAATTTAAAAATATTGTACAAGGTTATTTTTGTAATATTGTTTATACCTAAGAAATGTATTACTGATCTGAAAATAAATAAACAATTTATCTCAAAAAAAAAGTTAGAGCGTCGTGCTAATAATGCGAAGGCCGCGGGTTCGATCCCCCCCCCCATGGGCCAAAAATTATTTTTTATAATTTTTTCAAAAAACATTTTAAACTAATAAAATGTATTTTTGTAGAGAAAAACAAAAATGAAATATAATTTTAATATCTAGATTAGTAAACTAAATGTTTAATTGTACTATTTTCTATTTTATAATACGTGTATCGGTTCGTGTGGGAGCCGCATAAAACAAACCGCTTTTTTTTACGTTTTCTGCTGAAGAGTTCGGACTGATATAAAATCCTTAAGAAAAGGATTTTGTTATTATGAGTAAGAAAACGATATTTTTTTTTTTTTTAACTCTTTTTTTACGATTACGATTGTGTTTCAGTTTCAGGATAGGAGATTATTTTTATTTTTTTGAAATATAAAATATTGTCCGCGAATGTAGCTCCGCTTTGAATTGTAGATTCACCATTATACATTTGCCCGCGGCCCGCGTTCACGCACTCTTTCTTCTCTCAGCAGTTCCTATCTCTATGGTATCATTTCGCCCTGCGTTTTGTAGATCTTGTGTTTTTTTAATACAGTGGTCGTCAGTGTGAAGATTTAATCCCAAAAATGGCGACTGTCTGAAGGAAGTGTCTGTTCCGTTTAAAAATTGTACATTTAACAAGTCCTTATTGCATTTTCCCGTATGTTTAAGGACAGCGATTAATTGAAAATGATTATAGACAATCCTGATCTATTTAAAGCATGGCTAACTGCAGTTTTGGAACCATTGTAAGTAGGCCAGCTTGTGCCATAGTTTTAAATGTATGCGTATGTAATTTGTAATGTAAATGGATGTGCATGTGTCACGATTAATCGTCCATTCTTAAAATGATATTCACGAATATTGAATTCTGATTATTTTCCATGTGTCGCGAGGCAAAAGAATTATTTTCACTTTTTTTTTCTCAAGAAAAAAAAATTCTAATTTTGTTTTCAAGCAGTTGGTTAATAGGAGCGAACAACGTTAGATCAAACGCACTCGATCAATATGTATATAAAAATATTTAAAAAGAAAATATTAAAAAGTTGACAATATGAACATTTTTTATCGAAATTTTCGTATTTTGTATTTTTTATCCGAGTTTTTTTTCTTACTGGTGTCAATAGTGGGGGATCTCTTAAACCCCCCAGGGGGCAAGATGGAAAATTTTCGGAGTCGAAAATAATAGAGTGAATATCAAAATTTATTCCAGTTATTTTTTAATAATTGATGGAAAATTCATGATTGCTTCGAAAAATTAAAAATAGCACTAATAACAATGATTTGTGAAACTAAATCTTATTTTTATTTATAAAATAAAAAAAAAGTAATTACTTGGGAATTTTTCTTTCAATTAATTTTAAAAACTTTTTATTTATTTTTTATCTTTATTTATTTATTTAGAAAAAGTTTTAATGTTAATAAATTAAAAATATTGTATATAAAAATTATTTTTCCAAGTAAATATTTTCTTTTTAATGTCGTAAAATTTGATTTATAATTTTCAACTAAAAAGTATAAATATTTTAAGGAAACTTTTTAATTAATTAATACCATGTGAATAAATATTTTCAGCAAACGAATTATTTTTAATTAATAAAATCTGAAAATAAAATTTTTATTTATTTTTAAAGATCGGTCGTGATGACTGAAAATTAATAAATTAAGAAAACGAAAAAATAGTTTTTAATTGTTTTCGTACATAAAAAGTTGTAATTTTAAATTTTCTTTCAGATGCGATGCAGATCCTGCTGCTCTAGCCAAATATGTTTACGCTTTGGTCAAAAAAGACAAAACTCTTGATGAGTTGCGAGGTGGCATGGTTGAACAACTGGATGTATTTTTGCAGCAAGGTTGTATTATAATTAATAATAATTTCCACTGAATTCTATAATTTTTTTATTATTATTTTTAATAAAAGAATAATATAAATAATAATAATAATAATAATATAAATAATAATATAAAAAAATAATAAAACTTCATTATTTTAAAAGAATTTAAAGAAATTCTTCAATAGAATTTAATCAGGATTTTTCAACAATTTTAAAAAAATTCTTCGCAAGAATTCAACTATATTTTTATATATATAAATATTTTATATATATTTTCAAATTGTTTGATAAAATGCTTTGCAAGAATTCAATAATGAAATGTAATTTGAATGTAAAATTGAAAACTTACGAGTAAATATTTTCTCTTGCAGAAACAAACAATTTTGTAGAATTACTATTCAAAACCTTGGAAACTCAAGAGTATGTGCTGCCTGTGCCAAAAGCTGATCCAGAAGGGAGTGCAACACCAACTGCAGTTAATCCTCCAGTACCACCAACAGTTGATGAAAAACCGGCTGAAGATCCAGTTCCAGTTGTTCCAAAGGCTGACAGTCCTACTCTCGTAGCACAAGTAAATGGTTCCGCCCCTGTTGTCAAGCGGGAGAACAGAAAATCCGAATCCGAAAAGGAAGATAGGGATAAGGAGAAGCGACCAAGAAGTCGGTTAGTTAACGTTCTTCTCTTATGATCAATTTTTATTTTTAATTTTTAGTATTTGTTTCATGACAATTGGTACAATTTTTTTCCAGTGGACGTATACGATCCAGAACCAGGTCTCGTTCCAGATCATGGGAAAGAGACAGGCGGCGGTCTAGGAGTAGAGAACACATTCGCCGTGATAGGGAACGAGACAGGAGTCGACCTTGGAGGAATAAGTCTCCTCCTATGAGTATCAGACGACATGATAGAAGGTGAGTCAATATTATATTGAAAAAAAAAGAATTTTACGAGAAAATTGGAGAAAACTTTAAAGAAAAACTGAAAGTTCATCTCAAATTCTAAATATTCCTTAAGTTTTTACTTAATTTTCACATTTTTTTAATAAAAAATAAACGAGTTTTTCTTCATTTAAAATCGTTTTCAAACGAAAATATAAAAAATTATCTTTAAAATTACAATCATCTATAGGTATAAATAAAATTTTTGAAAATTTTAATTCCTATGGAAAATTAATTTTGATTAAATATTTATTTAAAAAAAGAAGTTATTGATGTTTTCGAATAATTTTACAATTAAGGAATTTCGTAAATAAATGTATTGGATAATTTTTTTTAATATCTATAATCATTTTTAGAGTAAATCAGAATATTCTTTAGGGGAAAAGTCAAAATTTGGTCTGAAAATCGAGGAAAAGTTAGGAAAAAACAAAATAAAATTTTTGTGGCAACCCTGTTTATGTAATAAATGTATAATGGATAGTAGGTTGTGGAAATATGTAGATATATTCGAAGTATCGGTAAATATAAAAGCATGTAAAAAAAACAAATATTATAGATTCTCCACTAAAAGTTGGCAAAGGTTGGTTAAATGATGCCAAGGATGATATAATTGCAAGAGATAATAGTTGAACCAGGAAATGTAGAAATCGTTTTACAAATGTACAGCGACTCGATAATACAGAATAAGTCCGAACTTCCAAAAAAATATTTCAAAATATTTTAATAATAAAATTATTACTTAGTTTTTTCTACTCCAGTACTTTGCTTTCGTGGTCTTTTTTGTGATAAACTTATTACTGAGTCAACGTAAATTAAATAAGATCTTATCAAACATTTTCGTTTCTCCGCTCTCTTTACCTTGTGAAAAAATGAAAATACAGGAACAATTATTTAAACCCATCTTCAGTCTCTTGACACATTTTGATAAAAACCCCAAAACTGATTGAAACTTGAACTGATCATGTTTGTTTTCCAGGCGAAGTAGAAGTCGAAGTACGTCACCTTTACGATCACGAATACGCGAAGGACTTGATCTTCGGGATCACAGAGCTAGATTTCGAAATAGATCTCCCACGCCGTTGAGGTCTAGGTCGAGATCCAGATCTCGATCCCTGGAGCGCAAAAAATTGGACCGATTAGACAGACCTGATCTCAGTAGGAATGAACGTTTGGACAACAGTCCGGGTGGAGGAACGCCAACTCAAGATAGTAATCATGGCGATGTAGACATGAGACTGTCTACGACTAGTCAATCCATACAAAGTGTTGTGGCCGCTGCTGTCAATATTCCCAACAATCAAATTTCTTCATTCCCATTGAAGCGACGTTGTCGTGATTTTGATGGTGAGAAAAAATTAACTATTTACTACCTTTCATTTAAATATAATAAATATAAATTAAAATTTTCAAGTCTTTAAAGAAACTATAAAGAAAATGTTTTCACTCCTAATATTTTTTTTCTTATAGAAAAGGGATACTGCATGCGAGGAGATCTTTGTCCTTATGATCACGGAACCGATCCAGTAGTTTTAGAGGACGTGGCACTCAGTCGGGTTCTAAACTTTGGTCAGCATGCTGGACCGGTTCCGGGTGCTGTTCCAGTTTCTGTCGTTTCGGAACCACCACCAGGACCAAATGGCACTGGTTCTCATCCTCATATTCCCTTAGCGAGTTTACCTGCTCCTCATTTAAGAAATCAGCATCATTCAAACATGGGTAAGCTTCTTGCAATAATTTCATTTTTTTTAATAATAATACTATTGTAAAGATGAGACTTTTTAAAAACGAAACTTTTAAAAACTCTACTAAAACCTACTATTTACTACTTTTTTACGATTTGCTACTGTTTGAATACTTTCTTTAAATTTGTGATACTAAAAGCTATTTTTGCCTTTTTTTCAGAATTTATCTACTATTTTCATAAAAAAAATTCCGAAAAGAATTAAATTATTTAACAAAAAATTTCATACAAAATTCTTTACAAACATTCAATTATTTAAAACATATTTTCATAAAACTTTTAGAAAAATATCAACTATTTAAATAGATTTTTATAAAATTCTTCGCATGAATTTGATTACTTTTAAAAATTCCAATAAAATTCGTTAAAAACAATTTAACAAATTTTAATAAAATTCTTTCGAACAATTCAATTATCTTCAAAAGAAAAATTACAAAATTCAATAATTTTCAATATCTACTATTTTAATGAAAGAAATTCCCAAAAGAATTAAATTATTATAAAAATAATTTCATACAAAAGTCTTTGTAAACATTCAATTATTTTCATAAATAATAAAATTTTCACATAAATTTAATTATTTAAAACACTATTTTCATAAAACTTTTGGAAATAAATCAATTATTTTAAAAGATTTTCATAAAATTCTTCGCATGAATTAAATTATTTTAAAAAATTTTAGTAAAATTCGTAGCAAGAATTAAATTATTTTTACATAAATAGGGTAGAGTGGGGTAAAAAAGCCATGGTGTAAAAAAGCCATTTGAGTTTTATTTAAAAACTATTAAGCCGATTTATCAGCTGTTTAGAATATAAATACTATTAGGTAATACGCAACTTTTGAATCTAATTTGAATGTTGTACCTAGATTAATATTGTTTTTATTGTAATTTTAATTTTTTGTTGCTTTTTTGAAAACATTTTAGTGAACTTTTCAAACATATTACAACCTGATTAAGTGAACGAATAATAAAAGTAAATGTTTGTACATAAGGAGAAAAGTATACCGAAAACGTATACAATGTTAATTTTTGGAAATTGAACTGAATTAACAATTTATTTTTGCTTTTTTTAATAACTGGTCTTGGGTGTAAAAAAGCCAGGGCAAAAAATCCATTGAATATTTTGTGAAATTCACTTGTTTTCTATTTAAACTAACCTTCTTATTTTACAAAATTTCTCGTGTTTATTTAATAAAATAGATTAAACACGACGAAAAAGTAGTTCAAAGTGCATTTAAAAAATAAACAATGAATAAACGGTTGCAACGAAATATGTTATCTGTGGTGAAACTTAAAGAGAACTTCTAAAAAAGGTACGAAAAATTGGCAGTGCAAATCGAAAACAGGTAAACTTAATATAATTTTCAATTTTGCTTGCTAAAAACTCTTTCATAATTATTAAAATATTTTTCAAATAAGACTATTTATCATATAAATAAAGGAAAACTATAAAAATACCTAAATTGATAACATGTTTTGCTAAAATCGTAGGGTGGCTTTTTCACCCCACCAGGTGGTGCAAAAAAGCCACTTGCAGTGCTTTCGTAAAACTCTTATAACTTAGTCCTTTCATGAGATAAAAATTATTTTCGTCAAGAATGTTCAAGCTTAATAACTAAACTTTCAATAACAATTGGAAATTTGAGAAAAAAATTTTAAATACAGATTTTACAGCATCACAAGTAAAAATGTGGCTTTTTTACCCCACTCTACCCTAATAAATCTTATCGCAGGACTTCAAGTCTTTTTAATACAATTTTAAATAAATTTCTTGAAAAATTCAATTATTCTTAAAAATTTAAATAAAATCCTTCGCAAGATTTCAATTATTTTTGCAAATAATAAAATTTTCCATACGGATTCAATTATTTAAAAAATTTAATAAAATTCGTTGCAAGAATTTAATTATTTTCAAAAATTTTAATAAAATTCTTGACAAAAATTGAATTATTTTCAAAAAATTTTCGCAATTCAATGATTTTCAATATCTACTGTTTTCATAAAATTTACCAGAACAATTCAATTATTTTTAAAAAATGTTGATAAAGTTCTACGCAAACATTCAATTATTGTTATAAATAATAAAAACTTCATAAAAATTCAATTATTTAAAATTAAATTTGTATAAAATTTTTCGAAAAAAATCAATTATTTAAAAAAATTTTATAAAATTGTTCACTGGAATTCAATTATTTAAAAAATTTTAACAATATTCTTTGCAAATATTCAATTAGTTTCATAAATAATAAAATTCTTCTCAAGGATTAAATTATTTTCATAAATAATAAAATTCTTTTGAAGAATTTAATTATTGTTATAAATAATAAATCATTTTATATTGTTCATAAAAATAATTTAATTTCTAAAAAGAATTTTATTATTTATGAAAATAATTGACTCATTGGAGAATTTAAATTTTTTTTGATACAATTTTAAATACAGTCATTGAAAAATGCAATTTTTATAAAAAAATTTAATAAAATTCGTCGAAAGAATTCAATTATTTAAAAATTTGTTGATAACATTTTTTATGAGAATTCAATTTTGAGAAATAAACAATTCTTCCATCAATTATTTGTTTCAGTATTTAACAATTGAATTCTTGTTGATCTTTTTAATAAGAATTGATTTAAAATTAAATTTCAGTTCAAATTTTAGATTATAATTGAATATTAAATGCTTTTTAGTATGGATTTTTAGAAGTAGTTACATTTCAAAAAGCTTTTATATTGAAATCATTGAAAATTTTAATTGTTGTAAAACAAATAATATCTTGAAAAATTATTAATTTATTATTTTTTTCAAGTAATGATCCCAATGAATCCCAATGAAAAATATGATTGAATTTTGGAAGAATTTCAATTGTAATTTTTAGAAATCGTTAAATTTCAAAAAGGCTTTAGATTGAAATTATTTTAAATATTTTAATTCCTGTGAAAAAATAAATAGGTATTTAAATATTTATAAAAAAAAAAATATTCTACTTTTGAATTTAATTTTATTTAAAAACTATGATAAAACTGTGTCGTCAAATTTACGTTTTCGATGGCTATGTACTTTTTTCAGTCTTGAAGTTACTTTTTGATACTTTGTAAAAATTAATTATCGAGTACGAAGCCTGCTCTTTATCGTAATTAATTTGTTTATTTTCCACTTTCAGAATATAATCCCGATGCACCGAGCATGGAACCTCGAATGACGTGGGGCAGACATCCCCCACCTCCCGGTGGCTTATACGGTCGTGGACAACGTGAACTGATTAGTGTTCCCGTTATTCCACACTCCAATCCTGGAGAAATTATTCATCCCCAAACAAATCCACTGAAACGCAAGCAAGCATTTGACATTAATCGTCTTGGACCAAAACAGCGCGCATTACACAATCCTGCAAATTGTTCCCTCGAATTGAAAAAAGTTCCCCGGAGTATGAACAATATTACCCAGTTAAATAACCACTTTTCGAAATTTGGAAAAATTGTAAATATTCAAGTGAATTTCAGCGGCGATCCAGAGGCAGCGCTGGTGACCTTTCAAATGCCCTCCGAGGCAAAAGCCGCCTACAGAAGTACAGAGGCTGTATTGAACAATAGATTTATTAAGGTCTTTTGGCATAATAGTAACTCGAGTAATAATTCAACCATTGAAAATGTACCACCAGTAAGTTGTCGTCCATCCGTGAAAGAAAGACTGGGAGACTCCCTGGCGATTCCCGTCAAGGCTGAAGAAACTGAATATGTCCCAACTCGTCGCTCGGCCGAGGAGATAATTCCAAGTCAACCTTTAGTTCCCGTGTCCCCTAAAGCGACAGTTCAATCTACAACACGAGAGGAAAAAGTTCTTGCCATTAAGAAGACACAGGAGATTCTCGCTGCCAAGGAGACACTCAAGAAGAAGCAGGAGGAGAAGCGTAAGGAGGCTTTGAAACTCACGGCGGATTTGCGCAAGAGGAAACAAGAATTGCTGGACAAACAATTGACCGAAATACGCGCTTTGATCGAACGAGCTGAGAAGAATCCCGAACAAAAAGACGCGATTATGGCGACTATAAAAACAATGCAACAATCTATCGACAATCTCCGCAACGATTTAGCTGCGAATGGACAAAGTACTTCGACTAAGCCTCAGCCCAAGTCCCGAGAACAGGCTCAGAAAGAAATCTTAGACGCCGAACTGGACTTGATGAACGCTCAGCAAGAAGGACAAGACGCAGCCGAGTTGCAGAAGAGGCTGAATGAACTGCGAGTTCAGGCCGCAGCCCTGGGATTGAATTCCGGCTCGGGAGTTGGACGAGGTTCGAGGGCGGCGAGAGGAACACGTGGGAATCACAGTGCAGCATTTAGAGGTCGTGGTCGAGGTAGTTTTACACATGTGTCAGTGGATCATAGACCGACAAGTCTTCTAGTCTCTGGATATGAAACGGAAGAGAAAGTGGAAGTATTAACCCACTTCAAGCAATTTGGGGAAGTAGTCAATCAAATAGTAGATGATGCTACACCATCTATAGTAATTAATTTCAAGTCAAGAAAGGAGGCAGAGGTTGCATTAGTTAAGGGTCGCACCTTTCAGGATCGATTATTATCTGTGACTTGGGTTTCCGGACATCATTTACATCGCGGCGTTGCTGCCAGTAATGCTGGCACAACTATCAATCTCTCAGGACGTTCTGAACAATTACAAAAGACTCCCGAAGATGAAATTGATCTAGAGGTATGTCATGTCTTTAAATAATATTCACTTTGTAAATAAATAATTTCTCATTATTTCGACCTAAGGAAACAATTAACGAACAGTATTTGACAAAAATTAAGGTCCTTGAAAAAATACCGAAATAATATTTACTAAAAGAATTATTTCTTCACGAAATAAACCGTAGTTTTTTCTCTTCATAAATTTTCCAAAACATTTTATAATAAAATTTATAATAAAATTATTCTCTTAAATTTATTTATTTTCATGAATAATAAAGTTCTTCTCCAAAATTCAATTATTGTCATAAATAATAAAATTCTTCTTCAGGGTGTCTAACAAGGATTGAGAAAATAATTCCCTGACTTTTTACTAATTTTATATGTGCTTTCTAGAGACAAAAATATGGTAACTGACATATTTAACAATAAATTAATATCTAATGATAGAAACAACCGATTTTTTCTTCTCTTTTATGGCATTTAGCTTCATTATTTTTAAACTCTTCAAAAACACTTTACCTATTTAATAGTCTCTATCTTTTTGTAAAAAAATCTAAAATTGTCAAAAATTATTATCAAAAATTCGAAAAACCGAATTTCTTAAAATTCAACATTTTTTCTTTTCTTTTATGGCATTTAGCTTCAATATTTTTGTGCTCTTTAAAAATACTTTACTTATTTAAAAGTTTAATAATTTATTAATAACATTCTTTATGTTAACAATATTGTGGAATTAATTTTTTTAAAATTTAATTGAATTTTTTTTATATTATTTTAAGTTTTTATTTACTAATATATATTTAATTGAAGAATTACGAATAATTGAATTTTTGTAAAATTGAATTGTAAACAAATAAATTTGAAAATTGTTAAAGAACTTTTTCGAAAATTATTAAAAACAATCGATTTAAAGAAGAATAATTGTAGTTAAAAATGCATGAAAATAATAATTGAATATGATTTTTGTAATTGGTCCGTAATTTTTAATTTTTGGTTTGTAAAGTTCGTATTTTTAAATACTTTTACTGGTTCGAGCCCTGGATTTTCAATAAAATTTAGAGCCGAACCGCTAAATATAAACGAAGTTAGGAATAGTTAATACATAATTATATGTGACTGTCCACGAGAAAACAAGGCTTAGCTCCCAAACGTGAATTTCACAGGGCGAGCGATTGAAGTACTACGATTGAGGTTAACTACGCTTAACATACCCATCTTTAAAACGATATATTGTCGAAAGTAATTGATATTTTTAACTTTTGACTTTTGCATTTGAAAAAGCAACATAAAATCTGTCGATTACCATAAAAAAATCAAAATTCATTTTTTGGACATAAGCCTTGTTTTCTCGTGGACAGTCACATATATGTATAAAAATTCTTCACCGTTAAATAAGACAAATTTTGTCAATTTTATTTTTTTTTAAAGAAAATTGGTGCAGAATGTAAAAATAAACATTAACATTTTTTAAAAAATGAAGTCTGATTCCTTTTCTTTAATGTTATTACATAAAAAATTGAAATATAAATAATGTATAGAAACTATGCTTTTAAAGCAATAAATGATTTTCACCGCAGTATTCATGTTACTCCGATTTCTTTTACCGTATATTTACATAAATTTTATTTTCAGAAGCATTGAATTTTAAAACTACCACTAGACTTAACCTTTTAAGACAAAATGTAACTTAAAATTCGGCAAAAAATTTGTTATATACTCTTATACCAGATTTTTTTATGGTAATTTCTAATTATCATGTACAAACTACATGAATTTACTATCACGTGTTGACCACATTGGTCAATACTAATATGTAAAATTGTTGCTGAAATTTCTAGGGAGCAGCGGAGGATCTTCTTTTAGATGAAAACGAGGAAGAGGAAGATGAAGATAGTGAAACACGTAGCTGGCGACGATAGCAGATTCAGCTTGTTGGGTGACAGAAGTTCAGTTTTACTTCCAAAATAAGGATTTCATTCTGGACTTATCGGTGTGCACTCGACTTATTAGGTATTACAGCACCAGGCATAAATTTACTGGAATTTACAAAATGAGATCCAAAACCACGTTGTGCATTCATCAACGGTTATTATGTGTGTTATAATATTTGTTATACTTTAAATACAATGCGCAAAAAAGAATGACAAAAAAAAAGATAAAATTAAATACAAATAACAATGTCACAATGCGCCTCAGCGAAATTGAACAAGTCTTGAATTATACAAGTTTTAAAAAACTAGTAAACGAAATTATCCCATTATGTGTAGAATAAAATCACTATGTTTTGTATGGGAATTATCACTCTTGTTATTTAAGTATCCTAAACCTATACTTTTTGTTGAAAATTTACAATTGAATTATTAATTATTTTGCTATGATTTCTATTTTAAACACAACTTTCTAGAATTGAAGGATGCCATTCTATAATTTGTCGCTTAGATGTTCCTGATTTTCGAACTAAAATGAAATTTAAGAATTTTGTGGGAAAAAATTTTTTTGAAAAATTAATTTACTGAAGGAAATAAATTATTATCTACTGTTGTCAAAAAGTAATTTATTAGAACCATTTGTCTACTACAACGCCATAATTTCTATAGTTGTTTTTTTTATAAATGTCTTCTGAGTAGCCAGTGAGTTAAATTAAATTTACAGAGGCAAATATCTTTTAAAAAGATTTAAATTTTATTTTTTATTGCTTTGTTGAAAAACTGTGTAACAAGTAAAATATCTTCGACAAAAATAATAGTATTGCATTATACTCTTTCTTTTTGTTACCGCTGTTTTTTTTTTTTGTTTTCTTAGTTTGTAGTTTTTTTTTGTTAATTACTATTTTTGTATAAAATGGGCTATGAGCTCGTAAATGTATGAATAAATTAATAAAAATAAACAACATTTTTGTCAAAATCAAGAAAGCTAATGATTCAACAACATTACCTGGACAGTTAAAAAGTGACCTATCGTTCGAAAAATCAATTTTCAGTTTTTTTGTAATTCTAATAAAAGAACCGCGTATCTATAGGTTTATCACCTTTTTGCAGAGTTTATGGAATATTTACTGCAATGTTTGCAGGCTGCGCATTCATCTACTAAAAACTATTATTTACCACTTTTTTACGTTCTGCTATTATTTAGGTACTTTTTTTAGATTTCAGTCACTAAAAGCTACTATTTCTGTTTTTTAAAATTTAAACTACCTTAAATTCGATAATACTAAAAATCAAAAAACTTTTCGTAAAAATTATAATCAAATTCTTTAAAACCATTGAATTATTTTCAAAAAAATATTCGAAATTCAACTATTTTCAATATCTAGTATTTTCATAAAATTTCGCAAAACAATTGAATTATTTTTAAAAAAATTCATCCAAAATTTAATTATTTTCCTAAATAATAAAATTTTTATACAATTTTTCACAATAATTGAATTACTTTCACTAATAATAACATTTTTCATAGACATTTAATTATTTAAAAAATTTTTTAATAAAATTCTAAGCAAGAATTCAATTATTTTCATAAATATTAAAATTCATCGAAGAATTTCAATTATTTTTAATACTATTTTAAATTAATTAATAGAAAAATTCAACTATTTTCAAAAATAAAATTTTCCACAAGAATTCAATGATTTAAAATACAATTTTCATAATATTTATTATATTTCGAAAAAAAATTTGTTATTTAAAACAATGTTTATAAAATACTTATGAAGAATTCAATTATATTCAAAAATAATAATTTTTCACAGAAATTCAATTCTTTTTAAACATTTTATTAAAATTTTTCGCAATAATTCAATTATTTTCATAAATAATAAAATTCATAGCAGGACTTCAATTATTTTTAAAAATAATAAATTTCTCCTTCGAAATTCTATTATTTTAATAAATTGTAATATTTGCATAAAATTAGTTACGTTGCAGGAATTTAATTTATTAGAAGGATAAGAAAAAAGTAAATATGTTTGATGAAAATTAGAAAAAAGTCAGGAAAATAAAAAATATGGAATGGAATTTTTATCAGTTTTGTGAAGTGTCTAAAACGATGTTTTTTGTTCGTTAAGTTTAATTTTTCGATATCTACTTTTTGCTATTTTTAAAAACATTAATTATCGAGTGCGAAGTCTGTGTTTGGTATATTTAAATGCAAACTTTAAACATTTATTTTCACTAAAATTTTTGCATTTAAATATTTCAAACATTGCTAGTAAATATTTAATACATTTTTAGAAAATGTTAATAAAAGAAGAATAAGGGTTTAGTAAAGTCAACATTTATGTATATAATATAAAAAAGTAAAATTTAATGTATACATTAAAGGCATTGGTCTACATAAAGTTTATAGTACACTTTAATTTGTATAAAATTTGTATTACTTTACATTTTATAATATAAACAACGTAAATATATCTCTTCTTCCAACTTTTTGCATCACTTGATAAAAAAAATAAATCATTTAATAATTTTTACCTATTTATAAAGAAATAATGTAGTAGACATCAAGTGAGCAGGATATAAATTTAAAAACACAAATTTCTTATCAAAAGTTTATTTTGTCCGTCTGCTCAATATTCATTAAAAACTTTAGAATAATTACTGTATAAAGTAAACCAATTCAGTCGTATTTTCGTGAATTTCCATAAAAGTCATCATTTTTAATTGTATACGACAGTTCAAACATTAAAGTCGTAATGAGTGTTCCTACAACCGGTTTGTTGTATATTTGTTGTAATTCGAATCCCTTATTCAGACATAATTCTCTTCCGCCCTCAGTGTACTCGGAAGCGACGATATTTGCACAACTGTAACCTTGTTTAATGGAAAATTGAACAGCGGCATTTAAAAGATACGTGGCAATACCTTTTCTTCTATACTTTTTGTGAACACAAAGTCGCTTAATCCAGGCACCTTTTTCGATATTGCGACTCTTGGTTAATCCAATGGTACCAACGATTCTCTTCGCTTGTGAAGAGACATCGATATTTGACGTTCGAAACTGATGTTCAGACATTATTGTATAATGCACATCTTTTGGATTTCGAGTCATTATAAACGGCTCATAGGCTTCGGCAATCCAAAAGCAGGAAAATGCATTCGACATGTACAATCTATTGAAAATTTTAATATTAAATAGACGTCAGAAACGAATACTTCAAATTAATTTCATTTTGAAAATTAGAAGTAAAAATAGAAATTCGTCAGAAGTAACAAATAAATTACTGAATTCATTTTAAATCAGGAAGGCTAAACATTGATATTGAAATTCATTTTCGCCTTCAAAATATTTTTTTATAAAGAATTTTAGGCACATATTTTCTTATTTTGCTGAATTTTTTTTTTCAAAGTTACAAAGATTTTAAGTTTGAAAGTCGTAAACTTCACTTCTGGAAAATTTAGAGAGAAAAATGTTTAAAGTATTGTAACTTTTGAAGTAATTGAATTTACTCAAAAACCCCACGTCTTTTTGCTCAAAAATCTTTTTAGTAATTGTGTTCATAGGGAAGAATATTTTACATAAGAATAAATTGAAATTAAATGAAATATTTTGAATATTCCAACAGATTTCTCTGATTTACTATTGGCCGCTTAAAATATGTGGACTTTTTGCAATTATTTTTCACAAGTTGGTAACGAGTATTCCAGTTTTCCCGACAACGCTGTGTATCAGTAATTTGCAATTACATTCAGGGTGTAATTTTTTTTCTTAGAGAACCAAAAATAAACAATTAATTACCTCGATATATTATCAATTTCCTGATAAACTTCCATAACTTTTGTAGTGTGCGCAATAAATGATGCTAAATACGTGAAGAAAATAACGGCCGGAATTGCAGTGAAACAAATTAAAAATGGTAAACCAAAGAAAATGAATAAAACTGCAGCAACAAGAATCATCATTTGAAAAGTAAATTCCTTGACAACATTTCCTAAAAATGCTGCATTCATCGATGACATTACGCCCTCCTTTATTATATGGCGACAATTTAATTCATCGCCGGGCTTATAACTTCTTATTACAATTATGTGACTCATTTTTGAAGAAAAAAAATACTGTGCATAATAAATAATACTGTTCTCAATATTTGCTTGTTTTTTTTCAATTTTCTCTATTACTATCAATTGACATCAACATATGATCCAAGATCATTGTTTTGCTTAACTTTATTTTGTCTTCTGCCAGTTGCCACGCTGAAATATTTTTGTGTGTTTAAGGGTGAGTTCACAATGCATGTAAGGCTACGGCCATATTGTAGACTCAACCTAAGGCTGGAGTCCCATGGTAGCGTTTTGCGTTGCGTTTTGTAACTAGGCCATGAGTGCAAATAGAGCAAACATATATCTGTATCTCTCTCACACTCATGGCCTGGTTACAAAACGTAACGCAAAACGCTATCATGGGACTCCAGCCTAAGACTAAGAGTGCTATTGTGAACTCAACCATAGGGTGATATCACAAGTGCAAGAGAGATAGTGCTATCTGACTATCTCTCTTGCACTCATGAGATTTTTGCGTAGCTATTGTAGAATGACATTAAATGTCATACTCTCTTGATTGTTGTTTCCCTTCTCATAATTTATTTCATGCCTTCTTCAAAAGTTTCACATTTCAGAGGTTTCACTTTGTTTCTGTTATAATTTTAATAATAATAATAGTTAATTTTTAAGAAAAATTGTGAATTAATTTTGTTATGAAATTAATAAAAATTGTTCTATAATTTATATATATTTAATAACAGGTAATAAAATATTTAATTTTTATTTAATTGTTTAAGAAATTTGTTTTCAAAGTTTGTTGACATATGTACTACGTGGACTGACACCAATATTTGTTTTTATTTGCTAAGTGTCAATGAATGATGTATATAGGTATATACTGATGATATACTATGATGATATTATAATCACTTTTTCACATGCGAGAGTGACTTTAATTTCAATTTTTCTAACATTTCCTATAATTTATAAATTTTAAAAGAAATAACGTAACCTATATGAAACAAATATTCATTGTATATTTGCAGAATATAATCTTCTCTTTGAAATATTGTTGATATTCAAGTAAAAAAAATTTTTCTTTGAAGAATTTGAGAGAACATGGAATATTAATTCAATGTTCTCTCAATAAAATGAGAATTAAAATAGCTATACTATTTTTTCACTATAATAAAAAAAATAATAATAAAATTAAAATTAATAATAAAATTTCCACAAACAAAATATTTTTTCCATTTGTCAATATGTATTATTAAATGTTATTTTTTTTATAAGAAAAAATAGATTTTGTTTATTTTATTGTCATGTTCTATGTAGGATTAAAAAAATTAATTTTTAGAAATTTCATGTTAATTTTTTCTCTATTAATTTAAAATTTTACTTATTCAGATTTAGAGAATCAATTTTGCAATATTATCTTTGCAAGAATAATTTATTTTATTTTTCAGTTTTGTGTTAATGAGTAAATTTTTTTAATCTTAAAAATAACATTTTTGAAAAGTAATTGTTATCATTTTTATCACTTATAATTTTCAATTTGAATTAATTTAATATTGTTGCACAGTATTTTAGTGAATTTTTGTAAACAATTGAATTCTATGGAAGAATTTTATTGTTTACGAAAACAATTGAATTGTTAAAATTGTAGGTGTTGAAAATAATTGAAATCTTATAAGGAATTTTATTACAATTTTTAAAAATAATAATTAATTAGTTAATAAATGATTTTTATACAATTTTACGCCTTTTTCAGGACATAAATTTTTACCACTGTAAAAATGTTCTGCTGTTTCGCCTTATGTAAGGTAGTACTTATTCTAGTATTTTTCCCACTCGTACTCTTATATTGGAAAAGAGTTTTCGCCAAGAAAAAATCGGAGAATCCTCATTCGGGTCCAGTCATTGGTGTTTTTCATCCTTATTGTAACTCTGGAGGAGGTGGCGAAAGAGTTTTGTGGGCTGCGGTAAAAATCATCCAAAATAAGTAAGAAAAAAAAATCAGAATTCAGAATTAATTCACTACGATTTAATTAATATTAACTATTTAATTATAAAACAAAATTTTAAATTTTAAAATTCATTCTCTTTGAAACAGGCATCCAAATGCACACATAGCTATTTATACTGGAGATTTAGACGTGGATCCCGAACAAATATTACGGAAAGTAGAAAAAAGTTTTGAAATTAAATTAGAACCTGGAATTGAATTTATCTATCTACATAGAAGAAGATGGGTTGAAGCTGAAACATATCCTTACTTCACACTTTTAGGACAAAGTTTAGGATCAATGTGGCTTGGATTGGAAGCTTTAAATGCCTTACAGCCAGGTATGAAATATTCACAATAATATTATCGGATTATTGATTGAAAAGATTAATAGATCATTTGAAAGTAAATTAAAAATACTAAATTCTATCTCCTGTATTTTTAAGAATACCAAACCTTTTAGGTTTTTGTAGTAAAAAAGACAAGCTTTCGATTAACAGGATAAATATTAAAAAGAATCGTGCCCGAAGGTCTCAAAAAATTAAATAAACTTTTAATTTAACAATTTTTTTCTAATATTTAAAAAAACCTTTTTAACCTTAAACTATTATTAAAGAGCACAAAAAACCCTATCAGAATTGAGTTTGACCTTCCAATTTGGTAAAATAGAAAAAAAGTAATGAGCTTTTGAATTTCAGAAATAGTTAAAGAATTCAATTAAATTTCAGATATTTATATTGATACGATGGGTTATGCATTTACATATCCAATTTTTAAGTATCTCGGTGGTTGCATTGTTGGTTCTTATACTCACTATCCAACAATCTCCACGGACATGTTGAGGCATATTTACCGCAGAGCAGTTTCTCACAATAACAGACGCGCCATTGCAAGAAATCCGTTTTTGTCAGCAGGAAAGATGATTTATTATAAACTATTTGCATTGGTAAATATATTTCTTTATTTAACAGTACTGAGTGATTTTTATAAAATTCTTGGCAAGAATTAAATTATTTTTCTAAATATTTAAATTCTTTCATAAATAATAAAATTCGTTGCAGGAAATGAATTTATTATCAGGATAAGTAAGAAGTAAATATTTTTGGTGAAAATTAGGAAAAAAAAGTATAGAGTAGAATATTTGTCAGTTTTGTTAAGTGACGAAAACGAGTTTTTTTGGTCGTCAAGTTTAATTTTTCGATAGCTACTTTTTTTTTAGTTTGAAAGCAACTTTTTGCTACTATTTTAAAATTAATTATCGAGTGCAAAGTCTGGTTCTCGAGAAATTAACATTTTCAATATTTACAGTTGTATGGATTTGTTGGAAGAAGAGCCGACAGTATAATGGTAAATTCCTCCTGGACTGAGGGTCATATCAATTCAATTTGGAAGTGTCCGTTAAAAACGCATCGCGTTTATCCTCCGTGTGACGTGGAGCATTTAACAAAATTGCCATTGCAAGACGACGATAAGAAGGATTACATTCGTATTATTTCACTAGGACAATTTAGACCGGAGAAGGATCATCCTCTTATGTTAAGAACTATGTATGAATTAAGATCTATTGTCAGTGAAGATGTTTGGGAAAAGGTTAGTGAAAAAATATTTCTATTTCGCTGAAACGATTGATTTCTAAGAATTGTCTAATTTCTTTTAGATCCGATTAATATTTATCGGCTCCTGTCGAAATTCCGAAGATGAAACTCGCGTGAAAGATATGCAAGATTTATCAAAGCACTTAGCCCTGGAAGATAGTGTAGAATTCAAATTGAACATTCCTTATTCTGAATTGATTTTAGAATTGCAGAAAGGAATGATTGGCCTCCATGCCATGTGGAACGAACATTTTGGAATTAGTGTCGTCGAATGTATGGCTGCTGGTCTTATTATGATTGCTCACGGCTCAGGCGGTCCAAAGTTCGTAAATTTACAAAATTATTTTCTCCAAAAAAATAGCATTTTTTTTAACAGTTAATACTTTCAGGGCCGATATCATAGAGACACAAATCACCAGCCAAACCGGTTTCCTAGCATCCCAGCCAGAAGAATATGCAAAAATTATATCAGACGTTATCAACATGCATCCAACAGAAAGAGACGCCATCAGACAAGCAGCAAGGTAGTAATTTTACTTTTTCAACTTTTTTTAAAACTCCAACCGCATAAATTATTAAATAATAATTAAATAATTAAATAATTTTCTAAATGATTCAAAATAATAAATAAATAAGTACTTCTAAATAATTTTTCAGAGCCTCTGTCAGTCGTTTCTCCACCGAAAATTTTGAAAAAGATTTTCTACGAGCAGTGGAACCATTTTTTAGACCAAAACAAGAGTAGAGTGATATTTCGAAATTAAATTCTATACAAGTATTGTATAGATTATTAAATATGTTTTTTATTGTGAGAGTAAAATTTTATTCAATGAGAGCTGAAGACAATATATTTTTCAAGACTTTTACTAAAGTTTGCCTGTAATAGTGTTTTTTTTTATTTTTGAGAATAATGTATGCAAATGGTTTACAAAATATTGTGAAAGAAAAAAATTTGTATATATTTGTGTGCGAGTGTGTGTAGCTTCAAAAATGGTCAGTGTGTACATTTACTGGTAAATGTGCATAATTTCTATATTCTCATATAAATTTGTGTACAGCATCTACATGTAATTTAAAATTCTGTGCACTTTAACCGGTAAATAAACAGATTTACCAAATTGTTGTTGTCAGAGTTGCAATTTTATGAAAATTATGAGTAAATAATAGTTATATTTATAAGCAGGATAAGAAAAGTAAATATTTTTGATGAAAATTAAGAAAAAGTCAGGAAAAGAAAATATAGAATGGAATTGTCGGTAAGTTTTGTGAACTTTTTTTAGTTTGGAAGCTACTTTTTTAAAATTAATTATTGGGTGCGAAGTCCAAAAAATAAATGACCGAAATCACATTTATTTTGAAATTTGATTTTTGTTTCGAACTTCGAGAAGAAATTTTTTTGGCAAACTTATTTGAAAAGGTTCATCAACTTACAAACACGATTTTTTGTTTGTTATTCATTAACTTTATTTTAAAAATTCATTCACTAGGCCAACACCATTACATTCTAAAATATAGGAATCATCATTTTTATCATCACTTTTAAATACATTAAAACGCAAGCCTTTGTCTCCTAACATAATTTCGGCTATCTTCATGGCAGTCTCCGTATGGCATGTTAATTCTCTTTTGCCTATGTTTATTCTTGAAGTTCCTTTCGCAAGGGCCATCAGAATAATTATCTGTTTAGATGAAAACAATAAGTTTATGAATGTAAATGGATTTTTATATATTTTATAAAAAAAACTACAACAAAAGAAAATCTTTCCTCTAAATAGTATACCTGATCTTGGGAATGTTCATCAACACACGAGTTTGATAAAATTGGTTTCAAAATCTGATTCGCAGCTTCTGTTCCAGGACAAGTTTGTTCCTTCTTTGATCCAAGTCCTGAACCACCAAAAATACAACCCGTACTGGTCGTGCAAACAATACTGAAAATTGCACAAAATTTAGATTTAGTGAAAATTCTCACAAATTTTGAATTCTTACGAGGAAAATGTGTTTTTATTACTTTATTCCGGATCCATGACCAACGGCAGCTTCTCTATCCTCTTTGTACACTAGAATATCAGTGGGTGGAACAGTAATATCACGTTTCGATAATCCTTGTGTCATAACTACTTTAGCATTATTAGCCATTTTGTGACCTTCCTGAAATTAAAAGAAATTTCTTTGAGTAATTTTAACGAAGAAGCAGTTTCCTGCTTGCAACCTTTTATTTTTATAAAAGGTTGCAATTACCTTCATTTTTTCGAATTCGCAACTATTTCTCTCTAACTACTTTAATACATTCTAGAAAACATACGTTTAGAGGAACAACTCCCGCGACATAAGACCAACCAGTGATCTTAACAGGATATCCTGCATCTGTTAACGTAATGGCATTTAGATTTTTCACAGGTTTTATTTTTAAATGAAACTCTCCACCTCCTGCTGGATAATATCCCCTTGAAGTATAAATTTATACTTATTATTTATAAAATAAATCCTCACTCTTTAACTAACAAAAAACTTTTAGCTTCAGTTTTAGCTAAAACTTCACTTTAGTTTTAGTGAGTTCAATTTACCTTTTTATCACAGAGAAGTCGAAATCAGCTCCAAATTTGTTAAGAATTGGTTTAAAAACCTCTGTGAGATATTCAATGTGGGGTCCCATGGGAACATTTGTCCCGCCTTTTAAAATTAAGTTTATTGGGCTGGAGGAAGGAGCAAAAAGGGCACAAGGAAGTGCCACTTGTGCCAGTAGACAGATGCAACCTGCTGTTTTTGTGTCTGCAATGTATTCCTTTAGTCTCCCCTGCAAGGGGCCCGGACGAAACTGTAACCGTGTTGAACCAATATGAGCTCCAGTCACATTCGCGTTACACAATTCCTTCACGAGTTCGACTCCTAAATGTTACATAAACAATTTTCAGAATCCGTCAATATTGATATTGAAATATCTTAGGGTCTTAGGTAATATGAATACGTATATACATTTTAAAATTAACCTTTTAAATGTTGAGCAGCCAGACCAGGTTTTGGACGACCTGCACGAATGCCATCAATTTCAATTGGAATTGAATACAGTGCACTCAAACTGAGAGCTATTCTCAATACCTGGCCTCCCTAAATGAATAAAAAAATTGCCTTTTGTAGTTAAAATTTTTATTTTTTTTTATAAATTTCTAGAAATTTCCGATTTTTAATGAAATTCCCCGACTTCCCTGATTTGAACTCAAAAATAAAGTCTATTTAGAAATTGAGAAATGAAGCAAAATGTCAGTGGTGTCCCTCAAAATTCAGGTAATGAAGATTTGATAATGGATTGTGATTTATAATCTGATTTTATTCTCATCATTCAGAAATAAAAATTGCCAGTGAAATCTTTCAAAAATATCAGTGGTGTCACTCAATGTTCTTATGTTTTCTTGCTCATCGAAAGTTTATAATTTATAGCAAAACTCATTAGAAATATTTTTTAAGTCATGTTTAAACATTAATTTTTACAAAATATTTCCACTATTTAAAGTATAAGAAGAATTTATTTGAGAAAAGAATAAACGTAAACAGAAAATTTCTTATAACTTCTGCCTGTCGTTTAATAAAAATTAAAATTTTCTTCCATCCACTCGACAACTATTATTTTTGTCCATCATAAATTCTAGTCAATTATAAAATTTAAATTCCAACATCGAAAAATCAAAGTTAGCAGGATCAAAAATGACATTTTAATTTTAATCACCAATATTATTTTCAAATGTTGCCGCGCTATTTTTGCCGATATAATTGACATTTCGGAAAGATTTTTTCCCCATTTTCTCTTTTATTTATTTTTTAAAGTGAGTAAATGGTAAAATTAATATACTTATAATTATCTCTTGAACAATTATTAAAGGCAACCGGCTATCTTACTATAATAAAAATTAAAATTATATGAATACATTTACAAGTTTGTAAATCAGAGTTCGTTTTAACATTATCTCGACAGTAAATAATATAAAATAACTTACTCCTTCCCCTAAACTACCATCAATGCGTAATAAACTAGACATTATTTATTATTAAGAAATCTATGTAAACAATATCAACAAATTTCAATACAAAAAAGCTGAGGTTACAGTCATGAAGTACATAGGACTAAGAAGTGTCATTTTCGATAAAAAAAAGGTGTAGTTTCAAACTGAACAGATTCTGCACGGTAGATGCATAAACTCGTTAGTCAGGTGTGACATGCGCAATATTTAAAAAAAACACAATTTACTGGAAAATTGTAAAAAAAAAAAAATTATTATAATTTGTAAAGGATGACTAGATTGAGTATTATAAATTGATAACAGTATTAAATGATATGAAATAATAAATAAAATATGAATTCAAAGTTAACCTGCAAAATAACCTAATTTTGTGATATTCATTCATTAATTATAAGAAAATGAAATCATTAATTTAAATAAATACTTACGAAATGTAGTCCTTGCGACGATCTATTAGATTTTCTTTATACTTTTCTTCTTATTTCTTGGTAAACAAGAATAACATTAGAAAATAAAATTCCAATTTTGAAAAATTCTGCGATTTTTGAATGTTAATATTTTCTTTACAGGAAGAGTTAGTTAAGACAAAAATTGAATAAAAAAATAAACAAAGGACATTTAATTTATTCATATTTCATTTAATTTATTCTAATGTTTTCATTTTGTACAGTATCAGAAAACATGATAGAATTAAACCTTGAAAATAAATTCTATCGTGTGAATTACTATTTCTAATAAATAAACAGATTTTATAGAACACTGAGAGTAATTCGAATATGATGATAATTTTATATAAATAACAGTGCCTTCCTCATTTCGTCCAACTGACTTTAGGAATGTCAAAGTGCTCAGTTAAACCATCCAAATGACGATTAAATTCTTCGACTCTTTGCTTGTGAGTTAAAGATGCCTTTTGCTTTATTCTCTCAGTTTGCTGAAAAAAAAAAATTTACAAGCAAAAAGATAATCACGCACAATAAAAAGAAGAATTTAAAAATAAATTAAATTTATTTGTTAAAAAAGCAATTTACCATTTTTTCTTGCATTTTTTTAAACGCCATTTCGGCCTTCGTATGTTTTGGAACCGTAACATTTTCTTCCAGTCTTTCGTCTTCTATTATTTTTGTAACCTCCACGAGTTTCTTCTTCTGCTTCTCCTTCTTCTTTTTTCTAAAAATAAAATACATAATTATTTCACACATTACCTATAAATTATTTTGTTTAAGAGTTAATTGCAATTAATAATTAATAGAATTCGAAAAAAAGTAATTTCCCAATTATTGTAAAGTTATTAACCCTTTAAGGACCAAATATACAAAATTTTGGCCTATAGTTTTTTATTTTTTAAAAATCGTATTTACCCTATGCTAGTGGTGGATAAAACAGTTGTACATTCTAAGCGTGTACTTTAAAATAGAAAAATCAAAAATAGCGATTTTAGGAACATTTAAGAATTTTTACAAATTGAATTTTAAGTCTGACCTCAGATTAATATAATTCAGAAATAAAACCCTCGGGTAACAAGTTTTAAACACATTTAATTAACTTTTAAAACACTTTTTCGCCGCCTATGTAATATTAAATAAGACATAAAAATATTTTTTTGTTAAATTTACCTGAACATAATTCGATCGTATATTTTTACCAACTCGCTTATACTTCTTCACAGGATTACGTCTCAAGGGAACTGAACCAAGACGTAACGTTTCATATACCCTTAATAAAGTATTTAAAAAATTAATTAGTTTTAAATAAATATCAATTTAGATAAATAATTAAATTTTTTGAAAACAAAATATATTTCTGTCGACACTGAGCATCAGAAACTTTTTTAAGGGCATTTGAACCTTGATGACGTTACAGATTGTGCAAAGCATGTGTGACGTCATCAAGGTTCAAATGCCCTTAAGTTTGAAAAAGTGCCCTGAAAAATAATTTATGTAGGTAAACAAAATAAATGAAATTAATTAAACAGAAAGCTAATAGCATTCTGAGACGTATCAGGGTGTCTACTAAATTTTATTCTTCAAATTCTCGGTCATTTCCCGATTTACAATTTAGCATCACATGGAAATTAATAATAATTTTCCCGAAAAGTAACAAATTTTGTAAAAGTTGGATAGAGATTCATAATTATAATTTATTTCCCGGTTTTCCTGAAGACAAATTAAATTATTATTCGTTTATGGAGATGCGTAGAAACTTTTATTTTACAGATTTCAAACAATTTAAAGTTGCATTTAGATAAAAATTACAATTTTCTGACAGTACACTGAAAGAAATTCTTATTGAAATTTCATACGACCCACGATGTACATGAAGTTACAACAGACCATCGTATGAATTTTACATTTCGATTATAAAATTACCGTCTGCCATGAAATTTCAACAGAAAACCATATACTGAACATAACCTTAAAATATATTTTATTCACTTTTTTTTTGCATGTTTATAATATTTATATAAATATTTTTTAAATAATTATTAGAATGTGTTTAAGTTATAAAAATGAATACTTTTTTTATAATAAAATTAATGATATATACGTTTAAAATAGAATAATATATTTTTCTGAAATAAAATTTTTAAGTGTAATAAAATTAAACTAATATGTAGAACTTTCAATACTCCCGGTAAATTTACACATCCTACCATGTGAAATTTCACCAGGTTTTTATTAAAAATTCACACGTTGCTCGATTGTAACTTTATGTACAGCGTTGCTCCTGTGAAAATTAAACATTTCTGGTAAAATTAATGAAAGTTGGTAAATTTGAATGGACTATCTAATTAAAATTCTTTTAATCTAGTGATATTCATACGACATTCGAATGAAAATTTTACACATTCACATGAAAATTCAGAAAGGATTTTTTACAGTGTAAGAAACGATTTAGGTAACATAACCTAAAATTGAACGAATTAAACTTTTAAAAATAACTAATTTAAATTAACTAAAATTTGTGAAACTGAAAATTTACCATCATTATTAAAAAAAAAGTTTGAAGTTAACAAGAGAAATGGTCCTCGAAGGGTTGAGTTGAGAGTAAAAAAGTTGTAAAATGATATAATGAAATACGTACTTTTTACTAATATTTTCTGTTCCTTTCAATTTCAGAGATCCTCTTGAAACATTCTCATAGGGATCTTCCTCTGGAGTAGACATTTTACACTTTTATTTAATTGATAAATATATAAATATTTTAATTTTAATACATTGTGATCCAAACAACACGATCGTGACGCGTCTGAGACGCATAAACAAAAATTATGACCATAAACTAAAAATTATGGAAGCCGACAACTCTGTTTCGGGAGCAGTGGCGATAAAGGCCAATGCACAAAACCTCGTAGAACGTGAGCAGGGTTGGGGACGTAAACTACCTAAGGTAATCAACGGTTAAATTAAATTAAATCTTGGTAATTTACAAGCAAATGCTCTTAATATATAATTATGCTCAGCATTAATTTAAACAAATAATTTATTTTTATTGATTGTATTTAATTATTTGATTTATTTTGTATTCAATAATAAACTTTCATAACTATTAATAATTCTATTATTTTGAGAAATTATGAATATAAAAATAATCTTATCTTATCGTCATGTATTCTTTATAAAAAGTTGAAAATAATATTGCACTATAAACTTTTTATATCCTATTTCCTAAGGGATTTACAAGTATTTTTTTAATTTTAAATATAATGGAAAATAGAGTCTTAAAAAGCAATTAAGAATATATAGTTCAATATGAATATTTTAAATTCTCGTAAATGCTCAACAAAAAGACAAAGCACATTCAGGTTGAGAATAATTTAATTTAGGAATCAATGAAGGGTCAGGAAAATAAAAAATAAAATTCTTGTGACAGCATATTAAATTAAAAAAATGACTCTTTCGAATTTTTTTTGACATTTTTTGTATCTTTAAGGCGCAAAATTTCCCGAAAATATTCTCAAAATTTTAATTCTAAAAAAATAATTTAATGTTTCAATTATAATACAGTAGTAGGTACAAAAATATAATATAAAGTACAAAAGAGTATAATATGGAAAGTACAAATATTGTTGCAGTCAATGCAAGAAATCGATAACGAAAAAGCATTTTGTTTAACATTTTAGTCCAATTGAAAGAAAAAAATATATAAACTCTGAGTTGCGAGATTTTTGAAATTTTACATAATCTTTCATCGTTGATTAATAATCACTCCTTTTTATAGCGTTAATATAATTTAGTAAATACAGTTGATAATTTTCGAAGATCACTCATTGAAAGAAATTTTAAAACTTCTCCTAAATCAAAAACTGAGATTTGATTATTATAATTTCTTTTAATGTAATTTAACAAACAATTCATAGACATGTCAATTAAATCAATTTTTCGCTTTGCTTGCTCAATGCGCAACGTTAAAAATTTCGCATACGCAGGAAATTTGTCGTACGACAATTCAATGGTATTTAATAACTTCTCATTTCTCATATAGTTCGCAATTTTGTCAGTAGACTTTACTAGAATATCGTAGAAAGTCACATTTAAGTCATCGATAACTTTGGTTTTTTGCAAAATTATTATCTGTTGTCGACATTCATTTTGAAATTCTTTAATAATTAATATATCTTCCCTTGAATGGAGACGATCAACTAGTTTCTGGGAACCAGATGGTAGCAATTCCAGACGTGCAATTATCAATTTAAAAAGTTCAGTTTTTTTAGAAACAAAAACATTATCGTTTAGTGATAGTGCCATGATGAACAGTTGACTGTCGTTCTCTATTTGATTAATTACAAAAAAACAACTCCAATTCTTTTTCAAGGAAAAATATTCTATTCGTAGAAATTTAAGATTGTAGTATTCGATAAAAATGTCAATCATACTTGAATTGTTATTAAAATTTAATTGTAAATTCAGAACAACTTCAAGTATATTTCCCGTTAAATAATTCAGCAGGCATCTCACAATTTCAAGACGAAATTCACCCTTTTTGTCCTCTTTAATCTCACTGATCGAAATTTGGTCGTTTTTGTCAGAAATTGGAGAAATTCTTAAATTGGAGGCATTGATTAATAATCTATGAATATGGTATTTGTTTTCATGTTTGAGCACAATGACACCTAATAAAAACTCTGTTATTTTAAAAATATTTTCAAACATTGAAGGTGTAATTGATTCTTTTTTATAATCCCTTAGAATATTCTCCAGTAATGAATAATTTTTCTGATCTTTAATGGGATTCGCACCAGAGGCTAAGAGTAATTTAATCATATTTAAATGTCCCATAGTTACTGCAAAATCCAATGGAACGAAGTGTCCTGTTGTTTCTGAATTAACATTCGCACCGTATTTCAGAAGAATTTCCACCAAACGCGTATGTTCGAATGTGGCTGCAACATGAAGAGGAGTTAATTTGTCATTAAAACAACTCTCGACCGAACAACCTGCTTCTAGGAGAGTTTTCAGCATTTCCTCGTTTCCATTTTCCACGGCAATGTAGACTGCAAACTGTCCCAATTCTCGAGGTAGAGGATTTACATTTACTTTGTTCAGGATTTCTTCTACACTTTCAATTTGATTAGCACGCACAGCGGAATGAAGTTCAGTTTCCTTGGACGTTAAAACAGCATCAATTTTGGAATTACAGGTTAATACGTACCTCCAAAGTTTCAATTTGTCATTTAAAAATGATAAATCAAGTAAAGAATCTTCAACATAATCTTGTTTAATACCGAAATCTAATAAAAATTTCAAAATATCTATATGTTTATCATGTGTACATAAATTGATGAGATCTTCTTTTATCTTTAATCCACTTTCAAGCAAATATTTCAAAATGTCCAACTGTCGATGGACTACTGCGACACCTAAGGGTGTTTCACAACTATAATGTTCAACATCAAGCTTGTCGAATCCATTCGACATGAATAATTTAACCATTTCTAATTTTCCCTTTTCAATCGCAACTTTAAGAGCTGCCTTTCTTTCATCTACATCCATCTTGGCCAGAAATTCAGCCACTTCAACGTTAACATCATTGACATTATCATCAGCACCTTTTTTCATGAGCAAATCAAGAATCTTTAGGAGAACTTTTGCTACTTCGTCAAACAAGAATACTTTGTTTTCTTCATTTTCTTTTGACTTAATATCTTCATTCCTCAAAGTACTTAAGTATTCTAGTAGTCTATTGTAACGAACAAATTCATCCTCATCTTTGTCACTATCATCATCACTAGAATAATCTTCCTCCGAGTCATAATCGTCAGTATCATCATTGTCGATATAATTTTCCCACTGCATTTCGTATGTTTTTCACTCACCGATAAAAAATTACAATACGTAATAAAAACAAATAGTGAACAAAAAAATTGTTGAATTACAATTTCGATGAAAAGAATATTCTTCCGCCGATTCAGTTTTCTGGAACAAATAAAAAAACAAAAATATTTGAATATTTTCTCTTGAATTAAGGAGGTGTCCTGCTTCTGATGTTTAAAAAATGGACTTTTTGAATTTTTGAAATTTAACATCGAGTAACAATAAGTTTCAACCAAATTTCACCAATTTTTAATTTTTATACTTTTTCATATTATAGAAAAAAGAAAAAAGAAACTAAGATTTCACGAATTTTTTCGGCTTTGAAGATAACGAATGTTATTTCAGTAATTTTTAACTAATTTTTAGTTAAATTTCACTGATATCAAGTAGAATTTCACTGATTCAGATTTAGAGGGAACACTTAGCGGTATATAAAATGTTTCAGAATTCAGGGCAAGACGATTTCAATTCAAAAGTGTGTGCAAAAACAATTTTTTTCAAAAGTTTCCAATGCAAGATAATTACGAATTTCCACAATACAAAATTGTTTCACAATCATAATTTTATTTGACTGCATATGCACATTACGTAGAATTTTAATTCATTGAAATTTTTATTGGACAGTGTCATTTGAGCCATTGTCTATATTATTTTTAATAAAAATTGTTATTTAGTACAATATTTATTTGTCCGAATGATATTATGCTAGAAATTTAATTTAAGAGAATTTTTTATTTGACTGAATTGCCATAGATAACATTTTTATATTGAATATATTTAGGCAAGTTATTAATTATTATCAATTATGTCGTGTTTGGAAGAAAGGTACCTAAAAAGCAAATCATTTTAAAGTTATGTTTGTATTGCTTCTTAATTAAAAGTTTCTATTTAACTTAACAAAACTAAAATAATTTTTCCACGACACCCGCTCTGGAACTACAACTTTCGAGGTTAAAAAAAGATGTCGATTTCAAAACTTAGCTATTTATAGCAGTTCATTATGCGTATTTATATTGACCGCATATTTATTATCGTGCTTATGATTTATTAATTTAGGTAAAAAGACAAAATAAATCTCTGTTTACATTCGGTACTATTCGAATTTTTGCGTAAATAGAAGAATGTCTGCTCTGAATATTGAAATATAATTTTCTTGCACAATCTTTTTAGTTAACAATATTACACTTCTTTTCTAAATGGGAATAATTTTTAACAATACATACCAAATTGTTTTGCAAGTGTCGACTTTCCAAAATAAATAATAACCCTCAAAATATACTACAAAGAATATCCGTCTGTATAGACTTTTAAACGTAAGGGTGCACTCCCATGGAATTCAAGGATTTCAAGGTGCGTTTATACGACTGTTAGAAAAAAAATTTATCGAAAAAGTCGAAATTTTTAAAAAATAAAAAAAATGTATTTGTCATAAAACGGTAAAATAGGTATATTTACCGTTTTATAACAAATACATTATTTTTTTTATTTTTTTTTAAATTACACATTTTTAAATTTCCGCTGAAAAGGCCCATTATGTATTCTCCTTTATACGGAAGCTTCTACGCGCCACCCTGCGGCACTCACTCGCTTTACGAGGCACAAGGCAAATGTCGTTTGAAGCACCCTGCGGCTGAGTCCAGAATAGCTAAAAATCGTCTCGACTTTCAAGACGATTCGATGCGCGTACATACATTTTTGCTTACTGCGCATCGAAATCGAGACGATTTATTTGATTGTGGACTCAACCTGCTAGTGAATGCCTTGTACGATGCCTCGGTGTGTGCCTCGTAGGGTGCCTCGATGCGTGCTTTGTGCGACCAGTAGTAGACCAGTGTTTTGAAATTTTAAACGGCTTTAAATGTAAATCAGAATTCTCAAAAAAAAAATTTGACTAGTTCAGGTTAAATTAATAACTAATTGCTGTTAATATTTTTAAATTAAAAAGTGTAAATTTTAGAATAATTACAAATTTTGTTGAATCTTTTTTTGGATTGTAGTGAGGGTGTTGAAATGTATTTTTACTTGAGAGATAGGTTATATAACCTCTAGTTGTCTTAAAAATTTTAAGCAAATATGTACATCTTGAATAATTATTGAATTCAATCCTCATATATAAAAATATATTGAATCGTACTTGCTGCTTGTCATAAATAACTTTTTTGGTAGGTGAAAATGGTGAAAACATAACCTTGACATTTTATACTCAAGTAAAAGAAACATTTCAACACCCTCACTACAATCTAAAACAAGATTCAACAAAATTTGTAATTGAAGGGTGGCATGACAAAAATGGTCAAGCAACAATTTAACGATTTTACAGGAAACGAAAATAACACATTAAAAATTTTTTCTGATCATTAAAGAAAAATCTAAAAAAAACCGTTTGGAAATACTATTTCGCTCAATCAGTAGAAATAAAATTTATGAAGATAAACCTACAACCTACATATTAGTGAGAAAAATAAGTAAAAGTGTACTATTTTGTGGTTACGTCAAATGCGCATATTTTGTTATAAAATTATAATTGTTAAAAAATATACAGTTTAAAGAAAAACTGAAAAATTAGTTTTTTAATATTGAAATGACGAATTGAATGCAAAAAAGTTTGCTTTGAAAAAGTTGTTTGTTTTCAAGAAAATTGTTAATTTAATGTTAACTTTTGAAAGTAAAAAGTATAGAAATTATCAAATGTAAACTACAAACAGGAATATTTAAAAATTAACAGAAGAATAATATTTAAATTATTGAAAATTAGATAAAGAATAAAAATTATTTCTAAATAGACATACAGTTTTTCAGAGAAATTTAATATATATTTAATGATATAAAAAAGAAATAAATATTTTTAACGATATTAATCTATTCATAATAATATTCATTTCTTTTGTTTTTTAACTGAATTGCATTGTAAGTAAAAATATGTAGGCTATTGTCTTATTCTTATTTTTATTAAAAACGAGTTTAAAAAACAATTTACAAGAAAATCCTTTTACAGAACTGTGTAAAAGAATTTACCTGATTTTTTTCTAAAAATATCTCAATTTCGAAAAATTGTTGCTGACTCCCTTTTGTCATGCCACCCTTCAATTATTCTAAAATTTACACTTTTTAATTTAAAAATATTAACAGCAATTAGCTATTAATTTAACCTGAACTAGTCAAATTTTTTTTTTGAGAATTCTGATTTACATTTAAAGCCGTTTAAAATTTCAAAACACTGGTCTACTACTGGTCGCACAAAGCACGCATCGAGGCACCCTACGAGGCACACACCGAGGCATCGTACAAGGCATTCACTAGCAGGGTGCTTCAAACGACATTTGCCTTGTGTCTCGTAAAGCGAGTGAGTGCCGCAGGGTGGCGCGTAGAAGCTTCCGTACCTTTACCTTCATCCAAAACACAAAGAGACTGGCTTTTCTTGTAGAACTCTATTTCATGATTCTTTCGAACCTTTCGAACCAATTGTAAAAAACCAGGAAGCCTCAACCGTTTCATTTTGGTCGTTTAAATTTTCTATTTCTCTTGTGAATACTCAAGCTTTTTCTTGTTTTCCGAATAATGTGTATACTTGTAGTGTAACTTTAGAAGAATTTCTACGTTTACTAAAGAGTAAGTGATTCATTTATACAAAAATTGGTTGATTTACTAAAATATATATAATATATAGGTTTCAAAATTTTTATGTGAAAATTAAATTTAACCTATACATAATTTTATTTTGTCTGTCTTATATTTAAAATAAAAATATATATGTAATAATATAATATAACATTTGTCAATGCTATCACAATTTTTATGATTTCCGTTAAAAAAAGAAATTCACTTGTTAAAAAAAACAAAAACTTGAAATTTCATTCTTTTGTTTGTCAAAAAGTTAATTTGCTTTTCTATACCAGTCTTAACCACACAATCTGACACAATCTTTTAAGTTCGTAGAATTAACGTAGAAGAGTAAGCCAGATGTATTTACGTACGTATTTTTTTCTAAATCTCTCGTCTTAGGTATTAACAATGAAAAAAATTCTCATTATTTTAATAATATATTAAATATATGGGACACTCCATTTCGAACAAGTTTCACAAAAAAGAAATTCGAAAGAGAATTTCATGAACTTTTCTATTGCTATTTTTATTTTTTTTAATTTTTCTCAATTTCGTAAAGAAATTCCTGCAAAACACACCCTCATCGATTTTTATGAAAATTATATATTAAAAAACTTAGATTTAAGGGCATTTGAAACTTGATGACGTCACACATGCTTTGCATAAACTAAAACGTCATCAAGGTTCAAATGCCCTTAAAGAAAAAAAATTTAAAACTTCAAATTCTCCTGAAATCAGTTAAATTTTTTAATACACATTAAAAAGTAGGGGTGGTCAAATTCTTCGCAGAAATTTAATTATTTTCAAAAAATTTTAATAAAATTCTTGGCAAACATTTCATTATTTTCATAAGTAATAAAAATTTCACTGGAATTCAATTATTTAAAAATTATTATTCAATTATTTTCAGAAATAATAACATTTTTTTACAGGGACAGAAATATTTTTATAAATAATAAAACTCAATGCTGAATTTCAAGTATTTTTAATACAATTTTAATAGAATTCCTCAGAAAATGAAATTATTCTTAAAATTTTAAAAACCTTTGCTACAATTTATTCATTAGAATTTAAGTATTATTTTCAGTACAGTTTTAATTAAATTTCTTTAAAGAAATAAATTATTTTTAAAAATTTTAATGAAATTCTTTTCGTAACAATTCAATTTTTTTCAAAATAATTTTAATAAAATTCTTTGCAGAAATCCAATTATGCTTAAAAATTTACAAAAATTCTCGTCAAAATTTTTATTATCTTTATAAATAATAAAAATTTTCTCCGAAATTTAATTATTTTCGATAAAATTTCTTGACAAAATTTCAATTATTTTCAAAAATTTTCAACTTTTCAATGATTTTCAATATGTACCTACTATTTTAATAAAATTTTCCAATAGAATTCAATTATTGGAAAAAAATTTTAATTAAATTTTACGCAAACATTTAATTATTTTCGTTAATAATAAAAATTTCGTAGAAATTCATTTATTTTCAAATTTTTTTATAAATTTCTTCACAATAATTCCATTATTTTTACAAATAATAAAATTTTTTACTTAGATTCAATTATTTTCATAAATAATAAAATTCTTCTCTAAAATTCAATTATTTTTATTAGAAATAATTAAATTCTTCTGTGATATTCAATTATTTTCAAAAATTTTAATAAAATACTTAGCAAAAATTTCAATTATTTTCAAAAATTTTCAACTTTTCAATGATTTTCAATATGTACCTACTATTTTAATAAAACTTGTCAAGAGAATTCAATTATTTAAAAATTGACTTAAAGAAGAATTTTATTTGAAAATTCTAGAATAATTTTCGTTTTAAAAACCTGGAAAACCTGATAAAGTCGGAATTTGAAAAGAACAAAAGCGTGTCAACCCAGATAATTATAAACTATTCATTTTTAGTATTTTGTTAAAATAAACAATCGAAATTTTTCATTTTCCTATTTTTTCAGGAAAGTTTTACACTATCAGAAGATAGACGGATATCTTTAGATGACGAATGTGAAGAACGACGTAGAGATAGCGTGTAAAAAACAATGTCCCGAAGACAAAATCAAGATAATTTCGATTCCCAAGCCAGTCGAGGAAATATGGTCGACGATGAGAAAAACAGTAGAATCGATGTCGAAATATCGGAAGAAGCGAGAATTATTAAAAGATATTTTCCACAAGTTAGCAGTTCCGAAATCATTGCCAAATTAAACAAATACCGAAAGGCTTCGAATCGGGAAACTATTGTCTTATGGGAATTAATGCCCAGGGAGAAGCCAGAACCGATAATTCGAGAAGAAATAAAAGAAACGAGTCGAGAAATCGAACATTGTGCCAATAGTGAGAGAATCCAGCCTAAGAGAAAATCGTCGCCATTACGTGATCTGATTAAGGTCGAAAATTCGGCATCGACCAGTAAAAAATCGAGAAAATCGGATGAAAGTGGAGAAAAGTTATTGGCAACTTCTTCGAATGTTTCTGATAATATTATTCACATTTGGAAGGATTCACTTAATTTAATCGATAAATATAAAAAGTTGAATAGTACACCTTCAAAACGCTCCACTATTAGTACTGAAGTACACGATTATTTCGCTGCGAAAACTTCTCCCTCGACACAAAATGAAAGTTCCTCCCCAAACTTGGAGAGCACGAAACCAAAAAACGAACCAAAACCGATTCAGTTTTATCAGATGCCTTCTTTGTTTCCGACTCCGTCTTCGTCTTCGTCTTCGTCTCAGCAGCAGAATCCGATTGCATCGACTAGCAGCGATAGTTCCTTAAATCCAGAAAAACAATCATCACCTGCAGAAACTCTTCACATTGCGAGCTCTTCAAAAACCGAAGTGATCCCCTGCAAAGAAATTTATTATAAACTCAGGGGCATTTTTCCCGATATTGATCCGGCTTTTATCACAGAGAAATGCTTAAATCCTCCATTCTCCACCAAAGATCGTGATAAAGAAGAGCAAATACAAATGTTTGTCGATTTATTGTTAATCGAAGGAGGTGATCACATTTCTCCAGGAAATAGAGATGAAATCGACGATGCTGTAAATGAGGATGAACAATATGAAAATTTAATAGCAATATTTCCGGAAGCAGATCCGGAATATTTAAGAACAATGGCTAAAGTGCATCAAAATAATCCAATTCAGTTGCAAGAATGGATCCAAAAAAACTTGGAAAATCCAACATATCGAACAAAAGCTGAGTATTTGAAGGACATAAAGATCAATCAACAAATTAAGGATTACACTAGTGATTTTAGTGTAAAAAAATTTCTGCAAGTAATTCCTAATCCAATTGAACGATTCGAAAATCCGGAAAGGAAATGTATTTTTAAAAATTCGGCGAATGAGTTTTTAAAAGGTCATTTCCGCTCGCACAAGGTAATTCATTTTTTTTTATCTAAATTGTATCTTTTTGGAATTGTTCTTTATTTCGATTTTAGAAAAAGTATTTAAGTTGATAAATAATTTTCTATTAAAATATTGTAACCAGGCTGGCAACTTGTCAGTAAAGTTAGAGAAATGTCAGGAAAAAAATTGTTGACAGGGAAATTAAGAAAATTCAGACTTTTTTCGATTTACTTTCAAAAATTGCGACTTTTTCGATTTTTCTTCCAAATATATTGCAACAAAATACCACATTTTTTGGTATAATAATAATAAAACAGTCCGTATTTTTGATTGAGAAAAGATGAAAAGTTCGTAAATTTCACGATATAATTATGAAATTTTTTTTAGAAATAAAATTCTTCTCTGAAATTTAATTATTTTCAAAAATTTTAATAAAATTCTTGGCTAAATTTCAATTATATATTTTTAAAAACTTTCCTCAATTCAATGATTTTCAATATTTAATATTTTGAAAAAATTGGCCAAAATAATTCAATTATTTAAAAAGAAATTTAATAAAATTCTACGCAAACCTTTAATTATTTTCATAAAATAATAAAAATTTCACAGGAATTGAATTATTTACAAATTTTTTTATAAATTTCTTCGCAATCATTTAATTATTTTCATAAATAATAAAACTCATTGCAGAATTTCAATTATTTTAAAAATAATTTTAATCGAATTCCTTAAAAAATGTAATTATTCTTAGAAATTTTATTAAAATTCTTCAAAAGAATTCAATTATTTAAAAAATTGATAAAATTCTTTATGAGAATTCAATTTTTAGAAATAAGGAATCATTCATGTAAATTGTTTTTGAGTGTGTGTAAATAATTGAATTCTAATAGAATTTTCTAATAAAAATTGATTTAAAAATGTATTACAGTTAAAATTTTAGATTAGTATGGTAGGTATGAATTATTAAAAATAATTTTGGAATAATTGAAAATGTCAAATTTAAATTTCATTCAAATATATTCTGCATCCATTAAGAAAAAACAGTTAAAAATTAATATTAATTTTGAAAAAAAATAATTTAAAAAACTAACTTTTTTTGATTTCAGGTGGTAACAATTTCTAAATTTTATAAAAAGAACTTGTACAATCTAACTTTAACGGCTAATGATTTAAGAAAAATATCGTCGGATATGAGAGGAAGACGTGGTTCATATGACGCGGTGACGCAAGACATTCCTCTTTTACAGGAAATATCATACATCAAATTTCAAAAAGATATTCTTATTTATATAGAAGAATTGAAGAAGCAAGAGGACGAGGAATTTAGAAATTTGAAAGTTAGTGTCCTTAATATTTTTTAGGAGTAAGTAAGAAAAGGCTATATCAATAAACTAATAATTTGATTGTCTTTGATTCATAGGAGCAGAAAGCACTACTCGAGTGTCAGTGCTGCTTCAACGAGGAATGTCTGCCCAAGAAGTGCGTGACCTGTGAAGACGGACACGTCTTCTGTCACACTTGCGTCCTGAGGGGTTGTGAGAGCAAAATTGGAGATGGACAAAACCACATCAACTGTTTTGCGGAGTGCGAACGAGAGTTCAGCCTCTCGGCGCTTCAAATCGTTTTGCCTCCCACGACGTTCAGCATTCTTCTGCAGAAGAGACAGGAAGCGGAAGTAATGGCCGCTGGCCTGGAAGGACTGGTGTCATGTCCATTCTGCCACTTCGCGTCGATACCACCACCGGAGACGAAAGTCTTTAAATGCCTCAATCCTGACTGTATGAAGGAGACGTGCATGTGAGTTTCAATTCAATTTCAAATTTAAGAGTCAATATTTTATTTACTGAAACTATAATAATCTTTCTTTGAGAATTTTCAAATCTATTTGTTTACAATTCAATTTCACGTGAAATTTCAATTATTAGGAAATTCTTCAATTAAATATTATATTAGAAAATAAAAACTTCAAATAATTTCAAAAATATTTCAATAAAACTTTTTCCAAAACAATTAATTCTACAGAATTGTTAGTTGAAAGTAGAAAATTTTCAAAGATTTAAGTTCAAAACCTTTTAAAAATCCAATTATTTCTAAAAATTCACAATATAATGCTTTTAATATTCAATAATTATCTAAAATTTAAACTAAAATTCATTTTTAAATTAATTTTGACTAGAAAATTCTACGAGAATTCAATTATTTAAATAAAAATAAAATGCAAATAAATAATTTATTGAATAATTGAATGTTTCTTAAAATTCAATTCTCATAAAGAGTTTTATCAACAAATTTTTAAATAATTGAATTCTTTTGACGAATTTTAATCGAATTGTTAAGAATAATTACATTTTCCGAGGAATTCGATTAAAATTGTATTAAAAAACAATTTAAATTCTGCCATGTTTTCATTAGAATTTATAAAAATAATTAAATCCTTAAAATAAATTTTATTATTTAAGAAAATGGTTGCAGAAATTCAATTATTTTCAAAAGTAATCAAATTCTTTGCAAAAATTCAATTATATTAAAAAAAATTTTTAAATTCTCATCAAAATTTCAATTATATTTGGAAATAATTAAATTCTTTTTAGGAATTCAATTATTTTTATAAACAATAAAAATCATTGTAGAATTTCAATTATTTTGAATACAATTTTAATCGAATTCCTCGAAAAAATTCTTAAAAATTTTATTAAAACTCGTCAAAAGAATTCAGTTATTTAAAAAATTATAGATAAAATTCTTTATGAGAATTTAATTTTAAGAAACATTCAATTGTTTAATAAAATATATATTATTTTGGTACTTAAATAATTGAATTCTCTTAGAATTTTCTCATAAAAATTGATTTAAAAATAGATTTCAGTTAAAATTTTAGATTATAATTGAATTTTAAAAGCATTAGAGCATAAATTTTTATAAATAATTGAATTTTGAAAAGGTTTCAGATTAAAATCTTTGAAAATTTGAATTTTTTATATTTTTCACTAACAATTCTGTAGAATTAACTCTTTTTGAGAATCTTTAATTGCGGATTTTTTTTGAACTTATTTAAAGTTTTCATTTTCTAATATATATTTAATTGGAGAATTTATGAATAATTGAAATTTTGTAAAATTGAATATTGTAAACAAATGAATTTGGAAAATACTTGAAGAACTTTTTTAAACATTATTAAAAAATTTTAATTTATAAAAGAATTTTAGTTAAAAACACGAAAAAATGAATTTAATTTTGGAAAACTTACAAATTATTGCAGAAATTCAATTATTTTCAAGTGTATTAATATTCTTCACAAAAATTAAATATTGTTCAAAAATAATAAAATTCTTCTTAGGGATTCAATTATTTTTACAAATAATAAAGCTCATTGCAGAATTTAAATTATTTTTAATACAATTATAATCGAATTTCTCTGAAATTCAATTATTTTCAAAGAATTTTAATAAAATTCTTGTCAAAATTTCAATTATTTTCAAAAATTTTTCTCACTTTAAATGATTTTCAATATCTACTATTTTAATAACATTTTCTAAAAGAATTCAATTATTTGCAAAAAATATTGATAAAATTTTCGTAAAAATTCAATTACTTTCAAAAATAATAAAAATTTCACAGGAATTTAGGTAATTAACAAATTTTTTAAAAATTAATTTGCAGTAATTTAATTATTTACTTTAATAATAAATTTTTTTAAAGAATTTAATTATTTTAATAAATAATGAAATTTATCACAAAATTCCAATTATTTTTAATACATTTTTTAATCAAATTCTTTGAAAAATGTAATTATTCTTAAAAATGTTATTAAAAATCGTAAAAAAAATTAAATTATTTAAAAATTTATTGAGAAAATTCTTTATAAGAATTAAATTTTAAGAAACATTCAATTATTCATTAAATTATTTATTTTTGCACATAATTGAATTCTCTCGTAGAATTTTCTAATACAACTCCGAGTCGAAGACTCGGAGTGATTGGTATCTTCATGTTTTATAGTTATGAAAAATGCAGTTAATAGTAAATTGATAAGATCTTTAATCATTTCATAGGTCTTGCAAGGCTTTGAATCATGTTCCGCTGAAATGCGAGGAAGTCGCCAAAGAAGACGAAGCTCGTTTACAATTGGAAGAGAAAATGACAGAAGCTCTAGTACGCACATGTCACAAGTGCCAAAAGGCCTTTTTCAAAGAAGAGGGCTGTAATAAAATGACGTGTGTTTGCGGCGCCTCGATGTGCTACTTGTGCTCAACGCCCCTGAAACAGGGAGACTACAAACACTTCAACGGTCAAGGATCATCGGATTCCAATTTGTTAGTAAACAATTTTTAAGTATTGTTTCATAAAAAGTCATTTGGTGTTTGATTTTTTTTTAAATTTAGTATGACTATCGAAAGCTAAATACTAAAATCATAAAAATTTCCCTCTAGATGCCCCTTGTTTAGCGATGATAAGCGAATGAACGCAGAAGCTGTACGAAAAATCGCAGAAATCACGGAAAGTGAATTGAGAAAGAAAAATCCAAATTTAAAATTTAGTGCTGCATCAATTTTACCTGCGTTGCCAGCGAGAATAAGTGGACCACATAATGACATACCCAACGCTGATGCATTGCCGGTGAGTTATTTAAACAATAATCAGGCCTCGAATCGACTTTCAGACATAAGATAGTCATTTTCGTTGATTCAGTTTAGTTTTTCTATTTTTGACTTTTCTCTTACTTACAGAAAAATTTTCAACTTTCCTTATCTAAGGTTGTCGCAAATTAGGAAATTCAGGGAAAATAAAAATCAAACAGGGAATTTGGGGAATTTTATTAAAATTTGTGCTTCTAAAAATTATAATTTCTTTAATAATAATTGAACTTCCTTTGAATTATTTTTATTATTTATAGGGATCAGGAAAAAACAAAATAACAGATTCTTAAAAAGTGGTATTTTGTAGCAATATATTGAAAAAAAGTTTACAAAGTCAAACTATCTGAGGCCTGATATTTTTAGAACTTTTATAATTTTTTATTGAACTTTTCAAGGTATCTAAATCTTTTATTTGTTTTTCAGGAGCACGTTATGCGTTTGGCAAACAATCGACCAAATTGAAATTACCAAAAATACCTCAGGTTCGAAATATAAAATACTCTATTTTATATAGTATCTACTTTTTTACAATTTAAACGTATCGTTAATTGTTTTTCTCGAGAAATTGTCACAAAAAAGTAAAACGTTGTTCCTACTAGTATATGAAGTTATCTACATATAAGCAAGAGTAGATCGTAATCAAAAGTAAATTCTATTTCATGTTATAAATTAAGTCAACTTTAAGAAACGTTAATATGCGCCGTCTTCTATGTTATTACTTTTTCGTAAAAATTATGTCTGTATTATCTTCGTTAAACGTTTTTGTTTTATAATTTACATGGTGAAAACCATAAAAAGTTCTTAAAAAGAAGACAATTAAAACGTTTTTGTTATATAATTTACATGTTGAAAACTATAAAACGTTCTTAAAAAGAGGAGACAATTTATATTATCATGGTTGACTGAATAGACATTTGCAAGACTTAAATACTTAATGAAAAAGCAAAAGATGTTTATGTTATACTATTTGACATTAAAAAGGAAAGCGCTCAAAATAGTGAAAAAATATCAACTACATAGTAAACTAAATAACTAAAAACTAAATAAAATTGTTTTCGTAACATAGTATTTCTTTAAGGAGAGAAGTACATATTCGGTTTTATAAAACAAACTGATGAAGATAAGTTTCTCTTTACAAAATTTACTTATTGATATAATTTTTTATTCTCTAACTAAAAGTGTACCATGTTTTGTTAAAACTTTAAATTTCGAAGAATGTATCCGCAAGTTATACCTAAAATTTGTTAAATTATTTTTTTCTGCCCTATATGTACATTATAGGATACGTATTATTCAATTTTGAAGTTAAAAGTTTAGTGCGGAAAAATAAACGTATTTTTTAGAGTGTTTGTTACCAAACAGTTAAATCTTCGAATAAGAAATTCTTACGTAGCGCATTATTTTATTATATTAATGTAACACAAATTTTATTCTTTTTGTAAAAACTATGTTCTAAACAATTTTGTATCTATTTAAAAAAATGCATTTTTAAAAAAAATATTCCATAAAATTATATTTATTCACATTTTTTGCTTCCAAATTTAAACTTTGATGCTGAGAAATTTTAGTCTTAGAAAAATTTATTTTTTACTTTTCTCGCAAACGGCAATTAAAAATAAAGACTTTTCTATTTTATTGAATAATATTTATTATTAATAATATTAATATTTAAACATTCAAATTTTTAAAAATTCAACCAAAAAGTCATTCTAACTTTTAAAATTCTAAGAAATTTACTAACTAATAAAATACAAACAATAATAATAAAAAATTAGGGAGCGAATGAGTGTGAGCGAGAAGCAAAATTTGAATTCTTTTTCTCTTTCTGATGGAGCATTTACATCTTTGGTAAAAATTGTCAAGAACGGAAAATTTACATTGGAGTAAGAAAGACAGATACACAGTTTGTCTCTCTTACTCCAATATAGATTTTCCATTCTGGACAATTTTTACAGAAAGGTGTAAACAAATGTATTTTTACACTATTGTAGAAACACCTTTACAGCTGGTGTGAAGGCGATTTTGACATTTTTCGGTGAATTTATTTTCTATTGATAGAGGTGTGAATGCTCCCTAAAGCGTTAAACCGAAAGCAGAATTTCATGAATGCAAAAGAGATAGTCAGATCATAGCACTGTCTCTTTTGCTCTTATGATTTTTTGCTTTCGATTACGCTTTCTGCTCACATGGGACTGCACCCTGAAACGAAAAACGTTTATCCAATAAGAATTCTCTATTAGAACGATTTCCACTGAATCAGAGTTCCTATTAGCTAAACGTTTTCCGTTTTCCACTTTTTGTGGAGAACGTGGAGTAGAAACGACTAATCCGCTAATCTGCTCAATGTGATAGCACCTTTATGCTGACACAGGGATAAAAAACAGTTCATATCTACATTGATAAGTGGTCAATGGTCTATCCGACGGGAAGTGTTTGCATAAAAAGCAATTTAAACAAAAATGTGTGAACTGTATCTCAGAGTTCTTATTGTTTTTATTTTATAATTGTTATGGTGGGAGAGGTAGGAAACATTGTAAATCTTTTATCTCATCTGTCCAACATGGAATTTTAGTTTACTCGGAATTGAAAAACAAGATAGTTTTACTAAAGCTTGTAAATTTTCATCGTTTTTATAGAAAAAAAATTTGTCTCTTGCGAAATTCTTCGCACTTGTTAATAATTGCGAGTGTTTATTTTATCCTCCATTATTAAATGGAGTTGTTTTTTCAACAAAGGTCATATTAACTAACGAGCAGTGTTTGTTCTCAGTGTAAATTTTGTTGTGTTACATTAAAAAACTTGACGATTGTTTTGACCCGGGAGTATTTCCTCATTAGAATGATCATCCTGGGACCACAGTTGCGCGCACGCACTATTGCCAGAAACGAAATGGAACAGAATCTACAACTTATGTGCGATAACTACCAACAGCAAACACCGACTATTGAATATTGCTGTTTTCATTCAAAATAAATTAAAAATATATTCAATGTGCAAAAACTGACGAGAGCAATTCGTGTGTGTTCCGCGCCTAATTTGCACAACAAATCTTGACCAAAAAAAAGCATAGACTTGATTTTCAATAATTCCCCCAGGATATTATGATATGAATAAAATCAACTTTCTAAAGTGGTACTAATCGAATTTAGGTACTTGTACTTTTTTCAAATGATCGTCATTGGAGATTGATTGACAAAACTTCAAACACAAATATAAAGGAGTGTCTACACTTGTGAAACTTGGAACATTTTTTCACAGACATGTTGGAATAAATACCGAACAATTGGAATCTGATAGTTTTCTTTATATTAAGGGTTTATTTTCTTTTATTCAACCTGATGCACCTGTTGCGGCAGAATTCTTCAAAACATCCTTTGCCATCGAGATATTTTTCATTTATCTTTGGCTGAAGATAACTCTGATTTGATTAACAATATTATTTGCCCGCCATAGGACGGGTTATGTTTCCCACTTTTATTGGCATTTTAGGTGAGTAATTGTAATTTACTTTTATATCTTATTCTGAAAAATAATACTGACAATTTGTTGAATAACAAAAAATTACGAATATAAAATTGTTTTTTATCATTGAATGTATTTTTTTTAAAACTATTTTCTTCTAATAATAAAAATTATCTTCAATTCTTGGTTAGCAACCCAGGGGCAACATAATCGTTTTAAAATTTTTTCAAGATTTTTTAATTTTGTAAAAGTTTTACAGTATTTAATGTAATTTTTATAAAATTAAGATTTTTTTACTACTTAAGAAGTTCGGCTACATTTTTAACTATATCAAGATATTTATTTAAAACTTCAATAAAATTATTTTTAAGATAATTTTTGGTATGGAATTCAATGGTCGGAAATTGAAAACGGTCAGAAAATAATTTGACCCTTATTTACTTTTTCTTAAATTCATTTGTTTATTTTTCTAACTAATTCCAAATCAGATTTTTTATTTTCAAAAAATTGGAATTTAAAATCCATCCTTAATTTTGTAGAAATTTTTTATATAAAAAAAAAAAAAATTGCCGAATGAAAAACTTTATTTTTACAATTTTTAAAATAAAAACTTAATTTTTAGGTTAAAAACGCTAAAAAAATATGATTGTTATTCATTTTTTTATACGGAAATTCATTTGTTTATTTTTCTTACTAATTTCAAATCATCATTTTTTAAATAAAAAATAAAAACTAACTTCAAATCATATAATTTTTTAAAATTAAAAATATAAAAAATTATGATTTGAAATTAGTTAGAAAAATAAACAAATGAATTTCCGTATAAAAAAATCGAATAACAATGATATTTTTTTGTGTTTTCAACATAAAAACTAAGTTTTCATTTAAAAAATAGTTAAAAATAAAGTTTTTCATTCGGCAATTTTTTATTGGATATAAAAAATTTCTGACAAAATTAAGGATGGGTTTTAAAATCTATCAATTTTTAATAAAAAAATAAAATTATTTTTACAAAAATGCTTCGAAAATTTGTAAAATTCAATTTTTTCATTTGGTAATTTTTTGTGGATTCAAAAACATATTTTCTATAAAATTCCGCATGGATTGCAAAAATCTAATAATTTTTAAGAAAAATTAAAATTCAAAAAGAGTCAAATTATTTTCTGACCTATTTTATTTTACGACCATTGAATTCCTCACAAAAAATGCCGTTAAAAATAATTGCATGGAATATTTTAATTATTTTCTTGATACATATTATGTTACAATATATTTTAAATATTCTATAAAATTATTTTTATAGCCATTTTTTGTTAGTAATTTTTAAGTATGTTTTTAATTTTTTTAATTAACAATTTTCCATTACAGCCTTAATTATACGTCAGCATCAAATTTTAATTTAAAAGAATTCCCATTAACTAAGATTTTAAGTAATACAAATTTTAAAATATGATATTTTTATTTGAACGAATCTTCATTTTACCGTAATTCAGAAAAAGTTGACACAATGATTTCGGTGGGAATTTTGAAATTGGCCATTTCGAAATTAGCAATAAATTTGTGATTGGACCTATTTTAAAATTTGCACTTAAATTTTACTGTTAAATTAAAATTAATTAAATTAGAATTCTTTTAAATAAAAAGTTGATTTAAAAAAACACTTTTAAAATAAAAATTACGTTTTCATGATTTAGATAAGGAGTCTCGTGCACATAGAAAGTTTCTATTTTTTTTTCCTTTTTTTACATCTTCGCTCTCCCTCATGTGATACACTTTGAACAACCTTCTTCCCTCTATATTGCCAATTCCGCTCTTAAATTTTTCGGGATGTAAATCCCACAAAAATCGGTCTTACGATTTTTGTTGCTTCGATTTACACTGAGAAAACGATTTATTTGATTCAAGCAAATTTTGTTTAAATCAAACTTAAAATATCTTTGTTATACACTCAAACGTATTTAAGTTTAATTGAAACATATTTTTTGGTTCATTTAAAGAAATAATATATTTAATTTAAACATTAGTTATGGGTGATTTTAAATTATTTATAATAAACTTTTCAGTTTGAATCAAACATCAAATTTTTGAACATAATTTTTGTTTAGATCTATTAACGAGGTTCCAGGGATCACGAAATAAGACCAAAGATTCAGGGTTTTAAGTAAAGTCACAGATTTATTAATAATGAGCGAAAAAGGATTAATTAGATACAAAAATGTACTATTGTCTCAAGCGTCTCTATGAGAACTGAACGAATAAAAAAGAAAGACGCCGTAACAGGCGATTAAAGAAAAATATAGCGGAAGCAGATGGCACCACCAGATATAAAATAAAATAAGTAATAAAAAAGGGAGGCTCAATTTGAATATTTCTAACACCCCCTCTCAAAGTGATGTCCATCTAGTTTCACATTAATATTCCGATGTTGTTCAAACATTTCCAATGCTTGATCCTCGGCAGTCCTTTGGTAAAGACGTCCGCTGGCATGTTCTCCGTGGCAAGGTATTTCAAGTAAATTTCCTCTGCTGACAAGGCTTCCCTCACGAAATGATAACGCACGTCTATATGTTTCGTGCGCGAGTGGTACACGGGGTTCTCTGCCAATTTCTTTGCTCCTTGATTGTCCACGTGTAGCGTGATGGCCGGCTGCTTCTTTTTACTAATCTCCTCCAGGATCCGACGTAGGTGGATTGCCTCCTTGGAGGCATCGCTGAGAGCCATGTACTCCGACTCTGTAGAGGATAGTGCTACCGTAGGCTGTTTTCTCGACTCCCAGGAAACTGGACCTCCGTTCATTGTAAAAATGTACCCGGTGTAAGATTTCCTGTCATCGATGCACGCAGCCCAATCTGCGTCGACGAAACCGGTAATACTGCCCCCTCCTGCTCCGAAGGTGATCCCCACGTCCAGCGTTCCCTTGAGGTAACGAAGCACTCTCTTCGCGGCCTGCCAATGACTAATTCCGAAACAGTCATTAAATTGACTTAAGTTGCTTGTTGCATGAGTTATATCGGGGCGCGTCGCCACCGATAGATAAATGAGTGCTCCCACGAGCTCTCTAAATGGTGGTTTCTTACCATCCTTAGTTGTCCAGGTGTCGGTCTTGGACAGCTTCGTTCCCGGGTCGAGTGGCGTGTTCACCGGATGACACGATGACATCCCAAAACGGTCCAGGATCTCCAAGATGTATCCTCGTTGATTCATGGTGATCGTTGATGCATCATGAGAGAATTCGATTCCCAGGCAGTAGGATACTTCGCCTAAGTCGTTGATTTGAAACGACTTCCCCAGGAAGTTGTGAAAGTCATTGATCTTCTCGCGGTTCTTTGAGAGTGTGATGATGTCATCGACGTACGCGATAATTATAAGGGCGTCATCACCTTTACCTTTCACATACACACTAGCATCACCAAAAGTCGGTTTTGCTCCGAAATTGCACAACACTTCACCCAGGCGTTTGTGCCAACAACGTCCGGATTGTTTCAGTCCATACAGGGATTTCTTTATCCGACACACTTTGTTTCCCGAAAGGAGTTTGGATAACATCCTCTCAGATTTTTCGACGATTTCTCTAGATCCGTATTTCTTTTCGATTATAAATTTTAACACTTTTTCGGTGCACTCCGGGATCTCCATGTGAATTTCCTCTTCGATAACGCCGTTGAGGTAAGCAGTTGAAATATCGAATTGTCTTGTGTACATCTTGTGTTCCGCCGCAAAAGCCATTGCGACACGGATAGAGCTGAATCGTGCTACGGGAGCATACGTCTCGTTGTAGTCCATGCCAGGACGCTGGGAAAATCCTCTTGCGACAACCCTCGCCTTCCGCTTGATTACAGATCCATCAGCACCACGTTTGTTCCTGAGGATCATTCGACTTCCTATAGTCGACCGGTTTCCAGGACGTTCCACCAGGTCCCAGACGTCGTTTCCTAGCAACGAACAAAATTCGTCCGCCATTGCCTCCATCCATGAGTCAGCTTCTGGACCAGAGATTGCGTGATCAATCGGGATTTCCGCTGTGCTTGCGAAATTCGTATCATTATCGATGTCCTCTTGAACGACCCTGTTCCCCTTCCTCGGCCTACCACGTCTTCCCGTGAGAATCTTCCTTGGTCTTCCTCTGACCTTCGCCGGAACTGGAACGTCAGGAGGCTCATCTCCTGGAATTTGATCTGGATTAACGTCGAAACCCAGGAAGGGTTCATACTCACTTGAGGCATCCTCGAAGAGTAACTCGTCATCACCAGAGTCATCGGTCAAATTTTGTGCTTCGATGATTTCCTGATCCTCTAGGTTGCTTGCTTTCCTGTCCAAGATGACGTCAACTTCATCCGTTGGCATGCGCTGCTCGATTGTCTCGTTCCGTTCCAAGATTTCGTTTGACTCGTGGTTGTCGATTATCTGCTCCGGGTAGAAGTCCTCGAATTTTCGTTCATCTGTTTTCTGGCATTCCTTCAAGAACTCCACGTCCCGCGAAATTTCCACCCTGTGTTCTTCAGGAATCCAGATCCTGAAGGCCTTGGAGTCCGCAGCGAAACCCAGGAAGACACCTTTGCGAGCACGTGGTCCGAATTTACCTGTGTTTTTAGTCCGATTAAGGCAATAAACAGACGAGCCAAATTCATGAAAGTTTCCGACATTCGGTACTTCTCCCATCCACTTTTCAAAAGGAGTTTTACCTTTCAATGAGACCGAGGGGCAACGATTCCTTATGAAATTTGCAGTTGAGATCGCTTCTGCCCAAAATGAAGCCGGGAGTCCGGACTGAATCAGCAAACAGCGAGCCATTTCGACTAAGGTTCGGTTTTTGCGCTCGGCCACACCATTCTGTTCCGGGTTATTGGGAACCGTCAGCCGATGCTTGATGCCAGAGTTCTTGAGAAGGTCGTTGAATTCCCTGTTGACATACTCCGTCCCATTATCCGATTGTACGTATTTTATTTTCCTTTGATATTGTGTCTCGATCATGCTCTTGAACGCCTTGAATTCCTGAAATGCCTCGTTCTTCTGTCGCAGGAAACGAACTTCCGTCCAACGTGTTGAGTCGTCAGTAAATGTCAGGAAATATTTGGCATGACCGTTCGATGTGACTTTCATCGGCCCACATAAATCCGTGTGGATCAATTCACCTGGAGCGGAACTTCTCGAGGATGCTTTCGGGAACGGCTTGCGTGTCATTTTTCCTTGAAGACAAACTTCGCACTCGATGTTGGAGTTGATGTTATTGATCTCTATTCCTTTGATTGTTTGATTTTTCACTGCCTCACGAAGATCCCTGGCATTCAGATGTCCCATCTTCTTATGCCAGTTGAGTAGGGTATTTTTCTCTTCGCGGCTCACTAGTGCGGAATTTTTGACACTTGCATTTGGATCGTTCACAAAATATAGTCCGTCAACCCGATCCGCACGTAGAATCACACTGTTATCAGTCTTGTTTACAACTTCGGCCTTGTGTTTATCGAACATTACACGATAGCCTTTGTCGACGATCTTCCCGACCGAGAGAAGATTCGTTCTTAAGTCCGGAACATGCAAGACTTCACTGAGATTTATCGTTTTGTCACTTTCGTTCACACGCGTTACCATTTCCACAGCACCTTTTGCACTGATTTTCGTTGAACTAGAATTCGCTAAGTTCAATGTTTCCGAGATATTTGCATCGAGGAACTTGAAATTACTAATATCCTTAGCCATGTGTGCAGTGCATCCACTGTCTAGGCACCATCGTTCTTTATTCGACGGGTAAATTAACGCGGTACTCGCTTCGCGACACTCATTTGGTACGAAAGTAGCGTATAACGACGCATTTTCTGTTTTGTTTTTGTTTTGTTCACTTCTCACTTTCGACCAACATTTCGATGCTTTGTGACCCAACTTCCCGCACTTGTAACATTTAAATTTGCTTTCACTATTTTGTTTATCCGATTTACCCGACTTTTCGTAAACTCGATTATTTGACTTTTGTGAAAACATCGCGTTCTGCACAGAATTTTTCCTATTACTCGATCGCGCATCACTTTCTTCGACAATTTTAATTCGAAGCGTTTCGGGTTGGGGGAGCTCGTCGCGCGACTCGATTGCGACACGAAAACTATCAAAACTGGCCGGTAAACTGTAAAGTAGCAATATCGACAGCAGGTCATGGTTTATCGGAACTTCCATGTCGCTCAGTCGATCAACAGCATCGAAAAATTTTCGAAGATGGCTACGAACGTCGTCGCCCTCGTCCATGCGTTGTAGCACAATTTGTTTTAGCAAGTTAGCTTTTCTTGCGGGGCCCCTTGACTGGTATACGGCTTTTAGCTTCGTCCAAAGTTCATTCGACGTCACGCACTCTTTCACTTGTTTCAATTCCGTGGGGGAAATTCCCAAAAATATGTCTGACAGAGCCTTGCTGTCTTCGAGTTCCCATTGCGTTACAGCCGCCGCGTTCACATTGTTCTGACCAGGTTCGGGTTTAACTTTTGTACCATTTACAAAGCCCCACGCGTCATTTTTAATGAGTAATGCTTTCATGTGGATTTGCCACGTATCAAAATTATCCTTGTTAAGCATTTCTATTCGCGTTACCGTTTGCGACGCCATTTTTCTTTCTTTTCGCGAGAATGAATGAACTTACTTTCGAATCTAAACTTATTTTCACTTATTTACTCGTGGCCTGGGCCCATAACCTATTAACGAGGTTCCAGGGATCACGAAATAAGACCAAAGATTCAGGGTTTTAAGTAAAGTCACAGATTTATTAATAATGAGCGAAAAAGGATTAATTAGATACAAAAATGTACTATTGTCTCAAGCGTCTCTATGAGAACTGAACGAATAAAAAAGAAAGACGCCGTAACAGGCGATTAAAGAAAAATATAGCGGAAGCAGATGGCACCACCAGATATAAAATAAAATAAGTAATAAAAAAGGGAGGCTCAATTTGAATATTTCTAACAAGATCAACAAAGAAAATATGTTTAAATTAAACATAATTATCCAAACTGATTTCAATTAAACAAAATCACTTACAATTATTTTTCTATTTAAATTAAGTATATAATGTTTTCTCAGTGTAATACAATAAAAATACAAACTTTCAGTAATGATTCGCAAACGTTCGCTAAAGTTGCGTACACTCGTAGAGTCTTCGATAGAATCTGTGGTTTTAGAAAATTTAGTTTAAAATATTTGAAACATCCAATGACATTTAATAAATAATTAAGTAATTTTCAAACATCTATTGCTAACAGTTCAACATTACGTCTAAAACAACTGGTTATATACTGAATCCTATAAACATTATTCCATGATTCATTTTTTATACTTCAATGAAGATTCTTTTTTATTATTTTATTACCAGTTCTACACCTTTTTTTAACCGGAGTTTAAGTCGGTGAATTCGGTTTAGTAATGTTATTAGACCATTATTACTATTTTCGAACAAGCCCGTGTAGAAATTTCCATATTTTTACCATAGTGCAGTTTCTGTTGGGCGACAACTGTAGGTCCCACATAATCTAGAAATTTAAGAGACCATCGAACACCGTTAAAGGCACACAGAAAAAACGGTAAACTAATTTTAAGTAGGAGCTTCTAAATATTAGATTACCGTTTTTTCTATGCAAGAATTCTTTGAAACACTATCTTATAAGTGACGAGATCTTAAGAAAAGTACTCAAGAAGCAAGAAATCTTAATATTTGTTTTTAATTTGTGGAATGAAATTACACAAAAAGGATCAACTCTTAACATAAACCACTCATGTTTAAGTCTTCCTTACATCTAAAATAAGGATTAAAAACTGATTTTAGTTTTACAGAATTAAACAAAAAAACTTTTAAATAAGATGAAAATACGACAAACATAATCTTAAAATGTTTAGGTACCATTCTTTAGAACACGTCACATATAAAACTCATGAAATTTGATGCAGGGTTTTTGTAATACAATGGGCCGGTTTCAACAACACCGATTAAAAGCTAATCAATGATTAAATCCTTAACCGACCAATCATAAGCGGTTAAACTGGCTTTTATCATTGATCAACTTTTAATCGGAGTTGGTGAAACTGGCCCAATATATGCAACTTAAATCTAAAACGGTTATTGATACTTCGGTTTTGATTATATTATTAGATGTGTAGCTCCCTTACGTGATCCCTCGTGTACTTAGAAAGCAACCTTTCATAAATGGTTCGCTTATGTTTATAGACATTCAATCATGGTGGGAGGTGCCCAGTATAGCGCACTTCTGCTCCTTATTTAGAGACGCCTTCAACCTTCTGGACTTTGATATCGAGGTACTCTAACTTCCTAGCAATAAGTCTGAAACAGCTTATTTTGCAACCTAAGCATTGAGATCCCGTTACACCTTCCTTATAAAACTAACCGCATTGCTTCTATTTTCTTTCGCAGCACTGGACGATGTGAAAACACTAATGCAAGACTAAAATTGTTTTAGGATTTAGAAGAGGCACTATTATCTGACAACGGGACAGACGATCATCTTCTACAGGAATTAATTGTAAAATTGCTTGAAGGCTGTTTACCTGATGTTACTAAAAATGACATTTCCACGTTTAACTATCAGATGTTCCTTCGTAGGTTATTCCGCAAGAAGTGTCAGGTAGGTTCTACATTTTTTAAAAGTAATATTAATATTAAAATTGCACTCTGTACTAAAAGAATTTAAAGGCCGCTGTTGCCTTTAATGATGAGTATATGTGACGCTTCACTGTGAAAGGGACCTTAGGTGACAATAATACTAGGCTGAGTTTTCCATGCGCAGTGCACGAGAACTGAGCCTAATGTTACTGTCGCGTAAGGTCCCCTTCACTGTGAAGCGTCACATATTTAAGAGACAACAGTGGTTTCAAATGCCCAAGGTTGGAGTGGAAGTGAACCTTTTTGAACCGAAATTCTAAGATGTATTTAAAATCTGCTAGTATCTCTTACTCGGGGGGTTTCGGGATTGATGATTACGAATCTGAAGTCGGATTTTCAAAATTCGTAATCACGGATCCAATATTACGCCGTTGGTGGCCCTGCATAATTTGGTCGCACAAGACATGTCGTTATAGTGAGCAGGATACGCATCTAATGGGTTAAAAGGGGATAGATATATCATTGTGTCTTTTTCTATCCCATTCTACACGTATCCAGCACCTAGCACCGACATTCCTTATGCAAGCAACTTCTCCTTGCTCCCCGATAACCACCTCATCATCAATCTCTTTACTTGATTGGTCTGTACTCTATCAACGTTCCAATGTAGTTTATGAGGTAAATCAAGCTATGGTAATTTATGTACCTAAAATTAACTTATGCTTAACCTTATCAAATGCTTTGGATAGATCAAGTCAGATCATGTCAATTTGAGGATAATCATTTAAAAGATCATGGAAATAAGCAAGAATTTTCTTGAACAAAAATAGTAGACACCCTGTTAAAACGAAAAATTAAATATGAATTTCTAAATTCTAAGCAATGTAAAAACAAAAGTATGAATTCATTTATATAGATTATTTACTATTTGTTTTGACAAATACTGAAGGCTAGAAAACAACAGGTTTTAATCAATATCAATTAAAGGTATTTATCTGAATAAGGTAAAACATGACAAGAAAAAACTTATCACAATGATCTAGTGTTTTTAAAACATAAAAAGAAAATCATGTGCAATTTTCTATTATTTAGTTTTTGAGATCCATAGATTACTGAGTAACATAAATATTAATTATATATTCTGCTTCTTACAAATCGTCAGACAAGTTCTTCTCTGACAGTGACCATTGGAAGTTTTCTTTAATTATTTGCTTAATATTCTGTCAATGATATATATAATTCATTTAAACCTTCCAAAGACAAATTGGCCTTGAAGAAGTTATCCACTTAGACTCGGTTCCACAACTTTTGTTAACCAGAGTTCAAGTCGGTAAATTCGGTTCAGTAATGTAACTAGATCGAGTTCACCTACTTAAACTCTGGTTAATACAGTTGTGGAACCGGCCCTTAATACGTTAAATGTCGCTAACTTAGTGATTTTTTTAAACAAGTCTTAGAATTTACGACAAGAGTCAAAGATTAGTAAAGTGCCTAAAAGAGAAATTTGAACTGTACCGGGTAATATTTATTCTGTGTACTAATTATAACTACGAAGTGAATTCAATTAACTTTTTGTGAAGGTACTTAATATAAATCAACCTTAACATTCTTTCAATAATGACATAAAAACTAATTTCTACTCTCCATCAAGTTCTCGAATTGTTCTCTCTTGAAAAAAAACAGTTAACAGAGGAGGCAATGGGTTAAACAAAGCATTCAAATATTTTGAAAAAATGGAGCTGATAAGTAAGGCCTTATGTCTCATTATCATTTGGATAGAAATACTGGAATCATCTACGATTGGAAATAACTATGGCGGATTAGTAAAGTATCTAAAGAAAAAGTCGAAACTGCACCATGTAGTATTCCTCTTTGATAATGAAAGAAACAACACAGACGATTCAGTAAGTTTTCTTGTCAAGTCAATCAATAGAAACTTTCCATCTTCAAGTATCGAATACAGTAAGAAGAATGATGATCTGTTTAGATTTTATCTAAAATCTCTTAAACGTTCAAGAAAGATGGCACTATTTGTATTCGTAAAAGATAGCGTAAATGTATCTACTGAAATGTATCAAGGATTTACTAGATTGATAAGAAGCTTATCGCAATCTCTACCCATGCCGAAATGTTTAATCGTACATTCTCATGTGTTACCTGACGTTAATCTGAACAAAACATTATATTATCTATGGAGAAAAGATTTTTTGGACGTTACGATTTTGGTCTACCATGAAGAAGAGTCCAAGTCACTGAAGGAGAAAAGCGACAAGCTACCTTTTCTGCATCGTTTGAATCCGTTTTCAAAAAAGTACACTGCCGTTCAGTTGTCGAATAGAAGTCAATGGTTTCCAAACAAACTTAAGAATTTACGTGGATATCCTTTAAATTTTCTGTTAAGGTACGGAAGTAAATCGGTGTCAACTAAATTCAGCACAGGAAAGAAATTTGCTGAAATTTTATCACACCAGATGAATTTTAAACCCTGCATTCATAAAGTTTTGCCAAATCAAATAGTAAATGCTCATGAACTTTTGAATAAAAAGAAAGCTGAAATGTTTTTGAACACAATTTTGTTTCTTGAACATTTACAAATAAATATTTTAGAATTGGGTTATATAATGGAGTCTGATGCAAGAGCTGTAATTCCGAGAATTACAAAATCGTCGAAAGTAATTCTTCTTTCACAAGAGTTCCTGTACATGCTTCTGGGAACTATTGGTACGATTTGCGTACTTAAATTGACTGCGATTATGATGCGATTCAACAAAAGAACATGGACAGTATCGAACATCAGTCAAATGATAATGGGACTGTCCGTTATCGAGGAACCAGTTGAACCGACGGAGAGAATAGTGTTTGGAACTGTATTACTCGCTTGCCTCGTGTACACAGGCTACTTTTTTTCTGTCATCCTGGACCTCTCACTGCAGTCTACACCAGAGATAGAAACTCTTGCAGAACTCGCTGCATCGTCTTTGACACATGTAATCAGAAATGGGATGTTATGTTTTCTAATGACATTAAGTTCTAACCTTCATATTGTCAAATTAGCACAAAATTCTATTTATCCTTTCAAATCAGATTTGGGATGCCTTCTATATTTGAATGATTATCAAAATGTGTCTTGCATTAGCGTTGGAGTAATAGCACACGTTAATCACATAAAGAAGATAAAAGGAGATTTCAATGGAAAAATTTTGTCAGAACCTGTTGCTCATGTAGTTGAAGGTTTTACTTCAAGGTATAACTCACCGTATACCGATCGCTTTAGGGAGATTATTATGAAAGCAGCAGAACATGGTTTTATTACAAAACTCTTTAAAACCGTCAAGCTAGAGCATCAGATTGTAGAGTTACCAGAGCAAATCGAGAAAAAAAAGTTATTGCTGATCTCTTTGTACGTACTTTCGATTGGATTTTCACTGTCGATTCTTGCATTTCTATTTGAAATTTTCGCAAGTATTATTGGTGAAAGATTGTTTGCCTTTTTCAGGGCATTAGTATAAAAAGTGTTTATTAAGAAAAATGCATCGAAAATAATATATTGCGCACCAAATACAGAAAGAAGCTGTTTTCCGATGAGTCTAAAGTTTGGGACTCATGAATCTTCCACAAATCCCATTTGACATAATAACAAGTAACCGAAATTCACTTCGCCGAATTACCAGTTGCCATAAGCTATATTTATTAGAATTATTATTTAATCTAATTTTTATTTTCCTGATGATTCATTAGCTCTAATTTTTATTTTGCAGAATTGTCATATAAACTATGTATATCCTATTTGCTCTCATGTTTATTTAACAGAAATTCACTTACCTCAAAGTAACATTCAGCCGAATGTTTATTAGTCAGAAAGATTATTTAACATAATTTTCGTTTTGCCGAAACTTTATTTCACCTAATTTTAAATTGTTATATTAATTGTTTAACATAAATCTATTTCTACCTTATTTTTATGTGACACATTGTTCTTTTATTCGAATTGTCAAATCGAATTTTAGTCGAATCGTCAAAACGTCGAATTGATAAAAATTCAAAAATTTGTTTGATCTAAGTAAACATTTGTTTGTTTTAAGTTAATGTTAACTTAAATCAAACAAATTTTTTGAATTTTTGTCAATTCGACGTTTTGAGCATTCGACCAGTTGACAATTCGACCATTTGAACATTCGACCACTTGGCGTTTAGGGGAAATGCATGCGTCTCATTTTTCCAACCCTCTTCCCTAACAACAAATTTTACGTACTTAAAATGCGTATCTTAAAATGCATTGGTTTCTAAGATGGAAGATGGAAAAATAAGATGTTTTAAATATCTTAAAATACTACAATGTATTTTAAGATGTTTCTTTTTGCAGTGCAATTTTCGTATTGAAAGAGGGCCAGAATTCGGCATCTCATGTGTTCCTCATGTTTTTTTAAATATTAGCAAAGTAAAATAATTTTAGTGTTGTTTTCAGTGTTATAATTCTATCAACTGTGTTTTCCATTTTCCCATGCGCACCGCTAGTGTTCGTTTCGGTATTTTTCACTTACTAAGCGTGTACCGAAATCTGGCCCATTTATAGTGTATTTCGTTCGGTCTCCTTATACTACTTCATGCTCTACTCTTGCTGTTACATTAAGATTATTAAGATATCCATACAGGTTATGTTATAGAAATATCACCTATAAGACAATTTATCTACACCTGGCAAAGGATCCTCGTGGCATGTGGACTAACTAGAAAATGCCACTAGGACCCTTGCCGGATCTGGGTAGATTATCTGAGACATTATCACGTAGTAATACTGTAACGTTTCATCTCTTGATGCTTGGGTTGAAAAAATAAGTTTTTGTAATATTGTATACGAGAAAGTATCCAATATTTTTAAATCCTCGGTATTGAAATGCAATTAGAAAGGCATAGGTGGATAATTTTTGGATGGTTTGGGCCTAAGTGCTACTAATCTACTCAAAAATAACCAATTAAAAAAATATTTCTACTATTCTCTATACTAACTTTATTTTATAATTT